GTTTTTTGAAAAGATCAACAAAATTGACAGACCGCTAGCAAGACTAATAAAGAAGAAAAGAGAGAGGAATCAAATCGACGCAATTAAAAATGATAAAGGGGATATCACCACCGACCCCATAGAAATACAAACTACCATCAGAGAATACTATAAACACCTCTACGCAAATAAACTGGAAAATCTAGAAGAAATGGATAATTTCCTGGACACTTACATCTTCCAAGACTAAACCAGGAAGAAGTTGAATCCCTGAATAGACCAATAGCAGGCTCTGAAATTGAGGCAATAATTAATAGCCTACCAACCAAAAAAAGTCCAGGACCAGATGGATTCACAGCTGAATTCTACCAGAGGTACAAGGAGAAGTTGGTACCATTCCTTCTGAAACTATTCCAATCAATAGAAAAAGAGGGAATCCTCCCTAACTCATTTTATGAGGCCAACATCATCCTGATACCAAAGCCTGGCAGAGACACAACAAAAAAAGAGAATTTTAGACCAATATCCCTGATGAACATCGATGCAAAAATCCTCAATAAAATACTGGCAAACCGGATTCAGCAACACATCAAAAAGCTTATCCACCATGAGCAAGTGGGCTTCATCCCTGGGATGCAACGCTGGTTCAACATTCACAAATCAATAAACATAATCCAGCATATAAACAGAACCAAAGACAAGAACCACATGATTATCTCAATAGATGCAGAAAAGGCTTTTGACAAAATTCAACAGCCCTTCATGCTAAAAACTCTCAATAAATTTGGTATCGATGGAACGTACCTCAAAATAATAAGAGCTATTTATGACAAACCCATAGCCAATATCATACTGAATGGGCAAAAACTGGAAAATTCCCTTTGAAAACGGCACAAGACAGGGATGCCCTCTCTCACCACTCCTATTCAACATAGTGTTGGAAGTTCTGGCTAGGGCAATTAGGCAAGAGAAAGAAATCAAGGGTATTCAGTTAGGAAAAGAAGAAGTCAAATTGTCCCTGTTTGCAGATGACATGATTGTATATTTAGAAAACCCCATTGTCTCAGCCCAAAATCTCCTTAAGCTGATAAGCAACTTCAGCAAAGTCTCAGGATACAAAATTAATGTGCAAAAATCACAAGCATTCTTATACACCAGTAACAGACAAACAGAGAGCCAAATCAGGAATGAACTTCCATTCACAATTGCTTCAAAGAGAATAAAATACCTAGGAATCCAACTTACAAGGGATGTAAAGGACCTCTTCAAGGAGAACTACAAACCACTGCTCAGTGAAATCAAAGAGGACACAAACAAATGGAAGAACATACCATGCTCATGGATAGGAAGAATCAATATCGTGAAAATGGCCATACTGCCCAAGGTTATTTATAGATTCAATGACATCCCCATCAAGCTACCAATGAGTTTCTTCACAGAATTGGAAAAAACTGCTTTAAAGTTCATATGGAACCAAAAAAGAGCCCGCATCTCCAAGACAATCCTAAGTCAAAAGAACAAAGCTGGAGGCATCACGCTACCTGACTTCAAACTATACTACAAGGCTACAGTAACCAAAACAGCATGGTACTGGTACCAAAACAGAGATATAGACCAATGGAACAGAACAGAGTCCTCAGAAATAATGCCACACATATACAGCCATCTGATCTTTGACAAACCTGAAAAAACAAAAATGGGGAAAGGATTCCCTATTTAATAAATGGTGCTGGGAAAATTGGCTAGCCATAAGTAGAAAGCTGAAACTGGATCCTTTCCTTACTCCTTATACGAAAATTAATTCAAGATGGATTAGAGACTTAAATGTTAGACCTAATACCATAAAAATCCTAGAGGAAAACCTAGGTAGTACCATTCAGGACATAGGCATGGGCAAAGACTTCATGTCTAAAACACCAAAAGCAACGGCAGCAAAAGCCAAAATTGACAAATGGGATCTCATTAAACTAAAGAGCTTCTGCACAGCAAAAGTAACTACCATCAGAGTGAACAGGCAACCTACAGAATGGGAGAAAATTTTGCAATCTACTCATCTGACAAAGGGCTAATATCCAGAACCTACAAATAACTCAAACAAATTTACAAGAAAAAAACAAACAACCCCATCAAAAAGTGGGCAAAGGATATGAACAGACATTTCTCAAAAGAAGACATTCATACAGCCAACAGACACATGAAAAAATGCTCATCATCACTCGCCATCAGAGAAATGCAAATCAAAACCACAATGAGATACCATCTCACACCAGTTAGAATGGCGATCATTAAAAAGTCAGGAAACAACAGGTGCTGGAGAGGATGTGGAGAAATAGGAACACTTTTACACTGTTGGTGGGATTGTAAACTAGTTCAACCATTATGGAAAACAGTATGGGATTCCTCAAGGATCTAGAACTAGATGTACCATATGACCCACCATCCCATTACTGGGTATATACCCAAAGGATTATAAATTATGCTGCTATAAAGACACATGCACAGTATGTTTATTGCAGCACTATTCACAATAGCAAAGACTTGGAACAACCCAAATGTCCATCAGTGACAGATTGGATTAAGAAAATGTGGCACATATACACCATGGAATACTATGCAGCCATCAAAAAGGATGAGTTTGTGTCCTTTGTAGGGACATGGATGCAGCTGGAAACCATCATTCTTAGCAAACTATCACAAGAACAGAAAACCAAACACCGCATGTTCTCACTCATAGGTGGGAACTGAACAATGAGATCACTTGGACTCAGGAAGGGGAACATCACACACCGGGGCCTATCATGTTGAGGGGGGAGGGGGGAGGGATTGCATTGGGAGTTATACCTGATGTAAATGACGAGTTGATGGGTGCAGCACACCAACATGGCACAAGTATACATATGTAACAAACCTGCACGTTATGCACATGTACCCTACAACTTAAAGTATAATAATAATAAATAAATTTAAAAAAAAAAGAAAGAATGGGTTTAAGGAATGGAGGACAAAAGAGAGCACAGTGGGAAAAAAGGAGAAACTAAAAGAGAGATTATTAAAATAAAAAACAAAGAAGAAGGTAGACAGTTTGGAAAGAAAAGGCAGAGCTTTTGAGGAGAAAAAAATAGGCATTATATAAAACCCAAGAATGCAAATATCTTTCTTGGGGAAGCAAATGGTATAAAGAAGAGAATGTCAAAAAAAATTGTCTTGATTTGTAATCATTAATGACTATCACTACAGACCTCTAAAAAATATTGCCTTTTTAAAAATTCAGATAAAATGAAGCATTCCATGACAGTTGGAAATTTTAAAATAACAGTTACCAAATGGTTATCAGTGGTTTAGCAGATGATCAGATTCTCAATATCTTCAGTGGTTATGAAAGGAAAAATAAAAATAGTCCTTTTTAGCAAGTTACTCAAATATAAGTTTCACTGAGCCAAAAAAGTTCATAAGAACTTTGCCAGATTCAACATCTAAGATCAGATAAGGATCAGTTGAAGCCAGTAACACTTGCCAAACTAGAATTCGCTTTTCCGATGAGGCATTTATTTTACTTCACTTCACTATGGAGGTCTGTAAACCTTTAAGCAGATATACCATTGTACTCAGAGATTTTTGTTTTTCCTTTTTTTTTTTTTTTTTTTTTGGTATTACTAATATGTACATTGAAGCTTCCTTGAGCTTGATGAAGACAGTCCTTTAGCATCCTTATCAAAAATCTGATTAATGAATAAGAACAACAATCTGGAAAGAAAGCAAGATTCCTCAGGAGTAGAAACAGTAAGAAATACTGCTAAATCTACTCAAGTAGAAGAAATTTCTTCAATTTTCACTTGAGAATCAGCTTGAACTGGAAACATCTGTCTTTTATGTATAAAGGCTAATCTTTTTACACGCCACACTGAAGAAATTTTAAAGCATTTGTGCAACAACTGGTATTCCTGCTAACATAATCCAATGGATGAAAAAATATCATTAAAAAGTGAATTCCTACACATAAAGGGGAAAAACACATACTGTGGCCTATCAGAGGGTGTCAGGTGAAAGGAAGGAGAGGATCAGAAAAAATAACTAATGGGTACTATGCTTAATACCTGGGTACAAAATAATCTGTATGATAAACCCCCATGACTCATGTTTACCCATGTAACAAACCTGCACATCTTGCACACATATCCCTGAACTTAAAACAGAAGTTTTTTTAAAAAGTCCATTCCTAACCTCCATTCCTAACCTAGATCATTCTTTTTATTTCTAACGCTTCCAACTTCAGTATTTTCTAAGTAAGAAGTGCTTATTTGTGAATGAATTGTCCTTCAGAAACCTGAAAAGTTTCTACTATCTGCTGGATGTTGACATACAGAAAATTGTTTAAGATAATCAAGAACAGACAATCCCTAGAATGCATCTTAGAACTTTTAATAAGATTTTCTAGAGAATTATGTTTTTAAAGAATGTGTGTTCACATAAAAATTAATATCATAAACATTTATCTTAATTATTTTGGTAGATACTGATAGCTTTTGGATTGATAAAAATAATTATTATGCATTTCACTGGCATGTTTGTACTTTTCAATAAAATACAAGCAGAAGATATATTATCAATTTTTGCATTTCACTGGCATGTTTGTACTTTTCAATGAAAAGTAAGCAGAAGAAATATTATCAATTAAAAGATCCACTAAAATTAAGCTTTGCAGACTAAATGACACAAAGATTCATAACAAAATGGTAACCAGAAAAGTAGGTGAATAATATTATATATACTATATGATTCAAATTTTAAAAAGAAATAAGCATTAAAAATATATCAAAATGTTAGTAGTTATCTCTTGATTAGTATATTGTTTTATTTTAAATATTATTTGAATTAACCAAATTCTCTAAAATACGTTTTTTTTAAGATTTTATTTTTAAAAGACATAGTTATAATTCTACCAATTTAACATGACATTTTAATAAATAATAAATTTGTTTTATATTTTTTCTAGAAATAAGACTCAAATAATCTGTTTTTACCTTATGAAAACTTCCATAAAATAATGTCTTTACTTCATCTGTGTCAAATGTAACAGTTTGTACCTCGCCTCTTATATCCTTGTTAAAGAATGATAACGTCTTGCTAGAAGCTGTAATCAACATAGTGTTATTAAATCACATGCATTGTATACTTTTTATTTAAAGTATTAGCAAATGATTCTTTGAGAGATTTCTTTAAAAATAAAATAATTTCAGTTGTGATAAAATGTAATTAGGATGTTTACTGATGTGTTATACTTGGAAAAGTTCAAACATAAAAGTATATATCAAATAAATATATATATAATGTAAATTCAGAAAGTTTTTTAAAAGAGAAAAGAAAAACATAATCAAAACTAAGTATGCATGCGCCTTAAGATAAAAATTCTTACGGTCTGCAATCACTCCAACTTGTGGTTTGTAGTCTCTGTCTGTGATTTGCCAAATTGCAAAAGGGTCACTGGGAGTTTCTGGGAGAAGTCTGAATAATAATATAATCGTGTATGAAGGAGGGAGTCCATTTGGGTGTAGGTCTCTGTTGGATAAAATGAAAGAAAAAGGAGAGGAAAGAAAAAAATGAAAGGAAGAAAGATTGATTGCTTTAACATCAAGAACAGATACTCTTTTAAATCTCTGCACCAGAATCTCATATGGGTAGTATTAGAGGCTATTTATAACAATCTGGCTCCTTCTGACTTCTCCTTAGAAGGAGAAAAATTTAGGAAGCACATCAAAAGAACAAGCACTAAAGATCCATTATGTAAATTGTGATCGATTATTTCTAAATTGATAAAGTCACAAAAGTCTGGGAAATTACAAAATAGTCTTTTATCCTACTAGTAATAACTAATTTTTTGAGACACAGAGTATTATAAAATTATATGATAATTTTAGAATGATAAACATTATGACTACAGATATCATTTAAAGAGAATGAATCTTCCTAAATATACTTAATTTCAAATGTCAGCTGTATGAGATCATAAAAATGGCTTAAGGTTTTAATTTCTCTCTCCCTCCCTGTCAGTAATAGTTTTTACACTTCCAAATTTCTCCCCTGAAATCAAATAAATCACCCCCAGAGCTCATATGTTCCCAAAAACAAAATCCATTTTAAATGTGAAGGCCATATACATGTGCAAACATTTAGTGATGATAAAAGGATGTGAATTAATTGAAAGGAAATGTTTCTTGGCTCTAAGCTGTAAGGCAAAACAAAAAACAAAAAATTGGTCCCATGTGTCCCTCCAGACTTTAGTCAATCATTGTTCTGGGGGAATCTTTGAAGCAGAATTAATGGTTTTCTATCTGAGACCATTTAATAACACTTTCTCCCTGAAGGTAAGAAAAAGAACCAGATAATAAACTCATAGAAAAGAAGCTATTCTTCCATGAATTTTGATAGAGGACACAGAGCTTTCATGTCCTAATACCACACCACTAATGCCATCTTGCTTTTAAAACATATGCTCTGGGTAAGCTGACATGATGTCTTTTATATGTTCAAGAACTATCTTTATAATATTCTATGTTACAAATAATATTTTCTCCACATCAACTCATCTCTCACCTAGCCCATTTTTCTCCTTCCTTAGTTAATTAGTGCTTGTGAAAAAATTATGTAATTGCATTTATGTTTCTTTCCTTTCAGTCAAAAGTTCTGATGCTTGAGAAAACAATAGGCTGTCATAAGTTAAAATGTAGAACTCATATGTTGAGCTGACTGGAAGAGTTAAACACCGGGTATTATGGTTCACTGAAAAACCTAGAACTCCGAGCCAAGATGGTTAACCATTAAGGAGTTAGAGACTTACAATGTGGTCAAACTACAACAATACGATCTGTGCCTCTTAAAGTAAATTAGCTTTGGTTTTAGTCTGAATTTTCCATCAGCTTTCTCAGAGCATTTCATATTTCAGACATCATTTCTGACCCTGTCCTGAGCTTACAATACCTTTATTTCTCATTGTTCTTTTCTCTCCATAAATTGGCAAACACATTTTTCAACATAAAAAGTTTTCATTTTAATGAATAAGAAATACAGATTTCAGTTATCAAACTCAGGTGCAAACATTCATGAAGTAAAATAACACCTACAGCTACACAACAGATTGCTAGAGCATCAGCCAATAAAAACTAAATGCCAACTGTCTGATCATGGACGAGAAAAACTACCTTTCATTTTCTAGAGGTCTGAAACACTAAAAACAATGTTTGCTCTCATTCTGCACTTATTCCATCCAGTCCTCTGCACCACAGGGAGAGATGTTCAAAATATTAAGTTGCCTTCCTGTTTTAACAGCTTTTCTAGCCTTAAATTCAAAAGGGTCAGTAATATGTTACCAGCATGAGCTTCTTGGATCTGGGAATAACGAGGCCTGAGTCTTAGTCTCCTGTGTGCAAACAACTATGTAACCTGGAAACAATTAACCCAACTGTATTTAAGAAAACCAATCAGGGTCATCCATAAGCAGTCTTCCAACAATTCTAAAGTTCCAGGATTCTGGGAAGTCAGCAAATATTCCTAGAACTTTCTGCAGGTCTTAAGAAAAGGAGAACCTCGGCCGGGCGCGGTGGCTCAAGCCTGTAATCCCAGCACTTTGGGAGGCCGAGACGGGCGGATCACGAGGTCAGGAGATCGAGAGACGATCCCGGCTAACACGGTGAAACCCCGTCTCTACTAAAAAATACAAAAAAAAAATAGCCGGGCGAGGTGGCGGGCGCCTGTAGTCCCAGCTACTCGGGAGGCTGAGGCAGGAGAATGGCGTAAACCCGGGAGGCGGAGCTTGCAGTGAGCTGAGATCCTGCCACTGCACTCCAGCCTGGGTGACAGAGCAAGACTCCGTCTCAAAAAAAAAAAAAAGAAAAGAAAAGAAAAGGAGAACCTCCTGTTGTCACACTTACGCTGTAGGCTGATTCACAAATGCATTCTTCTGAATCCTGTAAGCTGAGTAGCTGGGGAAAGACCCTGACTCCAAAGATACTCCTTGTACAGAAGCAAAATTCTTTTCTGTCAGGTTGTACGCTTCAAGCATCTTAAAACCTTTACATAAAAAAAGAAAATATTAAATGAAGTACATTTTAATTATTTTATTGCTTAAATCTGGAAATTAATTAGCCCAAAAGTATAAATGCTTACCTGGTGAGGTGTAGCCATCCAAATAAATGAGAGGACAACCTGCAATGTACAGTGTTCTTTAAGTATGATTCACCAACACGATGTACAAATTATATATGCACAGAAAGTAGCAATGAACATATTTCAAGTAATAAATGACATTGTTCATTTACTAAAATAACTTCTCTATTTAATCCTTTATACATTATTTCTTGTACACTTCCTATGTGTAGGAGAAATTATACTATTAACCAGTGTAACACATATTTCCCTAACATTCTCTAATCCAATTGGAATTTTATAGTACTCTTAAAAATAATAAAATAGAATTAAAGGAGGAATTTTTCACATTTTTCAATAGATTTAAAGAACTTCCCTCCCAGGGAATTTTAGATTTCTGCAAAGGTAGGAGGAGCTTGTCCATCCCCAACCCTCTTCTCTGCCAAGTCTCCAAGCCTCACCCTGGCTACCAAACACCATGTAACAGTAACAATTGTGCAGTAGTTTTTGCTCTGGACCCCTCAGAGCTGAGGGTACCAGATGGCTGCATCCAGGACCACTTGGAACAGAAGAGAAACCACTCAAACCCCCTACTCACTTTCACCAGTGCAGCTGCGCTCCGAACTTCAGCATAAATTTTCATAGTAAACCAAGAAAGTTTGTTTAACCAGTTGTTTTTAATAGAATGTTTAATGGAGAGGATTATTATATTTGTAAAGCATAGCCCTGTCTAGGATCAGGGGTCTGAACTAGCCACAGACCCCTGATCAATTATGTAGGATAAATTGCCTCCTGGTATTATGAAAGATTAATTGCCTCCATAACCTATACACCAAGAATTGGTGTTAATGGATGATGATAATAAATTGACTTAAATAATCAATCTTTGGTTCTTCACTATAGTTCAAAAGCTGAACTTGAAAATACAAACCCAAACAAACAAATGGGAATCCACTAAATTTCTGAGGAACCATTTTTTTTTCATTGCTCTCTTGAAGCATGGATGTTGACAAAACAAATACCAATTGATTACTAATGGGGAAAACCTTCATCTCACAGAAATGCCCTATGTATGCAATTTGAGGCTGAGATTAATTTAACCAAATGTCATAGGCATTAGGGTGGTGGGAAAAGGATATAGTAAAACACTTTTCCATACAAGGAAATTACATATTCCATACAAGGAAATTACATATTCAAGGCTAAAAATGAACTTCTGACAAGCACACATTTAGCATGATCGCAATAGGAACAGTGATTCATCAGGTTCTCAAGTGATTTCCCAGGATCTATTTATGCACAGACTTGATCCTACAAATGATATAGAATTGTCTACTAAGTAATTATTTTTCAGAATAAGTGAGGTTATAGATCCATGTTGACTGTGACTTACTTGAAGTGGCAGTTTCACAAACAAATGTAATAAGATTGTCTTCGATCTTCTCAAAAGATTCAAAGTCGTCCACAATGAACACGTGCCGTTCACTTGGTTTGCTGGCAATGTTGGCAAGCTCGTTGTAGTCGACATCAGCCACACCAACTACAAAGACACTGAACCCTGCAAAGTAGAATTTATAGAATGAATCACATATCTCTTTTTCTGTCCTTGTTGTTAGAACAATGCAAAAAAATTCTTATCAGAAATGATGCTGTATTTTCCTACTGTACGCAAGTCCTTTTATTTGACATGAACTCTCTTTAATAAATACGTACTTTTTCCAGGTCTTTCTATTTTCTGGCTTAAATAATTCATTTAATTTGATTTCCTAAGATAAAATCCCAACAATTTAAATATGAAGATTTTAATAGCAGAAAGACTTCATGTAGTGCACACTGCCTTCCACAGATCCACAGTCCTGATACACACATGAGTTCTGCAGCCATTAATATTTTAAGCTTATGTGACTCAGAAGTTAAGAATGGGCTCATTTTAAAATCTGGGTTCCTGAAACTGATTTTCTCAGGAAACTCAGGCTCAAAGGCAGAACTTTGGCCATTTTGAAAATGGCATCTACAACTCTCACTGGCAACAGACAGGATATGACAAATAAGCAAATTTAGGCTGTGACAAATAAGCACATTTTTCACTCCGAAAGCTAAATTTGACATCGGGGGAAAAAAAGCTATATAAGGAATTAGAAATATATTTAGATATAAATAAGGTAACATAAGAAGCAAATATTTATAAGCCCAAAATTAAATCTACCAGGAGTCATAAACATGCAGAAATCTGTGTAAAGTGTATAACACAATGGCAATACATTTTATAAAAGATCAGCAGGAACAACCTCTATTAAAAAAAAGACAATATGACTTAGCACTAATCACAACTCATAATTTTAGCCAAAGAATCTTGCATGTACAGATGACAAGTTCCATGTAATTAAATACTTTATAATTTACTACAACAAATTATGCATAAGATTCTCTCTAAAAATATATCCACCTCAGACCTTGCTTGGGACAGCAGTGCATAGGGGGGCTGTTAATGCAAGTGCTGGAAATACCTGCTTTCACCTCTAATGATCTTAAATAACTAATCCAAAGGACAGTGTTACCAGGAGGCTCTCAGTATATTTGACTGCCAAGATCTATCCCAGAGATGACTCCCTAAGACCTCTATTCCTTGCAACATATCTTTTAGCAATCATTAAGTCTACATCTGCAAAGATATGCTAAAGCTAAAGGCTTCCTTTTTTCTCTCCTTGCACAGGAAGCAGTATCAAGATTCATTTCTGCTATGGCAGGAAGCCTGCTCTAGCATCATCTCATTATCATTGCTTTCTGTAGCCTTCCAGCCACTATGGGAAAATGTGGTTTGCCCCTTGTCGATCCTGAACCACATCTTATACAAAGAATACACCATATCATTTTGAGCAGTTGCAAACCATTCCATAATTAAATGTAAATCAGCATTACAAAGGTATACAGTGCAGAGTGAAACAGAAACAATAAAGTAACATCAGCAAATTTAGTCTTTTGCAATCATTTGTGGAAATTTAAAAATGTTAAAATTGCAAGTGCAATCAAAATTATGTATGTGCTTGCCTGACTGCTGGATGACCAAAGCCACCTTCTTGACCTCATCCTGGGACCGACCATCTGTGACCACAACCAACACCTTAGGGACATTCTTCCTCATGCCACTCTCCCAAGTCAAGATTTTCTCCTTGATAAATGTGAGGGCCTTGCCTACAGAATGAGGCGTGGAACATTTTAGTGTCAACTCAGTGAAAACTACCCCAATGCCATTAGTCACATCCAACTGATAAGAATCTAGACATTAGCGTGAGATAATACACTCAGTTCTGCCACTACAAATGCTTGGAGAGTAAAGGTCTACATATACACGTACCTGTTCTTGTGTTTCCTCCTCTGTACCTAATATTCTGGAGGGCCCCAAGGGCTAGGGCCTTGTCATTGTATGTGTTCAGCTTGAACTCAGACTTGACCTCATCGCTGTATTGCACAAATGAAACCTGAAGGAAAATGTGGTTTAGCAGTAAGCATAAGTCATCTCATTTTATATTTCAATCTTCAAATGATTCTCTAGCTGCAGAATAAAGCGGGGGGCGGGGGGTTGTAAAAAGTATCTCAGATCTGATAGAATATTGTAAGCTCTTTATAGCTAATATTATAACACCTACTGCACTTGTCTCATTAAATTCTTTATTTTTCAATCTTCAATGAAATTGTCATAACTGACGTTAATAATGAAAATATACTATATTCATGTTGTGCCTTTCTCTAGGACATAGACAGGGAGGAATAAAGCTGGGGAGTGGTGAGGTCCCAGGATTAGACATGAGAACATACCATCTTGAATCCAAATGTTGGTTAAACAGTTGACTCAGCCCACTGCTGCTTCTCACTGACTATATCGGTTCTTTACGGCAATATAAAAATGTCACGTGTGTGATTGTAATCATCCCTCATCACAAACTCATCGAAAATGGGATTTAGTGGAAAAAGTACAGGCTTTGTACTCAGGATTCACTGGGTTCAAATTCTAGCTCTGGCATTTAATAGCTATGTGACAATGGATTTTTTTTATCAGTAAAATGAGGATAACTATACTTACCTTCTAGGATTGTTTTAAAGACTAATAATCCTGTATACAAAGTAACTGGTACATAGGAGTTAATAAAATATGGTAGCTATTTTTTGTTAGAAATACAAATTCCTAAAAGGATGAAAAAAAGCTTGCTTGTTGAATTAATGTGGTTAAATTAAGAATATAACCACATTAAATTTAGAATATAACTAGGGTGAATTTTTACTCTTCTTGGGTTGGATTAAGGTCCAGAGGATTACTTGAGGATTTGAAATTTAGTATACTACTATTCCATAAAAGACGACATGTTTTGCTGATGAAATTGTTTGTGGTTTATTTCAAAATATCTTATTTTCATGATGCCACAGTGATGATCAAACTGCCAAAATAAAGAAAATTCAGCAAAGAAATGGGAAAGAAAAGGAGGAGAGAATTGTTTTTTAAAAAGATAGTCTCTTGCTTTAAGGAGTCAGTGATTTAGATAGAAGAGTAGACAGAAGACAGCACACAATTAATGACAATATGAAGTGATATTTGTTGTAATGCAGCAATATAGACAAAATACTTCAAAAGCATGGAATGGGTAAAGCCATCATGGCGCCTTACCAGAGGGGGTGGAATTTTAATTGGGTCTTTTAATTGGGTTAGGGTTACATGATGATTTATTCTTTGAGGCCTCTCTTGGAAATACAAACTTCTCTAAGTACTTCAGTATAACAAATATATTTGGAGTGATTTCAGAGCAAGATAATTGGTAGTTATCATTTTAAAAAAGCAAATGAAATATGCTTTAGCTCAACAACGGACATTCTTCTGGTCAAGGTAATTATCTGCAAAGTAATGATAGAGGCAGCAAGTTCCGCACACTCACTCCAGTCACTGTTTATCACTGATTCTTCTAACTTCACAGAGCATGAAAATCACAAAGAATTTAATATCCAGAACTTTGGATGAACTTCTATAGAAATGTGTCATGGTTGGAAGCAGGAAGTTAAGAGTCAGAATCCCCTAAGTTCTCCAACAGGAATATCATCTAATCAAAGATAAAAACTAATAAACTAATAGAAAAAACATTTATTTTTCTATTTATTTATCATTTACACCCAATTCCCTCCCAAAAATACATGAATAAAGGAAATAGTGAATAAGAGAAAGTCAAAATTGAGTTTGTATTAAAAAGACTTTTTACTTAAAAAGAGAAGTTCAAAGGAAAGGCAAGACATCACAAATGAGTGGCCACCGGTGGAATGACACTCACCTGAATCCCAGCAGGACTGATTTCATCAAAGCCTCCCACAGTATTGAAGATGAATTTTACAACTTTGTTAAAATTATCATCCCCGATGCTCCAAGAGGCATCAGTCAAGAACACAATATCTGCCTTGGCCCCTTTGCATACTACAAAAAAAGGAAAGCATAAGAAGCCCCAAATCTCATAAATTCTTTCATTTAAATGAAATCACATAATTGAAAATATAGTAAAACACCTTGCTATGCAAAGTGTGGTTCTGCAGCAACAGCACTGCCTGGGAGCTTGTTAGAAATGCAGAATGTTGGGTCCTACCCCAGACTTCCTGGATCAGTACCAGCAGTAATAAGATGACTCATATGCACAATAAATTTAAGAAGCATTGGACTAACAGATCCACAATACCTGCTCTGGAATTACTCCATTTGTTTAGATCCATTATGCAAAGATACAATCTTACCTCACGGAACTCTTCAAGTAGTTTTGAACAATAAATGAGAGGAGAGGAGAAATCAAATAAAAAGTTTGGAGATTTGGAATATAATTATTAAAGATTGACTTTATGCAAATAGGTCCTTTTTTTTTTTTTTTTTTTTTTCTTTTTTGAGACAGGGTCTCACTCTGCCTTCAGGCTGGAGTGCATTGGCAGTCTCAGCTCACTGTAACCTCCGCCTACCAGGTTCAAGCGATTCTCCTGCCTGAGCCTCCTGAGTTGCTGGGACAACAGGCACGTGCCACCACACCCAGCTAATTTTTTGTATTTTTAGTAGAGATGGGGTTTCACCGTATTGGCCAGGATGGTCTTGATCCACCTGTCTCGGCCTCCCAAAGTGCTGGGATTACAGGAGTGAGCCATCGCACCTGGCCAAGTCCTTTGTAAAATTTAAATTAAGCCACTAGAATCATATGTAGGAAAGAAGATTTTTATTTGAATATCTAGACTTGCAGGCTAAGAAAAAAATCTAAAAACAATTAACAAAATTTTAATTTATAAAAACTTAACATAGAGAAGTTTAACACTGAGAGTGAACCCTAATGTAAACTATGGACTTTGGGTGGTGATGATGTGTCAATGTAGGTTCATCGGTTGTAACAAATGTACCACTCAGACGCGGGATGTTAATAGTCGAGGAGGCTGGGCATGTGGTGGGGAAGGGCAGTCTGTCTCGGAGATGAAAAATCTCTGCATCGTGCCTGCAATGTTGCTGTGAACCTAAAACTACTCTAGAAAATAAAGTCTATTTAAAAAGAAAAAACTTATTTTTAAACCAAGATTATTTACTGAATTTCTTTCTATATCTAATTTAAAGGAACCCATTATTATTTTACCCTACAATATTACACTTTAAATTTTTAATTTTACTTATATAATAGGTTTAATAAAGTTGTAACATTCTACATCCTTCTAAGATAAAATAAAAATATATTTAAAATCTGAAATATTTTCTATTAAATGCTGGAAACAGCATATGAGAAAAGAATAATCCAGTAGTTATTTAACTAAAATTTAGCTTGATAAAGTGCTAAAGAATTGCCCTCAAATGCTGAGAGACCAACCTTAATAAATCAGTATGTCGTTTTACCAGTTCACTGCAAGTTACAATTATCTTTCACATTTTGGTGAATGGAAAATTTTTTAGCTTTGTGTAATCCAGGGAACTTCTCAGGTTGGACACCAGGAATTTTAAAGCCAACAGCCTCAAGGCTTAGGTTGTAAATATAGCCAAAAGGGTTCACAGTGCTTACTAATGCCAGCAGTTAGCAGAAAGAAATGTCCACCATGTAACCATGGATCATGGAAGACCTAAATCTGTAAAACTGAGGAAACAGACTTCTAACTGAAGAGCTGGAATAATTTATGACTGATTTTATTTACATCAAAATGTGCCCAGAGATGGAGAGAAACAAATTACTGGTAATCTTCTCTTTCAGTCTAAAAACTCTTCAGCAGCAATAATAAATCAGAAATGTTCTATATTAATTGTAAATGATGCACATGCAGCATAAATAAGAAGTCTGTAGCTCCCTATCAGCTGAATGTATTGCGTATTTAGCTGTACTTACCATCCCGGGCTGGTGGAATGGTGGGAGGGGGAGGAGGGGTGGGTGGCTCTGTAGGGGCTTCTGTTGGTTTCACAGCTAGAATTTAAAAATAATAATTATAAAAACACACCATGTGCACATTTTATATCCCAGAAAGTAAATTTTAAGAGCGATTTAAATCCTGAATACCAAATCAAGTCATACAAAATGAGACACCACCGTCATCAGTACTAACATACTAGGGATTTTATTCCATCCAAATTTGGTGTCACTGGTAGTCATTCAACATCCACTACAGCTACAGGAAAAAAAAGATCTAAAGGGAAAATGTAAGGCCTTCAGATAGGGTCAAATGAGCAAAAGTCACTAATATGAATTCACCTTCTCACTGTCAGCGAGAGCCATCTCTCCCTCCTTTAGCCCTTTCTCAAAGTAGCCCCAACTCGATAACAGGGACAACTTGCAATTGCTACAGAAAAAGGTCCTGAACCAGCTTTAGACTCCACATTCAGGAACTCACCATCATCCTATCATTATTGCTACCCTTGGGGAGAGGTACCTGCACAGGATTCACTTAAGTCTTCCTTACCTAGAGCATTCTATTCTAAAGCCTTATGAAGGCTTTCCAGATTTCTCAAAAACTTACTGGTATGTTCTTTAACAGAGACTCCTGGTCCCTCGAGATTTGGTGTCTGCACAAAAACAGTGACACCATAATCAGTGTCTGGTGAAAGGCCAGTGAAGCAGTGACTGGTTTCTGATCCACGCACTGTAATTTCTTGTCCCCTGGTTCCTGATTATGACAACAAAGGAAAATGCCAGTGTCATCATCAATTATATTTCAAGACAATTTTATATATCATTGTTATAAACAAAATGGTATCTTCTTTACTGAAATTTAAAATGTTTCCACTACAAGCTACAGATCATTTTTTTCTTTTTTACACACATACCATCTGCAGGGCTTAGTTTCAGCCTGTAGGAGGTGGCTGCCCGGTGAGCTGACCATTTGACACAGAATGTATCCCACCCAATCTGGTGAGTTTTCAGATCTGTTACATTTAAATATACTATAAAATAAAGAAAGAAAGAAAGAGATTCACTTTGTAAATTAAAGCAAAAAAATATACTTTTAATCATAACGCAATTTTCAAACTTTCACTGTGGCTGAAATAAAGTTCAAAATCATAATATGTTTCCTTAGAAGAAACACACGTGAATCGTATTTCAAAATGTGGTACTGCCAAAATAGACCCCCCTTTCTATCACTGATTTTCAAGGAAAGGAAATTCCGTATAGTCCCTCTCACAACTAAGAATTTAAAAAACTTCTCATGGAAAATAATGAAAACAGTTTCTAAAAGGCTATCTGCTAAGTCATTAAATAGTTATCAAAGCAATGCTGTGTTTAAAATATATCTGTGGACTGAATTACTAATCATGATTCAATAATTAAGTCAAATTAAATCAATGGATTTAGGTAATATATATCTTAATATCAAATGTAAAGAAGAACTAAGTAGCATCACAGATCTAATTTTACAGGTCATTCATGGATAAAATGATAATTTCTATAATTTTTATCTTTTAAAATTCAAAATATAGTATTTTATGTGAAATACACAAATTTCTCATCGTATACATTTTTATATACTCAATTATATATTTATGTATTTGGATAGGTATTTTGTCTACCCAGACACAAAATAGCCTGCCTACATAATGCTGAGGAAACATGTATAATTACATTATACATGTATAATTACATTATACATGTATAATTACAGTAAAATTAGAATAGGCTGACCTGGTAATTTCTACTACACTTTTTCTTACAACCATGAAAATATCCATGACTCACATGTAGTGCCTTGATCTGTCAAGGGGACACTGAGTCCAGAATCATATTGAGCATAAACATTCACATCGTAGGTGGTGCTGGGATTGAGATTGTGTAAGGTATATGATGTCATCTCTCCAACAAAGGCTTCCATGGGCTCATTGGAACCTTTATTAACAACCACAAAAATACACAGAAACATGCCATCACTAGCATGAAATTCTGCATAAAATTAAAGATCCTACAGTCAAAGGGAATCATGAACACCATTAATTCCATAGTCCTCATGCACTTACTCACTGGAGCACAAGCTACATTATATGGCAAATATGAAACTATAAGCAGACACTGATTTCTTCACCCTCCTATTTTCAAAGCACAGCACAGCATTTGGAATATAGTAGGTATATAATCAATGTTTCTTTAGTGAATGAATTCTCAAGCTTCTTTCTCAAGCCCTATTTTGCCAACATAGTGTTTTGCATATAGTAGGTGTTCAATTGACACTTTTTCATTTATTGTAGAGACGATCTAAGAACTTCTTTCTTGGACCTCATTCCACATACTTTGGCTGCTAAAGTCCTTAGATAGCAACCCCACTTTCTTTTTGAAGTTCTTTTTCTATTTCTTACATAGGTTCAAATTTTATTTCCTTTCTCTCGCCTTCTCTCCTTCATGTTTTTTCTAGTTCATACTCTTCCTGGATATATAGAAGATGCCCTAGCAAATTTGGTACGAAGAGCATTTTTCTTCCAGTTTCGCTAAGCATATAGACAGAATATTAAAACAAAAATAACAAATAGTTTAATCAAGGTGATATTAATTTAGGTCAAAATTTCAGAGGGGATTTGAAAGCAAGACTGTCATGAATAAACTGCATGGAATCTATGTCCAAAATAAAATAATACCTGGGTATAGTGGGGAAAATACAGAGGTATAATGATGGAATATTCATTATTTCATGATCATATAGGATGTCTGAAGACAGGCATCTTTGATTTGTGCAACTTTATGAACCAAGTCAAACATTTTAATCATGACATTTAATTAGAATCTCATCTATACCTATAATAACAATGGTATTTAAGATAATTGGCTTAAAATGTTAATGCCAAAAACATTGCCTTTGGTGACAGGAAACTTGGTGTGATACCTGAACTCTCAGGAGAACCTAATAGTGGGGGATGAAAGAGAAAATACCCTGATATGCAAATAACCCTCCAAAGCATTTCTATGATGACAAAGGCACTTCCTTACCCACTGGCTTATATACAATTTTATATCCAAGAACTGGAGAGGGTGAAGGGTCCCAGGACACCCTGAATCTTGTATACCATTCATCAGAGATGTGTATGTTCTGAGGAGGAAGGAGTCCCACTGAAAACAAACATTGGCACACATTACTGACCTTTCATTGGCACACAGGGAGAGCACAGAACTTTAAAAGTATTGGTAGGAAAGCCCAGTGGGAGCAATTTCATAATATTCCATAATGTCTTTATCCGGAAAACAAATAAAAGGCATTGAAGTATTCAAAAACTGCTGAATAGTTTTCCAAATTTAAAGAGCAACTGAAATAGACTCAAGAACTAGTGATTTCCAGAACAGCCTTCTCAGAAGGAAGCAGTATCCAGAGCTGAAACGTTCTATGACTCAGGATTATAGAAAATAAAAGAGATCTCAAACCATTTGTAGAATGTCATAGATTACAGATTGTTAGAAACAGAAAGCAATTTAGAGACTATCTAGTCCAACCACTTCATCAAATACATAAGATATTATTTGCCCAAAACCACACAGCTACCTAATAATGCTTTATCCCTATACCTCTCTATCCTCCACCAGCATTACCTAGAATGCTTCCAGAGATACTGCCTCCAAGCCCACAACTTATAAAATCAATACTGTTCAGGTAACATGTTAAGTAGTTGCTGAGTTTACTATTCACAGCATTACGCAAATAACGAATCTAACTTGAAAAACATTTTTTTCATAAGAGAAACAAAACATGACTTTGGCCCTTCCTGGAAAATATAAGATCTAGTTTTTAAAAATCCATTTTGATAAGCATGAAATTCTGAAATATGCCATTTTCCCCAGGAAAGTCCCAAAATACAGTCTAAAATCTGAAAAAAATTTAAAAAGTGAGGTTGTTAAAATCATCTTGAGTCATGTGAGTCTCCACTGACTCAGTCCTGTAGACAACAATATCAATAAATAGAGATTCTTGACCTTGAGAGACTGAGCTGAGTCAACTCTAGTCCTGCTTTTCCCTTAGGAGCTTTCAAATGTCACCTCTTTAAATTCTGTAATATTGTCAAGATCATTTAAGCTCAAAAAGACTTTTGGCAAGTGACTGCAGAAAGAAACCTGAAGTCATGTTACTTAAGTAGATTTTTGGTGAATGAAGTATAAAAGAGCAATGCCAGTATCTACCAGTAACAAAACTCAGATCTAGAGTTCATCCTACCTTTGTGCTTAACTAGTGACTCTCAGCCATTGCTGCACATTAATGAGAACATCAGCAGGTCCAGCTCACACCTCACACAGTTACATCAGTATCTCTGGGAGTGGAACCCAGGCATAAGTATTTTTAAAGCTCCTCAGGTGACTGTAGCAAGCAACCACCTTAGAAAATTTTTAAACCCTAAGAAATTACCACCAGTATAGTGTAAAAATGGGTCTGAATGCTGATAATTCTATGTAAATTGCTTAGTACAATAAAAAATACATTTTTCTTTTTAGAAAAAGCTAAATTTGTACATAGAAAATGATTGCTGATCATCTCACTTCTGTATTTATGACTTAAGATTCAATCACAATGGAATATTTCTTACTGATACTATATTGACTTAACAATTATAACCTTAACTGACACCATACCAATTGAAACATTATTCAGAGAATATGCAGTGGTTTTCCAAAGAAGAACTAGAACTATCTTAAGCAAATAAAAATATGCAGATGGTCTTCTTTTTCTTCACTTAGTGAACCATTAAAAAGTTAAAAACAAATTCCTTTCACATGTCATCATTTTGACAAAATTTAATGTCTAATACAAATAATACCATATTAGTGTGGTATTTGAGATATACTGGTAAAGATAAAATTTTGAGGTTTTAAAAGGTAAAAAAGCAACATTAAGATCTTAACAATTTCAAAGCAGAAACAAAAAGGGGGAGTACAAAACACTTACCAGTTCTTCCATTTCCTGTTAGATGGCCACCATCTCCATCTTCATAAACAGCAATAACAGTAATTTTATATGGAGTGTCAGGTTGCAGGGGCTGCAGTATTACATTATTTCTTCTGCCTGGGACTGTGGTCTATAAAGGAAGTTAAATTATAAATGTACTACCATCTAGAAGACTTCCAGATCAAAAGACAATATTGTTTTATGTATTCCCATAAACAGCAATAGTAGTTTTTTTCACATTTTATTTTTGCTGCACAATGCTCATGACAAGAAAAACTATCTTCACTTCTTCTCTGCAGCATAGGAGAGTGGTTTTAGAGTCAGACAGATCTGGGTTCAAACCCCAGATCAGCCACTTAACAGCCATGTGACTTAACATCTCTGAAGAAAACTGTATTAAAAGCAATGCCATGTACAGCACTTCAGAACACCTTACTGAGTACTCCAGCACTCAGTAATAAGTTTGTTTCCTTCAGATCTCATCATCACATGTTCTGCTTTCATGTACAAATATGTACCCAGTACCCACTGCGGGCCAGGCACAGTGGGACAGGTATTAGCTACTGAGAATCCACTGCTGAGCAAAAATTGACGAAGTTTCTGGCCTCAAAAATATCAGTTTGGATGATACTAGTTAGCTGAAAAAGATGGGAATACATTCAACTACCTCTTCAAAGAAGAAATGAACCAGACATCTCAATCTTTCTAAGCCTATGTTTTGTTTCTACAAACAACATGGATAAGGTATGCCAGTGAATCCTGGCCTGGAGTCCTATAACTACAAATGATAAATTGTATTCTTAATGTTTTCAGAAAGTAAAGGGAAATTACTTATTTGCCCATGGCAAGGTTGCACAAACACTAACCATGAGTTTCTCTGCTTTGGCAAACTAACTATAGTAGTACTGTTTATCACATTTTGATCAGAAACTATAAATGGTAGTTACATGTGTTTCTTATTAATAAAAGTAGGGACTTGAATTAAAGGTTACTATATCAAATTCCAGTAGATGAAATATTTCATCACATGGGGCTCAGGGAAGGAAAATTATCTAAGACAATCTATGTGGTAAAAAGATGGCAAACCACAGACCTAATTTACAATCAACATCTTGTGCAATATTCTGCAAGCATATCGCAGCAATTAATCACTAAATTTCAAATAAAGTAGTTTTTCCATTTTTCCACTCATAACAAATAGATGTGCATAGTGAGGGCTATGAGGAAGCTGTCAGAAACTTGAATCTGGTTCTGGAAAGACAAACTATGACACTCAAAAAGTTTGAAGCTAATAGGAGAGTATGTATATTACAAAACTAATGTGTACCACAAAATGTTAAGCTTAAAGAAAAGAGAGATCAATTAACACTGGAATATTTAAGGGAGACCTTGTAGAGGAATTACATTTGAGAAAAGGGTAAGATTTGGATGAATACACTATTTGAATATTAACTTAGACATTCCAGAATGATAGGTATCATATTTCACTAAACTTGGTTCCTGTGGTGTCATTAGGTGGTTAGAAATGTTCAGTTAATCATGCGATAAGATAGTTTTCCTATCTGTCTTTAGAATAAAAATGAACCCAAAGACAGTGCTTCTCTGTGGTATGGGAGGCCAGAAAGACTAAGCACCCTTGAGTGATCCCAAAGTCATGTCAGAGAAAAATCATAAAGTGTGACTATCAAGGACTCAACTATACTCACAGCATACCTCTAAAGAAGTTTAACTTCACCGTCCATTCAGCTAAGATGATAAAATGTGCCAATAAATGAGTATTAGACTTACATATTCATCAATTGGATCACCAACAGTGGGAGAATAGATGATCCTGTACTGCTGAACTGGCCCGTCAGCATGATCCCAGGCTACCGAAAGGCTATTGGTTGTTTCACCAAACACTCTCAGGTTCCTTGGTCCACTCCGTGGTACTAAATAAATAAAATACAATAGAGTTTGTTGTCTGCCTGTGAGCATTACCTAGGCCAGATTAAGGAGGTTTCTTGCATGTGTTTCACTCACCATTCACTCGGATGTTTCCTCCCATATAATAAAATACACATTTATGGTTTTAACGTGAAATCATAAACAGTGTATTTCAGAGCTATGGTTACATGCTGAACTTTCAGTGACCTAGAGCTAGCTTTGAAAGGTAGACTAGGCCAGGCGCAGTGGCTCACGCCTGTAATCCCAGCACTTTTGGAGGACGAGGCGGGTGGATCACGAGATCAGGAGATCAAGACCAACCTGGCTAACCCGGTGAAACCCCGTCTCTACCAAAAACACAAAAAATCAGCCGGGCGTTGTGGCAGGCGCCTGTAGTCCCAGTTACTTGGCAGGAGAATGGAGTGAACCCGGAAGGCGGAGGTTGCAGTGAGTCGAGATCGCACCACTGCACTCCAGCCTGGGCAACAGATACAGGCTCCGTCTCAAAAAAAAAAAAAGGTAGACTAGGAAAAAGGAGAATTATTTTAACCACTATAACCATATCTATTCGATAAAACATAACGACTAAACCCTCACATTTCCAAAGTCCCCATTTGGTAAGAAGATTCACTGCAGACTAGAAAGAGGGAAAAAAGGAAGATGCAGGGTAGAAGAGGAGAAAAAGGGGAAAAACCCCTCCTTAACTCATGTCCCAAATGAGAACACGAACAGATGAAGTTCACATCACACAAACAACAGTCACAGACCCAGTGTTTTCACCTGGAATGTGAAGGTAGGGGATCCCAGGCAGAAAGCACCCATCTCTCACCACCCCGCTCCCACCCGTCACTCAATCAGAGAAGCCCTGCCTATCTAGCTACAAGGGAATGGAATGGAGAAAGGATTTCTGCCTCACGCGTTCGGCCCTGGGCAGGGCTGGGATTTCCCTCTCCATCTGAGTATAGAGCCACAAGGTTCACGGAATAGAGTGTGTCCGGAATCAGCCGCTCCAGATGCACCATGCGTGTGTTTCCTGGCACCACTATCTGCAGAGGAGGAAATGCCAAATTCTGCCTGACAACTCAAATGCTTACCAAGTCTTCAGTTAGTCATCACAATAGTATTTATAATAAAATGTTGAGCCCAGCCACATCAGAAGCCAACTGTGCTTCTCCATGAGATCCACCCAGACCATATCACTAAACAAAATTTGTCCTCAGAAATTCCCTTTCCAAAAAAAGTGACCTCATCCTTGACCCTTAGTAGCTTCAGTTATCTCCATTTATATTTATTATAAAGATTCTCAAATATAACATGCAAGGCTCATGATATTTCCTCAAAAAACATCCTGCATGTTAAATACACACAAGAATGGGGACTCTTACTTGTGGTGGGGGAGATTTTGTGTTGAAATAGAGACTCCATGCAATGCATACAGGTAAAGTTGTCTTAATATGTTCTACCATACAGGGACATGAAAATCAATGTTCTTATCAAATGCATATATTATTTATAATTTGTTTATCTTCATCAACATTGTTTATTTTTGCAAAGACTTATAAGTTAAATTAGTTTATACATTTACTTTCCCATAGGTATTCTGATACTATGCTAATTGAAATTAGCAATTTCTGATTTCTAAATTGTTAGCCTACTTACAAAACTGAATAATGTTATGAATTAAAGATAGATTGGGCAATTTGTAAGAACTAGTGAAGGTAAATTTTAAAATATTTTCATAACAAAGACATATTGACAAGGTCTAGCAATTATTTACATTTATTACTGGGTTTTTAACCCATCCAACTAATTCACATTTTCCCAAAATTCTTTTTATTCTTACTAATCCTATAATTAATACACCTACCTCAAATCATCAAAAACAATAATTTAAGTATTATACACCGGCATGTTTGTGGTTTGTGTTCTCCCAGGTTATCAAACATGACACAAACATGTGACTACATTCATCAGGAAATGCAGTTTCCATGACAAAATTACTTACAGATTCTGAGGGTCTTGTGCCATCCACAGGGGAATACACAATGCGATACTGCAGCACAGGTCCTGGTGCAGGGTCCCAGCGAACATCGAGGCTGTTAGGTGTAGGATTGTATACTTGGACATTTCTTGCCAGTCCTCTCATCACTGAGGAAATGAAGGCCAACATCTATTTCTTAAGTCTGTTTATATATCTCAAGCTTTTGTATCACTTTTCCAGAACCTACATTCTGTAACAGGACAAAATGCTATCTTCTTTATATTTCTAATTACCTACACGCAAAGGCAGATTAAAACTCTCCAAATCCAAATTTAGTTAAAGTTAGCAAGCATGGCCTTTGTCTATAAGGAAGCAACATTGTATTCAATTAAAAACAAGTTAATAAAAGTGGTGGAACTGGATTGGCCATAAAGGGTCATGGGATAGAGAAAAGAAATAGGAAAAGTAGTTTCAGTTTTCCAATATAGGTAATGGAGAGAGGAAGAAGAGACATTTTTTAAGAGTCTGCCTTCTAAGTAAAATCTGACAACAGCCATTAAGCTCATCTGATTCGGTCAGCTAGTTACAACCATTCATTACTTCTTCATTTAACAATTGCTACTCAATATCTTTGTGATTAACAGAAAAGGTAAAAGGAGAGAAAAATAAGATATACCCAGTTCTCAATTAAGTGCCCCAATAGGAACTTAGAAAAACCTACCAATTAAATTGATGTACTAATTCCAAACTCTAATTTAACCAATAACATCATCTTCCTAGACCACTAATCTTTTACCAAAAGAAGACATCCATGCTTGGTTCCTTTTAACCATCAGCAAGTATATTTTTAAAGCCAAAGAAGTATTTCTAAATCTGCACAAAAGCCTTTAAGCAATACTTAAAAAAAAAAAAAAAAAAAAAACAGTAAAACCACTATAAACGGCTTTCTAAATGAAAGCATACAGATTTTAAGATCAAAAAAGCACTTCAACAAACAAACTAAAGACATATGAAATTAAGTAATGTGCTGAACAGATTTCAACAATTTGCACTATGAAAGCCAATTATAAACAGTCCTTCACAACAATTTATAAAGCATAAAGCAAAGCTCAATGAATTTTTGTCAATGAAAGAGATTAAGCAAAGTAGCATACTGATGATTATATGCACTTTTACAAATCCTAAAATTATCATTTCAAAAGAAGATGCTATTATAGATTTGTTATTTCACAAAATGTTAACATTTGGTGTTAGGAAGGTAAACTATGGCTAATTTTTATGTTTTTAATTCTATCACACCAAATTTTCCTAATCCTCTTTAATGGGCCTTTATGGCCTTTATAATGAAAAGCAACATTTATGATGAAAAATTAATTTTTTGGCCTTATTACTTACATGTCCTTCCAGTATCTGATGTGCGTCCCCCATCACCTTCAGTATAAACGGGAACTACCGTCACAGTGTACGAAGTATCTGGCTGGAGATTCCTAAGAATGGCATAATTGGTATTCCCGGGGATTGGAACCTAAATATTTTAATAAAACATAAAGCACTGACTTGAAAAATCTGTGAAAGAAATAATAATTCAAATAATACAATACCAACTCAAGACCAAGTCAAGAAGCAGATTCTGTAATATTAGGATGTAATAATGTGCCCCCACGTGACCTGTTACAAGAGGTTACATATTTCCCTATACCCCTCCAACCACCCAATACTCCCCATTTAGAACTTCCCAGAATGGCTACTTCTTCCCCTGACCAGGGGGAAGAATCCTGGTCCCAATCCCTGTTACCCAGGCTCTGAGGCATCAACTATTTACCCTCTATCAAGTCTTATTAAATGAATATGAAATTCTTCACTCTAAAGTAAACTGGTTAACTCCTTCAGTTTCACTTTTAAATCACTCAGCTACCATTTAAACATATTAGCATTTTTTACTACAAGAAATAATTACCAGTTCCTCTGGACCATCTGCTGCTGGTGCATAGAAGAGCTTGTACTGACGAGGATTTCCCTCTGCATGGTCCCAGCGGACATTCAAGGTGCTGGTAGAAGGGTCATACACTCTTAGGTTCCTTACAGTGTTTAGAGGTTCTGAAATGCACAGAAATCCCATCACAGTATAGTGCTAACAATCAAGCACACATGAAACACAGATTCACTGATATCTCCCAGGCACCCTAGAACATAGCAGGTACCGCACAAATATTTGTTGAAGTAGTGAATAAATGACACATACTGTGTCTGTGTCAGTCTGATGCATATGTCTCATCTATCCACATGACATTTTTGTCTTAGAGCATCTTTCTATCCTAGAAAGTAACATCTTTCTCCACAAATAGAGACAAATAATTCCAAGCAAGGATGTTAAAAACTATTAATATGGCCAGGCACAGTGGCTCATGCCTGTAATCCCAGCATTTTGGGAGGCCGAGGCAGGCAGATCACTTGAGGTCAGGAGTTCGAGACCAGCTTGACCGACATGGTGAAACTCCATCTCTATGAAAAAATATAAAAAATTAGCCAGGTGTGGTGGTGGGCACCTGTAATCCCAGCTATTCGGGAGCCTGAGACAGGAGAATCGCTTGAACCCGGGAGGCGGAGGTTGCAGTGAGCCAAGATCATGTCACTGCACTCCAGCCTGGGCAACACAGCAAGACTCCGTCTCAAAAAATAAATAAATAAATAAACTATTAATATTCTTTGTAAATGAATTTTTAAATATTAGTAAAACTTTGTGTCACCCCAGTGTTTCCAGATAAAGAGATGATTCCATTCTAATAGTAGCTATTAAAGAAGCTATAGGAACTCAGGTTTCACTTACTGGTCTTGCCTCTTCCCGTCATCCGACCTCCTTCACCATCAGGATACAAAGAGGATACGGTGATAGTGTAAGGAGTGTCTGGCTTCAGTTTCTGCAGGACCACACTGTTCTGCCGTCCTCCTATTGTGGTCTTGAGTAAAAAGGGTCTTGGTAAGTGTTAGCCTTGCTCTCTCCATCTCACTAATCTGTTAGAAAAAGCTCTTTCTACAGGGAAGCTGTTTGAGACCCTTGTCCAGTTCTAGAATTACGAACCACAGCAAAGGTTTAAAATACATCTTATGGTATAATTTTAAACGTAAAATATGCACCTCAAATCATAAAAAGAATTCCAAGCTTTAAACTGGTGACCCCAAAAAGATATTTCAACTTGCTAGCCACCAGCACTGTAAAATTTCATCCAAAACACATTTCACAGAACTTCAAAAAAAAAAAAAAGGCATTAATCATAAGTGAGCTACAAAGAGACTTTAAGATACCAAAGAATTGCATAATTTTAGAGGCTCCACACCACTTAATATTATTCTTACTTTTTTAACAGATGTTTTTATTTGCTTTACAAACACATTAAAATGATTCAGCATACAGTATAAAGCTCTTGGTGTTTCCCCCAAGAACACTGTCACTCTAACAGCCTTAGTTGTGTTAACAACATGACCAGACTTTTGCCAGGCCACACTCGATCAGGGGTTTCCAGTTGTCTCCATCATACCAGCCCAGTGGTATGAAGCTTTTCAATTTACTCTAATTATGAAGCTTAAAGTTTTTATTCGTTACTTAAGGCCATCTAGCTATCTTGTTGAAAGAAAATTTGTACAATTTATTAACAGTCTACCGAATTCAGATGTTTATGTCATACTAATTAAAATCGCATGAAAATGGCACACTGCCCAAAATGAGTGCACATGTAGATGGCTGGATGTGCTAGAAGAAACCAGATGTTTCCAACTTAGCACCCATCCACTCAAGTAGTCTGAATTCCAGAGAAAAACCCAGTGAATCATGGTCGTCATCCTCAATATGGACAAACTGAACTACCATGGCTAATTTTAACAAATTTCATATTTGAGGTTATGAGAGAAAAGTATCAATAACAGTATAAGCCATTTTGATAAAAACCTGATGCATAACAAATCTGAAAGCCTACTTAGGAGAACTGCCCTTATGAGTAAGCAGAGGGGCATCTACCTACCTCTCCCATCCAGCTCCCCAAAATAATTCTAGCATCAGTTATTCATCATTGTCATGATTTCATGGACTAGCATTAAAATCCAAGTACCCCAAAGACTAACAAAGCTTAAGGGCTTCATACTTTCCAGAGGATAAGTTTATGAGACTCTTTATAATAACAAACAGCTGGAAGACAGTAAAAGAGACTCAGGAGAAGCAGCTGGAACATCAATGTTCCCAAGATAGGAAATGCTAAGAACAAACTTCTCCTGACTTGTAGTTTTACCAAAATCTGGCATGCCATAGAAAAAAAAGAAGTTCCGTTTCTGAAATTAATATATCAGCCCATCTAATTTGTCTTATCTTATTTTCATATAAAAGTCTATTGATTACAGTTGATATTAAGTTTATTAATGATAATCTATTTACCTAAAACAAACAAATACTCAGTCCAAATGCATCATACTACCTAAGACTGGAGCTATAAAAGCCTCAAAAGACCAACTCAAAGTCACAGTAGAGATGGGAAGGTTTCTGATTCGGCTAAGCTTACTAACTGGGTACTATCAGAGATCTTTAACCACAAACCTTAGATTAATGCCAACCTCTACCTTGGCTAATACCTCTAAACTGATAAGAGATATGACCCATTTGCTTGAGCTTGGCAAGTCAGATGATTAAAGGTTAATAACACATGTGTCTCTAAGGCTATATATAAAAATATTATAGCCAAAAAAGTCAATAAAACTCTGTACCTCATCAAAACTGGAGATTTATTTTGAAATAAATCAGAAAACATAATCATACCTATGTAAAAATCATGGGGCTTCCTGACCTAGGATAATACATGCAGTTCTAATTATATAGTTTACAAAAGGCAAAGTTGTAGAAAGCCCCAAACCACAGAACTAAAGTAAGGGAGGTAAAATGGAAAAAGGTTCTCTTAAATAATGAAAGACTAGGAAGAGAAAGAGGATGAAGACTGAGTTTACAGTCCTATCATCTTTCTTGGGGACTTCCATTTGGATAACAGAAAAATGAAAAACAGTGTAAATTAGGTTAACAGGCTTCCATACCTAGAAACACCAGATCTAGAAGATAGCCTATGACATGCAAAAAAAAACAGGGAAAAAATCAGATAAATAGAAAATAAACATTATAGGTAAGTTTAGCAAACTTTCAGCACTTGATTAAGTTAGAGAGAGGAATGGAAGGTCGACACAGATACAAAAACTATCTGGATATCTTCGTGGATAATCTAGCACTAATAGTTTTTAAAGGAACTATGGATGCATTGAGGCACATGCCTCATGCTTTGGGGCTATGAGGAAGAGCAACTATCATCTCTCATGAGAACATCCATTGAGTCTCCATGATGGCACTCCACGTGGAGTGCCAGCTAAAGAGTCAGATGATCCATCCAATGCAATAAATCTTAATATCCCTTAAAAAGTAAGTATGACTAACTAAACACTGAGGGGGAAAAAGAGTTTGAAAAGAAATGGGTAGAATTTATCCAAGTTATAATTTTTATTTAAAAATTACCGTTTGCTCATTGCCTTCCCCTGTGGAAGGCTGATAAGTGATCCTATATTTCTGCACACGACCACTAGCAGGATCCCACTTAACAGTCAAGCTGTTAGATGTTGCATTGTACACTTGAAGGTTTCGTGGGCCACTTTTGGGAGCTGAAAGAAGGTTGTTGAAAAACAAAGTAAGCAGACAGAACAATGCCTCCTCCTAAAATATATACAGCTCCCAAGGCAACCAGAGAATTCTATGCCTCTGGGTTTATAATTAAATTTGACCCCCTAATAAAAACGGTTATTGATTCTTAAATGACTCCTTAGTATGGACTTTCATTTTGTTTCTGTCCCCACAAACATGACATGTAGAAGTTCCAACTTCCAATATGATGGTATTTAAAGATGGGGCCCTTGGGTGATAATTAGGGTTAGATTAGGTCATGAGGGTGGGGCTGCCATAATGGGATTAGTCTGTGTAAGAAGAGACATGAGAGAGCTTATTCTCTCTCTCTCCACCATGTGAGAGAGTGAGAAAGTGAGAGAGACTGAGAAAGGGCTGGCTAGCTATAAGCCGGGAGGAAAGCCATCATCCAGAAACGAATTGAATAGCACCTTGGTCTTGGACTTCTCAGCCTCCAGAATTGTGAGAATATAAATTTCTGTTATTTATGCCATCCAGTCTAATCTTTTGTGATGGCACCCCAAGCTGATCAATACACTCCAAAACAAGTAGTAGCAAAGCAAAGTTTTTCAAGAAAAGCCTACTTAAAAGAGTTCTCAATGAACATCTTAGGATTTAAAAGCAGATAACCTATTTATAATGTATTTTATGGTACTTTTCATTCATACATTCATTCATTATTTGTTCATTCAAACAATTCAGCAAATTAAATTCTTACCTTGTGTTGTTAAGATAGGCACTAAAAGAAAACAGAATTTGGGGACACATTACTAATATAGCTGTAGCCCTATTTTTTAAAAATTAACTTTAAAATATCAATGTCCTATTTGAAAGCTAAACACCTACATGTGCGCTCACTGCCAATCAGGTCATCACTTTCTGACTCATCAGGATAGATGGCAGTAATGGAAACTTCATAGACGGTGTTGGGATTCAGGTTTTCGAACATCAAAGTATTTTCATCTCCATTTAAGATGGTCTTGGAGAAAGAGGACAAAAACATATCCACGCAAAAATAAGTCTCCACTTACATCATACACACTCAATGTCAGTTTGTTTACATTATTTAGCCAGATGTTCCTCCTGCTCTGATGCATGTCATGAGCTCAAATGTCAATAAATGCTTATTGACAACAAAAGTAATACTTCTTTAAAGTAAGCTTCCTTACAAATTAAATGGGACATGAAAAACAAAGAGAAAGATAAAGAGAGTTAACTACCTCCATCTTATCTGAGCTTCCAAAAGGTGCCCAAGTTATTCTGTAGAGAGACACATCTGAAGCTCCATGATCCCAGGTCCCTCTGAAACCCTCTGATGTTACTTCAGTAATCCTTAGGTTTGTTGGGGCTGGCACGGGTCCTATCATGAGAAAAGGCAAGCAGACTAAGTTTTTGAATGTGAGATACAAATGCAATTTAATATAATAAAACTTCCTTGTTTTATATTAATGGACATCTGAAAACTGATTGAATATATTGCTTAGAACCAAATATTTTACCAATTCCTAGAGCTCTGAAAACTGCAAGCATTCTGTGGATATAATACGTTATTAAGGATATTCTATTTAAATGATGATTTTTTTAAGATACCATTTAGTACCTTTCTCCAACTTTTTAAGAATCAAATCAACACCATGGACTCTTTTACACAGCAATACACAATACACAAAGCACAAACTCGGCCTACATATCAGAGTTAATGGACCTTCTCCAGTCTATCAATAACCCCAGAGACATACATAGACTCCAGGTTAAGAAGTCCTTCTTAACTAAGAATGTCATAAACTAGGTATGCTAACATATTATACATTAAAGATGATTCTCAAGGAAATAGTTATTCATTTATTGTTCATAATTTGTTGTTCTGATACCCAAAGGAAATAGTTTCATTTTTATTTTTAAAAACCACACATACCACCGCAGTTTATGAGAATGTCTGTCTAGCTGTAAACAACACTAAAGTATTGCACTCTGACAATTGATTAGAACATACATACATACTGCTACACATACAGTGAATTCCAATCTAGGAGTATTGTCACAGGAAAGGAACTCTGAGCATGTTACGATCCAGGTAACACACACACGTAGCTTCTTCCTATAGATCACCAACCTTAAACATGATATGAAACAGAACATGCTGACCCTGTTCAGACAACTGAACACCTGGAGACCCAAATGACTGCTGAAATCCCCTTTCACAGCCCCTCCATTGACCAGGTCCTCTGGCTGTTTTGCAGCACAAGCATTTTTTATGTCTGCCACCATTCCTGAGCTTTCATTGTCACTTATTTCTCTCTTTATTTGGTAATCAAAGCTAATTACACAAAACCCAGAGCCATTAAAAATTTGTTTTAATAATTACAATGAAAAGGCCCACTGAGATAAAGAGAGTGGTACTATTTCCACCAGCACAACTGCAAAACAAAGCAGCTATTAAGAATGTACTTTAAACGTATCTGAAAATTATTTGGAAATCTTAAGGTTTGAAAATATATATTAAAAATATTAATCTACTATACTAAATTACCTGTCTCACTAGCCTTTCTTCCTGACTTCCTTTTCTGTTCACTACACCTGTTATGTTATTTTTATGCAAAGCTGTCAGTCTACTGATGCATATGCATCAATTCTCAGCTCCAGCTATGACCCTTACCAGGTAAGAACTTAAGCCAAGAAAACAAATGAAATTGCTAAGAGATCTAAAATGGTAAGAAAATAGCAGAGTCAAAAAGGGAGAAGTAGATATGTCTGAAGTTAAGAAGCAGGTTATGGTCGGGCGCGGTGGCTCAAGCCTGTAATCCCAGCACTTGGGGGGGGGGGGGGGGGGGGGGGGGGGGGGGGGGGGGGGGGGGGGGGGGGGGGGGGGGGGGGGGGTGAGGCCATCCGGGCGAAAAAAAAAAAAAAAAAAAAAAAAAGCAGGTCAGCCTGTAATCCCAGCACTTTGGGAGGCTGAGGCAGGCAGATCACAAGGTCAGGAGATCGAGACCATCCTGGCTAACATGGTGAAACCTCATCTCTACTAAAAATACAAAAAATTAGCCGGGCAGGTGCGGTGGCGGGTGCCTGTAGTCCCAGCTACTCGGGAGGCTGAGGCAGGAGAATGTCGTGAACCTGGGAGGTGGAGCTCGCAGTGAGCCTAAATCAGGCCACTGCACTTCAGCCTGGGCAACAGAGTGAGACTCTGTCTCAAAAAAAAAAAAAAAAAAAAAAAAAGCAGGTTATAACATTTGACAAGATGCCCTAATTAGGTATAGGCAGCTAGGCACTAAAAAACTTGCTATTGAGCCTTTAGTGAGGAATTTTCTGGAAAGGAGGAAAAGGTTCCAGACTATAGTATCAGTCCCATCAATAGATTACAGGATGTGGCTGGGCAAGTTGCTTAAATTCTCTAGACCTGTGCTGTCCACTATGGAAACCACTAGCCACATGTAGTTGGCTATTGAGCACTTAAAATGTGGCTAGTCTGAATTGAGATGTGCTCTAAGTGTAAAATACCCACTGGATTTTGAAGACCTGTTACAGAAAAAAGGTAAAATGCCTCGTTAATAATTATTGTACCATATAATTATAGCTAATGAAATTATAATGGATATATTTGGATCTACTGGGTTAAATAAAACATTATCAAAATTAATTTCATCCATCTATTTTTGCCTTATTTAATGTGGACACCAGAAAATTTAAAACTACATATACAGCTCCCATTATTTTTGTTTGGAACACTGCTGGCTCTAGGCCTTAATGTTTCTTTACTGCTATTTGCATTATGTAATGGGCTGAGCACTGGATTAAGTTATTATGTGCCAGGTACTGGAGATACAAAGTTGAGCAAAATGTCTCTTCCTTCATTAGGAGAGAGCAAGGGGGAAGTAGAATCCATAGCAAAAGACCAACAGGCAATAATGATTGCATTAAATACTATGGAGACACCACAAGAGGGAGAGGAACGGACATCTCCAGGAGCTGCAGGAAGTAGGGTCTGGGCAGGCTGCCTGTCTCCCCCCGCACTCCACTCACAGTGCAGTCACCCCTTCCTCTGAAATCTGACAGCACACAATCTCAGTGCCACCTGATCTTCTTTACATGATCTTATGTATTCTCGATTAATTTTTTTCTTATCTCCACAACTAAATCATGAACCAGTGAGGGCAAAGACGCTTATATTTTGTTACCCTTGATAACACTTCACGTATAGTAAGATACTCCAAAAAAATTTATAAATAAAGCATCTTTTCCAAAGCAAATGTGCAACATATGTCAAGAAAACTTGCCCACCCCACTACACATACATGCACACACATACACAGGTGCACATCAAGTAGTTGTAGTTCGAAGATAAATTAATGCCAGGGGCTGATGGAAAGTATCATAAAAGGAATGGATGCAAAGATAGAAGATGGGACACCTTGTTCCAAAGAAAATAAGTGAAAAACAATCTATGAATCCAAGTATTATTAAATGTCAGCAAAGGTAGTAGCATTAAGAAACAAAATGACCCAGTAAATTGAGTTACACATGCATGTAAAGTGTTATTTCCCATTATCAATGGAGCAGGAGCACAACTCACGGGTAGTTTCTTGAGCAGTCACTGGAGGAGACTCCCCCTCATCATGTACTGCAGAAACGCTGACTGTGTACAGGGTCTGTGAGAAGAGGTCTTTGAGGGAAGTGCTGGTCTCTGATCTGTCCACCTCTACCTATAACAGTAACAGAGCAGTGGAACTACTTTTACAAAGGGTTTACTTTTGATATCTCTCTGTTGTTTATTTACCTGTCAGCATAAGAATATAAAATCTGTGATCAGAAAAGAGTAGTGTTTTCCAATTTACATGAGAATCCAGAAACTGGACACAGTTTAAGTATTTCCAAACTGGAAAAAAAAAATGTATGTACTAGTCCATACTGCACATGATTGTCTAGAAAATAATGACTGCCTATGTATTCAAACAACCTAACCATTTTTCCACCTGTTTCCCTTTATATCACTGCATTATTTGTTTCAGCAGTGGTCTCTTATGCACTGCATTATTTCATTTGCTATGTACAGAACCTTGTGAGATCCACTTGCCATTGTACCCCTTTTAAATGAAAATGCAGAATGAAATAAATGTGTGCACCTGTATAAAGTAGCTTTTGTATAATCCACATATGACCAGCAGAACCAGTAACTGAGTGCTTAGAGAAATGACTCCTATGTTCCAAAAATGCCTCTGAGATTCTGACATTAACACTCCCTCAAGCACACACAAGTTTTGCTGGTTCGTGAAGCCCTTCTAATTTGCGTAACTTTGAATCCAGTCATCATGGAACTCCCAAAAGAATACTCCCAAAAGGACACCCCTCTAACAATATACTCCTCCTTTCTGTGTGTCTCTGTGTATACTCCTCCCTTCTCTAGTGTCCTATCTTCCTGTTATCTGACAAATTCCTCCTCTTCATCGCTGCATCCTCTTGCTACCTCTTATTTTTAGAAACATTGTGACATTTTCTAGTAATTCTTAGAATAGGGAGCCATATAAGGAATCTGGATGAGGAGGAAATACCATTTAGATTTGATAACTTTGTATCTACCAAGGGATGATGTTTTTGAGATTAATATCACACAGCAAAACATTTCTGTTTTGACAAGACAGTCCAATATATTATTGATTTTCAAAAACTGCTTTATTAATATCACAAGTTTTCAACACTGTGCTAACAAAGTGACAAGTATTCAAAACATGCTATCATCCATACTTGATAAAGCTCTTCTTTAAAACCTACTAGGAAAACAAATATTGTCATATCTACTATCATCTTCAACCTACCTCTTTGACATCCTCTTCCGGTGTTTTGTATCGAACAATATATTTACGCACTTTTCCAGGCACAGGTTCCCAAAAGACATTCATAGTGCTGTGAGTCACATCTCTGAGTTTCAGATCCTGAGGTCTGGGTAAAGGCACTAGAGAGGCACGAGATATTAAATCCAGATGTGCTTCTCAACCACAAAGCTCTAAAGCATCCACATAAGCTTTCAAGAAGTTGTTTGGGAAAATTTAAAGGTGTTTGGCAAAATAACTGAAACAAATAGCTATGATGATAAAAGTACCATGATTCTATCAGATAGACTGAATTCTTCTTAAGAAGGTTTTCCAAAAATAGAATATATTTAATTTTCTGTTATCACAAGGTTATTATAAGAGTAATTATATGTTACTCTTCTTCCACACTATTTAAACAATCTCTTGCTGCTCAATCCCATAATAAATCATAATTCATCATAAATATACAGCTCATGTTTCTTTTTCAGATATTTAACTCAATTAAGACAGAAAACTAAATCAATAGAGTTATGCACCCTTAAGAATGTGACAGAAAAAAAAGTTACAGAGTGAAGAATGAAGATGAGCCAACATTAAGCATCCAATAGGCTTTATGAAAACCCAGACACCTAAATTGTTAGAAGAAAATCCAAATGATAAATGCTTACCAAATCTAACATAACTTTCCATTAAAAAAGGGGGAAGGAGAATAAGGAATGAGGAGATTTTCTCTGGTAATATGAGATGTATTTTGCTCTTTCCAGCTGCCCATTTGACTAGTTTAACTTGTAGAGACTCTTTCTGGCTCTCACTCTGACTCTACGTCTGTCTTCCTAACTCTCTAGCTCCACTTCCACATTTCTGCGCCTCCATCTCTTCAACGTTTTTGTCTTGTGCATCTCTCTCTGCCCTCCCTTCCACTACTGTTCCAATCCAGCACCACACCCAAGTTTGTGACCATATTTGTTTTTAATCTCACTGTGACTTTGGGTCTCCTCTCTCAGCACTTTCAGAACATGCGTCTATCCCTGGCTGACTCCCCATTCCTTCCGTCTGCCACTATCCCATTTTCACAAAACCACCAGCCCCAGACAGGATCTAACATATAAAGGAGGATTAATAAGTATTTGTTTGTTGTCAATTAATTTACAATGACCCATCCTGTAGAGGATCTTTCTCTTCTCTGCCCCATCATGCTCTGTTTCCTTAGTCCCTTTTTCCTCCTTGAAGTTCCTTCAAAACTCTTCATTTTCTCAGAAGTGTGGGCCAAGACTCATTAAATTTAAGCCAACTTATCTATCCCAGCATGTCAATCTCCCCAGGCATGAAGCAAAATACCAGCTGGGTAAGGCAAGAAGCCTAAGTGTAATCATTATCACTCTTCAAGAAAAAAGCACCTAAATGCTTAGTGAAACAAGACAGAAGTACACAAAAGGCTGACCAACACACACAAGAGAAATGCAAACCAGGAAGGAGTCCATATGGTCTATGCTGCATTGTATTATTTCATAATGGCATTCCCAACATCCAGCCCAGTGACTGGCATATAATAGGGGATCAATATGTCTTTGCATTGGGTAAATAGATTAATTCACTTAACGGAAACAGACTTATTCATATGTGCCATAGAGTTTCTACATCAACAAGAACTTGGAGCACCTTGATATTAAACCCGATGTCTTCCTCCAAAATAACACTCACTCAACATTCCCATTCTCATCAATGCTATATGTCATATTTCATGGATCTAGGACAACATCATTCATAAGATACACCATTGTCTTACATTGTACATCCTAACTGGCACCTAGCCAAGAGCAATAATAGTAAGATACCATTGATTGTAAAACACCTTAATTTCAGGCATGTTAAATGTGAAAAAAATACACATCCTAGAGTCAATTTGAGATGCCTCCATAAATCTAGAATTGAGATATTTATTCTCAAATTTGATTGCCAAAAGTAATAACTCTGTAACTTTATATATAAAGTATCAAATTATTGTTAGCATCACATGAAATAAATTCTAATGAACATTAGGTTCACAGCAATAAGAAGGGAAATAAAACTAGCAATAGCTTACAGGTGACTTCCCGAACAGTGACGGGTTCACTAGTGAGGTCGTGCAGGACAGCCTGGACTGTGACTGCATACTCCGTGTTGGGAACAAGGTCAGTCAGCTGCATGTCATTCACTGTTGGCCCCAAATGCATCTGCACATGGATATGCACAGCAGAAATAAGATGTTCAAATCAAACTTTTCCATTTATCTTTGGGATAGTCAATTGAAGTCTATTTGTACTAGATTATAATACAGCTTGTATTTTTCATTTATAAGATTACATTTCCTTTTCCACGATGATTTTTTCTTTTTTTTTTCTTTTTTTTTTTCTTTTCTTTCTTTTTTTTTTTTTTTTTTTGAGACAAAGTCTCGCTCTGTCACCCAGGCTGGAGTGCAATGGCTCACTCTCAGCTCACTGCAACCTCCACCTCCCAGGTTCAAGCAATTCTCCTGTCTCAGCCTCCTGAGTAGCTGGGACTACAAGTGCATGCCACCACACCCAACTAATTTTTGTATTTTTAGCAGAGATGGTGTTTCACCATATTAGTCAGGCTAGTCTTGAATTCCTGACCTCAGGTGATCCGCCCACCTCAGCCTCCCAAAGTGCTGAGATTATAGGCATCAGTCACTGTGGTCAGTCCACGCCAATGTTTTCTAAAATGTGTTGCAGACCACAAACCTACTTTTCTATTTTTCCATTGTGTATGTAAAGTTATAAATGAGTTCATAAGTAACTGCAGTATAATAGGCACTATAAAGCTATAAAGTCTTGGGAAGACCCAATGTTAAAGAAACAAACATCTTTTACCTCTTTGGGTGTTGTTGGCTCTGTGTCCTTAACAGGTTTGTATGACAAGATGTAGCCAGTAGCTCCTCCCACAGGCTGCCACTGCACATGCATGGTGGTAGGGCCAACATCATAAATATTCAGGCTGACTACAGGCACTGGCACTTCCAAAACAGAAAAGCAGACCATCAGTCTAGTTCCTTTCATTCCACTTTCATTTTTAACCATTGTTTCCTACTCAATTATTGATATTTGTATATACTAGACAGTGGGTTACTGTGAGAAATCAACAAGAGTTAATATAATCCTTCCCATTGCCCCCAAAAAATCCAACTTGCATTGCTCATTGCACTTCATATTCAAGACTACATGTTACCACTATTTTATAGAGGAAAAATGTTAAAGTTCAGGCTTCAAATAACATTCCAGTGAGTCTATACAATAGATACCAACTTCCTGATACATTACTCTCTTTTTCTGGAACATCACTAAGTTGACTATTTCTATTCTTCAATCACAGAACTTTATATATATGTAATCAACACTATTTTTTATATTTCTTCAAAAAATAAGTTTAAAATAAGAACATTATACATTAATAACTGGAACACCAGAGATTTATAGGCTTCTTGAAGATATACCCATGAAGCAGAGAAAAAAGTTTACAGTCTCCCTATAACACCCATATTGCTTCCAATTATTTTTTATTCAAAGATTGAGTTCAAAGTTTTAAGAAATTATTATATTAATCCTGCCAGTTATAAAATCCATTATTTCTCACTTCCTATAGTCTAATATAAAGGGATATAAGAGAAGAGACAAGGATCTAAAACTTGAGCAGTACATAAAGTCATTTCTTGCTCTAGAGAGTGATGCTTACTCCTTCTTCTTAAAAATGGCTTTCCTTCTTCCCCCTAGAGCCCAACCAAGAAGCAAGAAGAAGGAAAGAATATTTATTCCAGAGTGGGGCTCCACAATGGCAGGAGCAGCCAGTAGGAGTAGAAAACCACTGAGCATTTTCTGGGCACCTGCACAAAGATGGCACTCAGTAAATATTTATAGAATGAATGCTGAATAAAGAAATTATTTGGAAGGTAGGCAAAAATGGGCCATCATGCTTTATGTTGGGAAAGAAAGCAATGAGAAACAATTTTCTAATCTGACTTACAGGTTTTTTCTGTGCCCTTCAGAGGCTCACTATATTCATCTTCTACCACAGAATACACATTGACAACATACTCAGTTTCAGGCTTCAGATCTTTCAGCACTGTGCTGGTTTCCATTCGACTCACATAAAACTAGGGGGAAAAATTAAACAGATCAACAACGTATGTATAATCAGTTCCCTTTTTCCTACAATACTTACAAAGTAGTTAACTTCAGTGAGCTTAGAAACTATATTTTAATTAGGCCATTGTCTTTTGTATTTGGAAGCTATCAGATTACAATGAGATCTTGGACAATTCATATAATTTTTCTCCCAGCTGTTCTTTATTTGTAAAATTAATGGGTAAAAATAGATCATCTTTAATGTCCCTTGCCAACTCTCTGATTCTACTACAAATTCATAAATAAATCAAGCATCTTCTAATTAAATTTTAATGAAAAAAACATAGTGATATTCTACAGTTCTTAAAAACCGTAAGAATTTAAGCAAAGCTCTTTCCCTTTAATTAAAGCCAGATGGAAGTGCCTGTCTAGCAAAGTCAAGAATAGAAAGCACTATTCTTGCCTCATTTCTGGCCCCTCTTCATCCCTCTTGCCCCTCACCTAACATTATTCTCAGAGCCCTAATGAGGAGGACCCAATCTCAACATAAGGAAGAAGCTGTAGGTGTTCCTACTCACTTCTTGACGTTTCCCTCCAGAAACTGGATAGTATTCCACCTTGTATCGATCCACACTGTCAGAAGGTGGTGTCCAGCTCACTCTAAAAGAACGATGGGTTCGCTCAGAAATAACTAAGTTAGAAGGTGCTTCCAAATCACCTACACATGGAAATAAAGGGTATACACTTTTCTCATTATTGTAGAAAGGTGACAATATTTGAAATTACATTGAAACAATATTACGCTCCATATTCTAAGCTTTCACATACTTCTTTTCACATACTAAGTAGCTACAATAAATCACCTGTAAGACCTCTATGCATAGGTAACTAAAAGGTTTTTTATCCTTAGAAGATTAAAACATGAGCTCGTTGTCTTTCCTTAAAACTGATCCTCCTGTTTCTTACAAACTTTACCAATTTACAGGTCACTGAGACTGAAGACCCAATATGGTCTGGCCGTGTCCCCACTTGAATCTCATCTTGAATTGTAGCTCCCATAAGTCCCAAGTGCTGTGGGAGGGACCCAGACGGAGATAATTGGATCATGGGGGTGGTTTCCCCCATACTGCTCTAGTGGTAGTGAATGTCCCACGAGATCTAATGCTTTTATAAGGGGTTTCCTCTTCCCCTTGGCTCTCATTCTCTCTCTTGCCTGCTACCATGTAAGACCTCCCATGTTCTTCTTCCATGATTGTGAGGCCTCCCCGGCCACATGGAATTAGGAGTCAATCAAACCTCTTTCCTTTATAAATTACCCAGTCTTGGGTACGTCTTTATTAGCAGCATGAGAACAGACTAATACGAGATCTCTGAATCACCTTTTGATAGTTCCTCCTCTCTCTACCCTTGTACATATAATCAGTAAATAAGAATTTAGGTCCTGACAATTTAGCTTCTCCATTGTCCCTATCACTATTGGCACCACACAACTTCCCTACCCTCATTATCATTTTGTTTCTATATACTCATGTCTTCTCTCCTTAACTAAAGGTTATGCTCTGTGAGGACAGAATTGATTTTTCATTCATTCTATTCTCTAACAGGATCTAGTTGTATAATAAAGGAAACTGACAACTGTATCACTGGAGAGAATGCAAACAAACACGTGTTTTTCAATCTGGGAATATCCTACCGCCTGTGATTGTACTCCCTGTGGGTGGACATAGGTGAAATGACTAATACATAACAGTATCTTGAATAAATGCTGATGAAAATAGAAATATTAAGCTCAGTATGTCTAACAGGAAAACAGCCCAAATAAAAATTAAAAGAGAAAAGGATTAATTCAATAACTCCATAAGCATAGCAAATCATTCTCATATAAACTCTTTCTACTTTTTGTGCAAGCCAAAACTGGGGAAAGCCTTTCCATTCTTAGTATCTTCACTTTTATTGTACTTGGGTAAGAGTCAAACCTACAAAATTATCAAGCAATTTTACTGTCTGGAAAACTAGAATGAATGCAACTATTACATAGTTCATTTAAAAAAAAGAAAAAAAAAGCAAAACAGATAAAGGATGTTTTCATCCCCACTCAAAGTTCTGTCCAATGGAATAAAACTACAACTCTCTCAGCTAATCAAGAGCCAGAAGCCTACAAATTCTGGCTGCCAGGCTGGTCTATTTCTCCAGGGAAAAGGTCAATCTGTTGTTCAAAATTCAAAAAAGAAAATCTGCAAAAGTTAGGAGAAAGAAACCCAAGAGGGAACATTCAAATAAACATACCCCTAGCATCCAGAGCAAGTGAACCATTTCTATCACTTTATTTCTTAAACTTTTTCCAACTTTTCCAAAACCAAATTAAATTAATGAAGGACAATTTTACCATAATCTACATGTACTTAAATAAAATTTTTCTTACATAATAAGAGCCATAATTTTTATCAGTAATTTTTTTAAAAAACCTTTAAATTTGGTGATTACCATGTTTTGTCCCATGATTTACACAGAGAGTAATCATTATGCATCATCCTTTGTTAGTATAAATCCAGCTCTATAATTTTATCTCAATATCCTAATTCCTTAGCTATATCTACTTTTTTTAAATACCCCTAAAAACGTCTTTAAACATTTGACCAAGACTAAGTAATTTTTCTCCAGATCTCAGTTTCTTCACTGGTAAAAAGAAGTTATATAATTTCTAAATGTCTAAACTGTAAAATTGTAGCTTCTCTTCATATTTAGGAATTATAAGTGTAAAGTTTCAAATCTGATCATCTATAATTGAGGCAAAGCAAATCAGATATAAAGACTGCTCTTTTATTCCTGCTCACATTAGGAAATCAAAAAAAGGTACCAAAACTGAGGAAACCAAGAGTCTGGGAACAACCATCTAATAGCAATGTAGCAACTAAATGGAGTGAAGATGCTTTACAAGACAACAGGTATATCCCAAAAAAGAAAGCATCTCTCTTTCCGTGTCTTCCTACCCCTTCCAATTTATATATATATGTTGTGTGGGGGAGGGTGCAAGTATGCGGGATATAAACTAAATATATCCTCAAATAAACTAGAAGTCATTGAGGTGCCATCACGAGAAACAAATCAGGAAAAAAAATCTGGGACTAAAGCAGTGATTCTCAACTGGGAACAGTTTTTTTCTGCAGCAGACATTTGGCAACAACTGAAGATCTTTATAGTTGCCACAATTTAGGGGATGCTACTGACATCCAACCTGCAGAGGCCCTTCACACTGCCAAACATTTTATAACGCACAAAATAGTTCCCTCCCCTTCACCCAAAAGAATAATTATTTGGCCCAAAATATCAGCAGTGCTGAGGGCAAGAAACTCTGGGCTAAACTTACCTGGACCTTTGACGCTGTTACACAAATTAATGGTGAGATCATCCACTATCCTGGAGAGTGACTCAAAATCTGCCACATTGTATGCATGGGTATCATCAGGATCAGTTGCAATCATCTTTAATTCGACTTCATCAGCATTTTTAATACCTTCAAAAACGGATATATACAAATTAAAAGCACTTCTCAGAAAAAAATTAATGGAACAAAGCAAATGATTTACGGCTTTCTTCATTCATGGCTTCTTTCGGTCAACTATGAAGGTTTAATAATTAGCTAACTAAAATATACATATTATTTTTCTCAGTAATAAAACAGAAACAAAGGATAATACAAACTGAAAGCTCTTTTAAATTGGCTTCTTCCAGATGCATGTAAGCACCAATTTCCCACCAAAAAGTGTCTCTTCAGTGTCTTTTCTGGAATGTAAAATAATGGATATCAAAAATAAACATGGTTCTGTGGAAAACCAAGTAGGAGTTTTTCTGAATCCTATTAATAGCACATTTTTCTTCCTGATCTATTAATTTTATTTTAAGAAACCATGTAGTTTTGGCCCAATATAAGGAGAAAAAAAATGAATTAACTTCCTGGAATATTATTTTGATAAATTATGTGATAGAAAAAAATGTTTTCATGCTTCAGATACAACTTTTAACTATGAAAAATACCCTCAGCACGTTTGTAACCCCAGGGGCATCACTGTCCTTTTTAGTGCATACCAATAGCAAACAGCTCCACTCCCTCATCCTTGAGTTTCTTTGAAGGTGCCTCAACATCATCTTGTGATTTTCCATCAGTAATGAGCACACCAATTTTTCGAGCTCGAGGTCTCATGCCAGCTTGGGTCCTGAAGCTCTGTTGGCGAATGAAATTCAAAGCCATGCCTAGTGGGATTTTTAAAAGAGAATCAGTCACATCACCATTCAGCCACAAACCTTGACCAGAAGCATAAGCTGAAAGAGACTCACCTGTGAGAGTATTGCCTCCTTTGTATGGTAAGTTTGCCACAGCTTGCAACAAGCTCTTCTTGTCTCTGTGAGCATTTAACTGCCACTCTGTTCTGGGATCCCCACTATACTGAGCAAGAGCTAAAATGACACCACTGGCATTAGTGCATGTGAAAGAGCAAGATAAAAATGTCTAAATGGCTCCAATGTTGTCAGAACCTACCAATTTGTACTCTTTTGGGGCCAATGTCAAAGACTTCCACAATACGAGAAATAAAGCTCCTCACGGTTCTAAAATTTGCCCGGCCGATGCTCCATGATCCATCCACCAGCAACACAATGTCTGCCTCAGCTCTGGTGAGACACTCCATCCCTGACATGGCAATCATGAGACAAGACAGTAAGAAGCAAATTGTTGGCAAGGGTACTTCCTTGTCACACCTCTGCCACTCCCTGGATCCTCAGTGTTGCCTGTCTCAGTACTATAGTCTAGCTCAGTGATGTGGAGTACGAGACTCTGAAAATACGTCCTTCTGATTTATTAACCTCAATTAACAGTCTTAAGAATCAGCAGTTCCTCCAAAGATTATTTCAATGGCCAATCTTTCCTTTATCTTTGACTTGATTTCCTGCCCTCTTTCATAGAACCTGGAGACTTGAATTAAGCCATTGTTGAAAATTTGATGGGCTCACAAACTCAAAGGCTGAAATAAATAAATGGGAATGTATAGCTGTCTAACTATGAAGTACTAATAACTTTAGTAAAATGGTAATGTGGTCAAACCATTAGATGTTGCATTCTTCTGCAATATTTAATGGTCATAGCGGACAAGAATGAGATGGACTGATAAAACATGTAAACTAAAAAAAGGTTTTTGTGAGCCAAAAATTAGCTTTTCAAATAGCTAAGCTGTTAGGTAACTACCTCATGTATATGAAGGGTTAGACACATAACTTTTAAAATTATACCTTTTTGAAGTAAAGATATATTTTTTAAACCCTGATATATTATTATTTAGCTATTAATCATTTGAGTTTATGGTCTACTATGAATAAAAATCAGGTAAATATAGAAGGTGAAGTTTGCACATTTAAAGAATCAAGGAAGAAGGAAGATAATTTAGAAAAGTATGCAAACAAATATACAAATTGAGAGCTATAGAGACAAGCACAAACATTGATACAAAGGAAAAGCTTTGGAAAGAGAAAATAATCCCAACATCCTCAGTGTACAAGCTACAAAATAAAAATATAAGTCAGTTAATATCATCATAAGAGAAACAATAGAACATTAATGCAAAACAGCAAGAATTGACACTTGATTTTGTCCACATCCATTTTTTTACTGTTCTCCTTTCCAAAAGCTTGTATTACCACTATAAATTTTCCAATTTATTACAAGGGTAGCATTTGGTCTTTATATTACAAAAGAAATCATTGGAAAAAAATTAAATAATGCTCATCACACTATAAAATACAAATGTGTCACTCACATATTATATACTGTATCAGGATTAAGGATTCCCAAATACTATCCCAAGGAAATAGGCCCTTACAAGCCTGCTCCTGCTCTACCCAGATCTACTCTTTTTTAGCAATAGTGAAAAATATCAGAAGTAAACTCTGTCCACCACCTCCCTCTCTAAGAATGTTAAAAACTAGCTTTATGTTCATAAAGGCTGTAATTGCGGCAGGGACAGAAAATCTAAGGGGCTTATGTTACCATTTTGTTTCCCAAGTCATAGTTGCCCACCTATTTATGTAACCTAACACTGCTTACCCAGCCCAAATAAATCACTTCTGCAATGACTTTTACAAAAGAAAACTGCATCTTAGTCACTAAAAATAGAAAAAGGTACAATATCTACATTTAGTAAAAACTCATCTTTAAATAATAGAGCTTAATTATGTAATAATGCATAATTTTAAAATTGATATTTAAATGCATTAATAAATTTAATGTGTAATTTTAACTTATGCGTTATTACATAATTTTAAATTATTACATTAATAATTACATTACTCACATAATACATTAATAATTACACATAGTACTCTTTTAAAAATAGATTTATGTAATAATTTAAGTATGAAATAATGCAATGCTGATAAAAGAAGTATAAAAAAATACTGTCAAAAAGCATGCTTGACTGGATGTTTGAAGAAGTTTTTTTACTAAGTATGTAAATTATTGAAATAAATTTTAGTGTAAAATTTGTATCACTGTTTTCCATTGTATGATACCCTAACAGTTCACATTTGAAATAGTTTCCTAATGTTGTTTTCCTGGAGGAATGTAACTCAATTTCTTACCAGAAGATAAAATTGGCATTACAGTTGTGTCGGAAAGGGTTGTCATTTCTTGTCCAACAAGTGGTGAGCTTTCTCCTCCATCAAACATTCCAAAAACATTTACTTTATAGGTGGTACCAGCCCTAAAATGTTAAAGTATACAGCCTGTGAGAACCATAGGCTCAAGTGGTAGCACTTTTGTTTTGCTTTGTTAAAGACATTGATCTTGATTTCTAAGCTTTCACTATGAAGAGTTTATAGGGTACAACATTATAAAAGAAGAAAAATAATTTCCACCACTTTCTCACTTAGCTTACCCTGTGAGGGAGGTGTCAAGAGAAACTAGACAGCAAGCGTTCCAGAGAACACTAGGAATTCACAGCACTGGTTTCTGTCTTGCCTTTCTAGCAGATGCAGAGTCTCTACCCTGCCTTTCAGCATGTCAGGGAAGGGTCAGACTCTTCATTCTTACTGTTTCTAAGCAATGGGCTTTAAGAAAATAATTGAAGTGCTGTACCTTGCAAGGTAACATAAGACAATGCCTCACACAATGCCTGACACATAGGAAGCTCAATAAATTTTATCCTCCCTACTCCGGTAAAAGTAAATCACGAGCATTTTATATAGATTTCTATAGTCTTGAATGAATGATTGAAAAACAAACTTTCCAAAAGACTACACACAGTAGTTCATCCTTTTTACTGTAATGAATGTAGGGTGCTGTTCAAACTGAAACTTCCTTGTTTCTCACTGCACAGCCTGGAGCTGGACCTTTCACGAGCCCAGCCTTGCCCTCTCCTGCCAGCTGGCACCCACGAGGTCCTGCCTTCTTTCTCCTGTATGGCATACTGGAGGGGGATTCACACTCAAAATTTCAGCATGAGTCCCTCAAACCTTGCCAAAAGGTACAGCAACCCCCACACTTCCACATGGCTACAATTTCGGTGACATTGTGTAATAAGAATGTTAATTTTTTAAAAGCAGGGTGTTATTGAAAACCCCAATTCTGGTCACTTAATAACAAACAAAAATTATTAAACATTACAAAAAATCCTGCTCAGGCCTAAATTCTGTTGCTGACCCCTGAATCCTAACTTCAACTCCAACAGCACCAAGCATAAGAAAACAGCTTTAGCTGATTTTAAATACTTTGCTGGCAAACAGACATATAAGTGATATTTGTGTAAAGCCTACTAATTTACATAAGCTATTCAACCTTTTAAACAAATTAATTTCATCCTTTGAGACAAACCTAGTTAATTCCTACCTAAGTTCCTCCAAAACAACCGTGTTGTCATAGGGTCCAACCACTAACTCCCCCAGTCTTCTGTCATCCCCCGTAGGGTGGAATGTGACTTTATAACCCTTCACTTCTCCAGGGGCAGGCTCCCAAGTCACTCGGAAGCTTGACATGGTTGGGTCAGATGTTTTGAGGTTTCTGGGAGACTTAAATCGAGAAGCTGTAAAGACAAAAATATTTTTAAAATATTATCTATAAGACTAGGCTTTGGGGTTTCTTTTTTATTAGCCCCACAAAAATGCATATCCATAAAAAGGGTTTAAGTCTGGTACCACAAAAGAGCATGTTCCATAGAAGTCCTGATAACAGAATGCTAGCTAAGTAGAAGTGTAAATAATTCTCATAATTCAGATTAGATTTGCATGAGAACATTAACATGTAGAATCATTTAACCAGGAACTAGATTGGTAAAAATAACATGTTAATTAGACATTGTCTAATCATTATAATTTAACTTATTACAGAATCAGTTTTAAACATTTACAAATGAAGTGGATACACAAAGTCATCTTTTAAAACATTACCTTCTCTCCCCCTCAAAACGTAACTGTTATTTCGTACCTGTTGTTCCTGATCCTTGCCTAAGCTTTCCTTCTCCTGTCTTGTAAATCGGAAGAACTGTGATGTCATATGTGGTCTGTGGCTGAAGTCGCTTTAACACTGTTGAAGTGACTGTGGGGGGCACCTTAGCAACCATTTGCCTCCCTCCCCCATGGGGGCGATAGACAACACGGTAGTTGACGACTTTCCCTGGAGCTGGTTTCCACGTAACTCTCATTGTGCTTTCTGTTTCTTCATCTACTTTCAGAGTTTTGGAATCTTGAGATACTGTGAGATAAAAGGAAGATTCAACTGTATACCATGTTGAAAAAAAATGTATGTTCACCTCTTCATTTATGTGAAAAGAAACTCTCTGTGGCTTCTTAAATATGTACACTGTTCCATTGCTTAGCACTGTAACCTCTCATAAATTCATGATGGCGTGTGAGCCTAATCTCATTGAGAGCTCAGCAAGATGTTTTCGTTTTATCTAGCTAATACTAAAAAATGGAAGTTCATATTGCAGAGATTTCCTATTTGCCTTCTAGAGACTTTAGTAAAGAAAACATCCGTTTCCGGAGATAAGGTTTTAGAATTTTTATTATATTTCCATCTGTAAAGAATTTATCCAGTAATAATGCTGTGGAGAGTACTAAAAATTATGAATTCAGAGTTGAACATTTTACTTGGACTTTTTCAGAAAAAGTTGCAATCCGTAAATGACTAGCCAGAGTGACTGTAGTTAACACCATTCTTATGATTGCCATGCACATCTCAGACTATGAGCACAAAAGAATAGGAAACTAACACTTCAAAATATCTCAGGGGCTCCAAAGATAAACTGGTATGTGCTGAATATTTCAGAAAGCACTATCTGTAAATAGTGTTTGCTTAATATGTAATCAATAATATGTAATTATTTATTAAATTCTCTTTTGCTAATATTTCACAATTATTAATAACTCTATATGAAATAAGTAATCAGCATCCACAAATAACCTACAACATCCTATTTTTATACATAATTAGAGTTCATAAGCAGGACCATTTTATTCAGTTCAATAATCAATGTTCAAAAGAACATAAACATGTTCTACAGTAAAAGATTAAGCTAAACAAAATTCAAAATCAGCAAAGAATCTTCCTGATTGTAAGAGAAAATTTCATGTTCAAGTGGTCAAGAGCCATTTGAAACAACTAAGAAGCCTGAAAAAAAAAAACTAAGAAAAATAAAACACAATAATTTTCAGACATGATATCAGTTGGCACAGGACACTCATCCCTAAGAGAGATAAGGAACAAAGGGGAATAGGTTCTGTGATTGCCCAGCTATTGCCTGGAATTTCCAGTCCCCAGTAAAAGAAAGGGGAATCCAGATGGAGCCTGGTGGCCTCCCTTAATTGTCAAGAAGTTGTTGCAAGTCTGGAGAGCCCAAAGCAACCAGAACTTGAAGAATAGAGTACTGTGAATGAGAGAGTGCCACAGAGAAAATACTTGAGTCTTCAACCTAGGATAATCAGTGCGTATGCGTGAGAAAACCACCCACAACTAGGGAAAAAACCACCCCAAAGGAGCCCAGGGAACAATTTCTTGAGCTCACACAGGGTTAGAATGTTCCCCCTACCCAGAAGAGAAAACCTCACAACTCTAGGGACATCATGTAGGGTATTTAGTAGGTGATTGTCTCAATAATGGGGCAAAATTAGTCCTAAACTGAAACAGTTTAAAAGCGAGTGTCAGATCAAACTATTTCCAAGTAACTTAACTGTATTCCAGAATAAAACTTAAGAATATTTATATGAACATAAAAACATCTAGCACCCAAGCAAATAAAATTCACAAAATCTGACATCTAATAAAAGTTACAAAGCACGTCAAAAAGGAAAAACTTATGACCTGTATCATGGATTGAAGGTCTCCCACCACTAAATTCACATGTTGAAGTCTTAACCTTCAATGTGATGACATTTAAACATGAGGCCTTTGTAGAGGCAATTTGGGTTCAATAAGGCCATCAGAGTGAGGCCTTAATCTGATCGGCTTGGTGACTTTATAAGAAAAAAACGAGACACCAGAGTTCTGTCTCTCTCTTTCCACATTCACAGCCTGAGAAAAGGCCATATGAGGACATAAAGAAAGGTAACCACCCACCAGGAAGAGAGCCCTCACCAGAAATCAAACCCTGCCAGACCTTAATCTTGAACTTTCCAGCCTCCAAAACTGTGAGAAAATAACTTTCTGTTGTTAAAGTCACTCAGTCAATAGTAATACCTTTTGTTATTGCAGTCCAAACTAAGACAACACATAATAAGAAGAAAAATCAATCAATAGAAACAGAACTAGAAACGACATATATTACAGAATTTAAAAGGACGTTAAAACAGTTATTATAACTATATTTCATATGTAATAATGGTAGAAGAAAGATTAAGCATTTTAACTAGAGATATAGAACATATAAAAAAGACTCAAACATTTCTAGAGATAAAAATAATATCTAAAATGAAAAACACACAAGATAATATTTACAGCAGATTAGAAAATATAAAAAATGATTAGTGAACTTGATGGCATGATAATAGAACATGAAACACAAGGAAAGAAAAACAATTTTTTAACGAACAGAGCATCAGTGAGCTGTGTGATAACTTCAAGCAGACTAATATATGTGTAGTTAATTGGAGTTCCTGAATAAAGTGGGGGTGTAATAAATAAAATATTTGAAAAACTAATGGGATGGACTTGTTCAAATTTTATAAAAACCATAAACTCACACATTCTAGAAGTTTAGTGAACCCCAAACACAAGAAACATAAAGAAACTATACCAAGACACATCATAATTAAATTGCTTAAAATCAGTAATAAAAATAAAATCTTTAAAGAAGCCATATTTTTTTTAAAACACATAATATGTATAGAGGACAAATATAAAAATGATAAAGTAGGTAAATTCAATATATGGTTATGATGCTTATGAATTATGCTTCTGAGAGATGAAAAAATATAATTTCAATCAAAATTATATTGGCTGCAATTTTTATTTTTAGATTTAAAGAAACTAAGAGAACTCTCAGCAAAGTCCATTATTTTCTGGAAATACTAAAATTTATTTAGATTAATCATCAATTCGCTATTATTATTCTCCAGGTAAGTGAACTATTAAAAGGAAAAAAGTTTACATATATATAAAATATATATTATGATATAAAAATATATATGATATAAACATATATATATGTATTTCCAAACAAAAAAATCTAAAGACTTTACCTGGAGGTCTGAAAATAGTACAAGAAAGAATAGTATATAGAAAAATAATCTATTTGGATTATTATCATTACCAGTTGTCACAAATATCAAATAAGTTGATGGGTGTCTAACAGTTTTCTAGAAGTGGTTGTGCTACAGTACGTTTTCTCTGTGTCGCTCGCGCTGGGAGTTGGAGACTGGAGCTGTTCCTATTCGGCCATCTTGCTCCGCCCCCCTACAGTACGTTTTCTCATCTTTTGTTTCATCTCTTAAATTTTTACTCAGTGGAACAAGACATTGTCTCTCTTACAAAATTTTTAAACCAATTTCACACAACTCAGAATTTAGAAAAATAAAAAGTTAAATTTTATGAATATTGATTTAAAAAGAAACTTAAGTTTCAAAAAAATGGGATACCAAGCTTTAACATGTTTCAAAATTTAAACATATTAATAACAGCCAAAAGTGATATGTCATACCTTGATATGCCTTAATGACCTCACTTACATTCCTGCCTTTTAATTAACTCTTTAAAATGAAGAAACGGAAATGAAATACAGTACAGCATATCTCATCCTAGTTTTAATAGTAAACTGGATTTTAGGGAGAAAAAAAAACAAACCCTTGTTGGTTTCCCATAACCAAAGAGTAAGAATTTTTACATCATTGATTGGATACCACACGCCATTAAATGCTGTTACACCCTCTCACATTGTAAGTTCTTTTCATGTGTTAGTAACTATCATGAGAAACTTTCAAACACCCACTGTACCACTGCTAAGCCAGCTGCCATAAATTAGAAGGGCACTAGAAAGTGTCCCTTCTGCTGGCTTTCTAACCCCAATTCATGATTTTCATTTATCAATGTATTCATTTCATTGTATCAACAGTCTGCATACCATGTCCCTGAGTTTCAGGTGAAAGCAATCTTAAAGACGTTCCCAGAATGCCCTCTTGGAAGCATATGCGAAACTCTAGGAGCGTAGGCTAGGAGTTCTGCTGAGTTATCCACACCTTAGGATTCCTCTACCACCTAAACAGCAGATCTCACTCAGATTTCTGAAAATACTTTCTAACAACAACAAAATGATGGTAGAACAAAGAAAAATCCATGACTTCTTTCTTATTTACTTAGACATTTCAGCAGTTTTCACATACAGTTGCCCTTTGGTATCCATGGGAGATTGGTTTCAGGATCTCCCATAGAAACTAAAATCCTCACATGCTCAAGTTCCTGATGTAAAATGGTGTAGTATTCACACAAACCTATGCACATCCTCCCTAATACAGTAAGTCCTCACCTAATGTTGTTAAATAATTTCTTGGAAACTGCAACTTTGTACAACTGACATAAGGAAACCAATTTTCCAGAGGTTAATTGATATAAACAAGAGTTAAGTTCCTACATCATATTTCTGATCACAAAAACATCACCAAACTTCTCAATAAAAAACACTGACGTATGTGTGAGCTCTATATACATTTCAGAAAGACAAATGAAAACCAGTAACATAATTATTCACCCATTTATTCCAGTTAAGGATCACAGTGGACACAGCCTGTCCAAGTAGCTCAGGGCAAAAGGGAGAACCCCATCCTAGGCACCCACACACACACACCCCCACACTCACTCAGACTGGGACCATGTGGATGTGCCAGTTCACCTAACGTGATGTGGGAGGTAACTAGAGTACCTGGAGGAAACCCACATAAACATGGAGAAGATGTGCAAACTCCACACAGATAGTGACCCACACCAGGAATCAATTCTTTTTTCTCATCAATGTTATGATATTATTCAAGACCCTGCTGAACTTCAAATCATCTCTAGATTACTTATAATACAATGTAAATGTCATATAATGATTATACTATATATTTATTAGCATTATTATTTATTGTTGTATTGTTATTTCTTAATGCTTTTTAAAAAATACTGTCTATCAGCAGTTGGTTACTTTTGCACATGTGGAACCTGAGAATATGGAAGGGCAACCGTGACCTAAAAATGAACACTTCATTCCTGCCAAGCCTGCTCCTTCTTCAAAAGAGGCTTCCCACAGCCAGTATCATACTGAATGGGCAAAAACTGGAAGCATTCCCTTTGAAAACCGGCACAAGGCAAGGATGTCCTCTCTCACCACTCCTATTCAACATAGTATTGGAAGTTTTGGCCAGGGTAATAAGGCAAGAGAAAGAAATAAAGGGTATTCAATTAGGAAAAGAGGAAGTCAAATTGTCTCTATTTGCAGATGACAAGATTATATATTTAGAAAAACCCATCGTCTCAGCCCAAAATCTCCTTAAGCCGATAAGCAACTTCAGCAGTCTCAGGATACAAAATCAATATGCAAAAATCACAAGCATTCCTCTATACCAATAACAGACAAACAGCCAAATCATGAGTGAACTCCCATTCATAATTGCTACAAAGAGAATAAAATACCTAGGAATACAACTTACAAGGGATGTGAAGGACCTCTTCAAGGAGAACTACAAACCACTGCTCAAGGAAATAAGAGAGAACACAAACAAATGGAAAAACATTCCATGCTTGTAGATAGGAAGAATAAATATTGTCAAAATGGCCATACTGCCCAAAGTAATTTATAGATTTAATTCTATCCTGATCAAGTTATCATTGACTTTCTTCACAAAATTAGAAAAAAACTTTAGATTTCATATGGAACCAAAAAAGAGCCCGTATAGCCAAGACAATCCTACTCACAAAGAACAAAGCTGGAGGCATCACACTACCTGAATTCAAACTATACTACAAGGCTACAGTAACAAAACCAGCAAAGTACTGGTACCACAAACTTAAAGTATAATAAATAGACCAATGGAACAGAACAGAGGCCTCAGAAATAACACCACACATCTATAACCATCTGATCTTTGACAAAATTGACAAAAACAAGAAATGGGGAAAGGATTCCCTATTTAATAAATGGTGTTGGGAAAACTGGCTACCCATATGCAGAAAGCTGAGACTGGATCCCTTCCTTACACCTTATACAAAAATTAACTCAAGATAGATTAAACACTTAAATGTAAGACCTAAAACCATAAAAACCCTAGAAGAAAACCTATGCAATATCATTTAGGACATAGGAATGGGCAAAGGCTTCATGACTAAAACACCAAAAGCAATGGCAACAAAAGCCAAAATTGACAAATGGGATCTAATTAAAGAGCTTCTGCACAGCAAAAGAAACTATCATCAGAGTGAACAGGCAACCTACAGAATGGGAAAAAATTTTTGCAATCTATCCATCTGACAAAGGGCTAATATCCAGAATCTACAAAGAACTTAAACAGATTTACAAGAAAAAACCAACAACCCCATCAAAAATTTGGCGAAGGATATGAATGGACACTTCTTAAAAGAAGACATTTATGCAGCCGATAAACATATGAAAAAAAGCTCTTCATCACTGGTCATTAGAGAAATACAAATCAAAATCACAATGAGATACTAGGTCACACCAGTTAGAATGGCAATCATTATAAAGCCAGGAAACAACAGATGCTGGAGAGGATGTGAAGAAGTAGGAATGCTTTTACACTGTTGGTAGGAGTGTAAATTAGTTCTACCAATGTGGAAGACAGTGTGGTAATTCCTCAAGGATCTAGAACTAGAAATACCATTTGACCCAGCAATTCCATTACTGGATATATACCCAAAGGATTATAAATCATTCTACTATAAATCCACATGCACACGTATGTTTATTGTGGCACTGTTCACAATAGCAAAGACTTGGAACCAACCCAAATGCCCATCAATGATAGACTGGATAAAGAAAATGTGGCACATATACATCATGGAATATTACATAGCCATAAAAAAGGATGTCCTTTGCAAGGACACGGATAATGCTGAAAACCATCATTCTCAGCAAACTAACGCAAGAACAGAAAACCAAACACCGCATGTTCTCACTCATAAGTGGGACTTGAACAATGAGAACACACGGACACAGGGAAGGGAACATTACACACCAGGGCCTGTAGTAGGGTAGGGAGTTAGGGGAGGGATAGCATTAGGAGAAATATCTAATGTAGGTGATGGGTTGATGGGTGCAACAAACCACCATGGCACATGTATACCTATGTAACAAACCTGCACGATCTGCGCGTGTACCCCAGAACTTAAAGTATAATTTAAAAAAAGTTAACTTGGGAAAAAAATAGGCCTTTCTGTTCATCAATGTTTAAATCAACCAATTAGCCAAGAAATATTGAAAATTTCTTAGATGCTCATCTTCTGAGATACAGAGGTTTATTTAGTTTCTGCCACCATATTTGCTTTCAGCGACAACACATCTCTTGTAGATATTTTAAATTCCAAACAATTATTTGAAGCCTCCAACTTTTTGGAAAAAGACAAAATGGAAGATAATTTTTGGAGAAAAAAAATCCCTCTAAATACATATACTTTTATAATTTCTCAGCCACATGAACTGTATCTTTACTCCTACAAATAAATTCAGCTCTATGTGTCATATGTGACCTAAGTTTACAATACAGCTTCTCTTTACAAGTGAATTTCCTCAAAAATAGAGAATGAATTTCTACCGTGTTCTTAAACTACATCAGCCAATATATTCCAGACACAAGATTTAATTTACTACCAGTCATGTGAATATCTGAGAACTATGTCTTCTCACATATTTAAATTTCCTGTAAAGAAGTTGATTTTTTAAAATCTGGTGAATTAAGATACAAATTTAAACTTGAACATCCAACTGAGCTTGCAAATGATAAAAAGAAAATGAACTTAGACACAAAGATTTTAGTTTAAGGACAACTTAAAATCAGGATATAGGACTTAACTGAAATTGCTCATGGCACTTCTCCCTCTCTCTTCCTTTGCCAGAAAAATCACCAAATTCCTCTACTTCTTTTTTATAGAAGGAAATGCATGAATGCCCATTCTTTCTCCTTTTCCTAAAACCTTCCCAAAACAAAAGGATTAAAGTTTTCTCCTACAAATGCTTAGAAATGCCCATGCTTAACAAATGACATTTGGTTTGGTTTGGTTTGGTTTCAATTGTTTGTTTTTAATAGATTTTATATTGTTTTAGAGCAGTTTTGGTACAGAGATTGAGCAGAAGGTACAGAGATTTCCCATGTTCCCTTTCCCACCTCCACACATGCACAGCCTCCCCCATTATCAACATCCTTCACCAAAGTGGTACATTTGTTACAACTGTTGAACCTACACTGACACATCATTATCACTCAAACAAATAAGCTTTCAGGAAAGTGAATTAAGATATCCTGACACAAGCCGGGCGCGGTGGCTCACGCCTGTAATCCCAGCACTTTGGGAGGCTGAGGCGGGTGGATCACAAGGTCAGGAGATGGAGACCACGGTGAAACCCCGTCTCTACTAAAAATACAAAAAATTAGCCGGGCGCGGTGGCGGGCGCCTGTAATCCCAGCTACTCTGGAGGCTGAGGCAGGAGAATGGCGTGAACCCAGGAGGCGGAGCTTGCAGTCAGCCGAGATCTCGCCACTGCACTCCAGCCTGGGCAACAGAGCCAGACTCCATCCCCAAAAAAAAAAAAAAAAAAAAAAAAAAGATATCCTGACACATCCTTCACCAGCCAGGTGATTATGATAGATCATTCATAATTATTTACCAAAAAAAAAAAAAAAAAAAATTAGTGAGATTGAGGTAAATCTGAGCCACCAGAAAATTGAATGGACTTTTGATTTGACCTTACCAAATATAATAGGAAGAAAGAAAGAAAGAAAGAAAGAAAGAAAGAAAGAAAGAAAGAAAGAAAGAAAGAAGGGAGGGAGGGAGGGAGGGAGGGAGGGAGGGAGGGAGGGAAGGAAGGAAGGAAGGAAGGAAGGAAGGAAGGAAGGAAGGAAGGAAGGAAGGAAGAGAGAAAGAGAGAGAGAGAAAGAAAGAAAGAAAGAAAGAAAGAAAGAAAGAAAGAAAGAAAGAAAGAAAGAAAGAAAGAAAGAAAGAAAGAAAGAAAGAAAGAAAGAAAGAAAGAGAGGGAGGGAGGGAGGGAGGGAGGGAGGGAGGAAAGAAAGAAAGAAAGAAAAGAAAGAAAAGAAAGAGAACTAAGTTAAGTCTTGGTTGTATGATAATCATAGTTTCAATAGCCACCCATCATTTATCAATCATCTCTAAGTGGCTAGGTACCATGCTGACTGCTTTGTATACTGTTATTTTATATAATCCTCACAACTCTAAGAGACAAGATTTATTATCTGCATTCTACAGATTAGGAAACTGAGGCACAAAGAAGGTTAAGTTCTTGACAAAGATCATGCAGCTTTACAAATGTGGCTGAATTCTCTTCACTTCATAGCTTCTGGTCTTTTTAGTAGTTGGGTATTCTACTTAGTCAATCATTGCACCAGGAAAAAAGACAAATATAGGTAGTGGAAAGAGATTTGATATTTCCAAATTTGATATATTTTTAGATACCTACTCAGAATTAAAGCCAAATTCTTTAAAGATCCTAATTCCTCAGACTTCATTTATCATGTAAAGAAAAAAAATTCAAGTGATTAAACTGCATTGTCACTTGAGCTGATAACTATTGGGTAGCACCAACACACACCCAAACACACCCATAATGTTACCTACATTCAGTTGTGGCATCTCCAGTCAAAGGTTCTCCTTCTCCACTGCTGTAAGTGGCAAATATTGAAATTCTGTATTTGGTCTCTGGCTGCAGATTTTCTATCATAGTATGGATTGCATCTTCAGGAAGATTTTTCTCTCCAGTGTCAACATCATCATAAAGTGATTTCCATGAGACCCTGTAACCGCGAACCATTCCTGGAGCAGATGTCCAATAAGCCCCAATTGATGTGTCAGTGATGTCTTTAGTAACTAAATCTCGAGGAGAACCACGTTCTAGAACAGAAATTAAAAGGGAATCTTTTTAAAAAATATCTAGTAGTTATTTACGTATTAATATTCATTGATCCTGGTAGAGATTCTGACTTGCTGGACTCAAACTCAGTTTGTCTAAAATTGCCCATTTCTTCTTTCTGAGTTGTCCATCCTATTCTGTCAGTGGAATAGATTGATGCAATAAAACTTTAGAATTATATTTGATTTCTACCTCTTAGCCTTGCCCCCATATGCCTACTTAGATAATCTTATCCTTCAGGACAAGTTTGACATCCAAATTTGAGGAAGTATTTGTCTTTAAAAAAAAAATTCCAAGGGAAAAAAACTGTATCTAAGTCCCAGAATTTTATCACATTTTAGTTGGCCTTGTGGCATGGCCCATTGTTCACAAAGATCTTTATTTTGTTACCATGATCTTTTCCTCTCTGATCTAATTTAAATAAGCTCATTTTCAATGCATGATTTACAACAACTGCAACAATCTCATATCACTTACAAAACTTAATTCCAACAACTGTTTCTTGGTGAAACTTGTATTTGCTCATGAAGTTTAAAAGTAGCAGTGCAAACTTTCAATATAGCTTAACCCTAACAAAACTAAAACAACCAATTCTGGAAAACTTAAAAGTGATTAGTCACCAAAATAAAACATACCACTTGTTCTAGCTGATCAAAAATGTCTGCTACTAAATTTTGGTTCTTTCATTCCAAAAACATACAACCCAATTGGAAAAATATGGAAACCTCAACTTAATAGGAGGCATAGATATCTTTCAGTAAAACCCTCACCCTCCACATTTTAGATGTAAGATAAATATACAGGTCGCTTTATATTGGCTACCTTTACTAGGCTTTATGCCACAGTATGACATAAATACAAAACTCTCTGCTTTCCAGCATACGTCTTACCAGTAATTGTTGTATGTTCATGCAAATGATATATATTGCTCTTAAAAGAATTTTAAAAACTATTATTTTACTTAACTCAAAGAGTAAAAATGAATATCTTAAAAGTAGTCATAATTTAACAATTAAATTTCAACACAAAACGTAAAGGTAACAATGAATGAAAAAGAAATCTAGGTGGACAAAAACATATCATATATGCTTGGATTTAGAGGGGAAAAAATAAATGAAACAGAAGCTGGGCAGCCTACCAGACCCCAAGCCCAAATGGAAAATTCTAACTCCATTAAAAATAACTTTAACTGCTGACAGCACATCTCATCCCTGGAAGGAAATTAGTTACATATTTCACTGCAACAAAGAATACTTATTTTTAAGAGCACATTGAATTTTTTCCCTCAGCTCTTGAGGCTAATTCCCATTTGAAAGTCTTCTTTAGGTGTCTTTACTATGTAAATGGTCATACACCTTTATTTTTTCTCTACTTGGAATATAAAAGTACAATTTTAAACTGTTTATTTTATTTGGTTTGGTTGTGGGTTTCTTTGTTTTGTTTTTTATCTGTTTTGATAATCGATATCCCAACAACTAGTCTGTAAGTTTTAAATGTACAGCACGTTTTTTGTTTGCTTGACATACACCATTTTCAATATGTGCCTTTTCTTCTAAATTTCCTCAATTGTAGTCAGGAACAGCTATTGTGAAATGACCTTGTTTGAAAGCAATTTTGCATTTAAATGAGCTGCATTAATGACGTTTCAAAAAAGTATCAGACAAATAAGGTTAACTAGAATGTGGGAATTATCTTTCCAATTAACACTGGGGTGGCTTTAAAACAATTTCAACTTTTATTTTTCCCAAAGGTTTTGCTTCTCAACCTATTTTTCTTTCTACAGCGCTAAATTTGTGACATTGTTTATTTCCATGACAACAGACATCAATCTCATAAACACAGGCTAATGATTTCACTGTGAGAAAAATAATAGGAAGAGAATTGTGGTTGAAGCAAAAATACATTCACAAAGATATTTCTGGGCTTAAAACAAAAGGATCTAAGATCACAAGACTTGTCTCCCTATGGATTTTAATCAACTATTTTAACACTCTCAAGACTATAAAACTAGAACAAAATATTAGTAAAATGCAATGAAGACCTTTCCCAAGGTTTATCAATATTCTAAAAATAATCTACAACAGCAATTTTTAAGATGCAAATTAAAAATCAAATAAAGAATATTTATAAGCTCTAATTAATGGCATGACAACACTATTTTGAGTGAACACTAAGTTCTCAGTCTCAGAAAAAACTCACTAAAAATTGTAGTTTCTCTCTATGGTATATAAAGGCAGGCACTGTCACTACAACATTCCATGTTAGTGACACAGCAACATAGACTCCAAAGAAAGGAGAAAGATAGTTCAATCAGACACCACAATTGAGAAGATAAGCTGCTTCATATGGGTTTCTTACATGTCAATCAGTCAGTTTGATAGGAATATTCCTAAATATTAAATCTATACTGCTCCCCAAACACATTGATAATTTTTTTTAGGGAGGAGGGCTGACTATTCTATCTGTTATGTTACAACCAGGAATTTTGAGAATAAGTTGTACTCATGACAAGTAAATGTATAGCCCTTGAATTTTTAAAACATGAGATCTTGGTTTGGCCAAACATTATATTACCAAAAAATGAAGCAAGTGCATTGCGCCCTGTGGTACAGTTGGCAGGATGGAAACTGGCAAGTGGCCGAACTTGTCTTGGGGCCAGGTGTGCAACCATCTGAGCAGGTCATCAACAGCCTATGTCACCTCCTGGGGCCTTGGGGCCCACAGCAGCAAAATAATTGGACTGGACTTGAATCGATAAACAGAATTGCCTGAAAAACCAAAGGCTGGACCCTACCCAAATCAATTAGATTGGAATACTTGGGGATGCACCTAAGTACTGGTGCTTTCTAAACATCTTTTAAATCTGCCCTGTGATTCCAAAACCTCTACAATTCTTTATTCTTTCCCCCTTTTTGCTCTTCTTTCTACTTCTCCTCTCTGAGGTCTAGAGAAGCATTTATTAGGGAGGTATGCTGGGTCAGTGTGGGAAGGAACCTCAAATCTGCTTTCACATAGAAGCAGTGCTCCTTCAAAATAAAGACAGGTATGGTGAAAGTAAACTGGTCAAAATCATTACACACATGATGCTCTATAGGACTGCTGGATGGTTTGTATTTTGTGTGGTTATATTGCCATGTACAGAAAATCACTGCTTTAGGTGGAAAAATAATCTCAAGGCTGACCCTCAGAGAACAGAGGAGATGATTTAAGCTTTTTATCACATCTCCATGGACACATGTGGGATATTCACTGCTCTCTTCTCCCCTCCACCTTGTCTCAAAAGGAAATGGCTCTGAACACACAGGAAATGGCTCTGAAACAGGAAATGGCCTCTTGTTGAAGAGCTGAGCACATTTTCAAATGAATGAAGTTCTAAGTGTTACCTAGCAAGGCATTTACTTGGTTCAATACATTGTCATTTTTGTCCTGAATCTAAGGAGCTCCAGACATCAGTAACTACAGGAAGAAATTATCTGACTTGTTTTGGTTTAGTTTGGTTATATTGGGTTTAGGCAAGAGTCCCTTTTTAGAGTACCTAAGAGGGAATAGGAAAGAGAGAGTGAGAAGTAAAGATGTGAGAAGACTAGTCTGTAGGCCATCTCCGGGAGAGGTTACTGCTCCTCAAAAGGAGAAAGCATAGAAACAGTGGCAGTGAACAGAAAGCAACCCTAGTAGACGTTTTGCCATGTAGTCACTACCTTTCCCTGAACCTAGATCTACTTTTGCTCTAGCAGAGGCTCCCTCCCTTCTGAGGTCCTCCTCTTTCTTCTGTGCCCCAGGGTTTACAAATATGTGTGTTATGGTGCTGGGATTTGTTTAGGGTTTTTTTGAATACTATTTAGTCTCATACTACTTGCTCTCTTCTGTTCTGGATATATGTCTGTGCTCTCTCTATTAATTTTATCTCTGGTAATAGAAATTCTGGCAATCATTTCAAACAAGTCATCATCTACAATGATGATATTCCTTTATTCCCATTCCTTTGATTCTATCTTGACAGTTTCCCTTACACTTTATTCTTCCTAGCATAGTACCAGTATAGGTATAAATGTCATAAGTTTAAAGGTATAAAACTCTATCAGGTTTTGAAATTTGGCTACTCAGCATTTCTGTCCTTATTATAAAGCTTAGTTACATCTATTCAAAAGTCATTTTTCTAGTGTGTGCTTGCATGTGTCTCTGTGCTGCTGCTGTGGTAAGTCATTCAGACAGGTCTACTTCTTATGATCTGAACATCCTGAAGGAGTTGATTCCTACACTGCTTTTTTCCACATACCAAGCCAAAGAAATAATGCCTCATTTAAGTAACTTTCCTATGTTTCCTTACCCCTTTTCCATTTTCTTTCTGAAAAGCAAATTATCATCCAATTCAAATATAATTATAACACAAATTAGCCAATGATACATGAAAAATTAATCATCATGAAATAAAACTGTATTTCATCTTATAGATTGTTCCAGCCAGCTTTCATTGAGTTTCATATACCACTTTCAAAAATAGAAGTTAAATTGAAAATGTAATGTAAACTCTCTTCTAAATCAATTTGTCTTTTCCGTTAGAGCTCAGCTCAAAAGTCATCCAACTTTCCACAGCAATACAGAAGATCTGCTTCTGGATATTGTTCATGTGGAAATACATTTGATTTACAACCAATGAATCAGAGCCACCATTCCAAAGGACAAAGTTCACTATTGATAAGTTAACTCAGCTACTTTAAGCTATACACAGTTCTTAAAAACATCTTAGCAATTAAATCACCATTCAACTTCAAAGTTGGCTTGAGCAAAAAAGTGTTTCTTCCATAATTATTACCTCTCCACATTGATTTCAATTTTTATCTGACAAGCAATTAATTCACAGGAAAAGGAAATAGAAATTACTGTTTGGTGACTGTGCTAAAGTTCCCTGGCAACGTCAGCGTTATTTTACCCAGAATGTATGATTTTTCAAATTATGAGACAGCAGTAAATCAGTGAAAACACAGAGGCCTTGTTTAGTCCATCTTTAAGGGCCTCATGTTACTCAACATCATGCAGAATTCCTGAGATGTGCTAAAAACCTCATTGTAACAAAATGTCAACTGAATACACTTGGTTTGATCTGTAGGAAGCCATTCATATCTAGGACGTTGGCAGGTTGCTACAGCAACTGAAACAAAGGAAATTCTAAAAAGTCATATTTTCCGTAGCCAAAAAAAAAACACTCAAAAATTTAACAAGAAAACATATTATTATCAAACTGAAATTCTCATTCATTTGTGGTAAATCTCTGAATTAAAATGGGCATTATTTATTGAGAGATTTATAAAAACAGATTTTCCTCCAAGCACTAACAGCGGCAATTAAAGGTTCTTTCAAGACTTGAAGTGCGATTACATATACAGTAGTGTTTTTGTAATTATATTGTCTAACTGCTCTAACAACAACAACAACGGGGGGGGAAAAACAATGTAAATCAAACTTAATGATGTGTGCTCACATTCCTCTGAAGTTTGGATCTGAAATAGTAATAAACTCTGCCTTTGTGACTCTATTGCCTACAGTACTACAGCCAACCATGAACTTCCCCAACGCCAATGCTAATAAATCTCTCTTCCAGCAACAGGGGAATTTTCTGATCATTGGCTGCGTTTCAAAAAAAGTAGTAGGAAACAGATTCAAGTTAGGGATGGTTGTAGACCACACTACATATTTTTTTAAATACAAAACAACAACAACTTTCTTTCCTTTTGAATTGAGAGTCATAACGCATTTGAAGTAATCTATAAGATGCCCAACCTACAGAATGCTCTTGCCGGCTGACACCATGCCTCTGGATAAAGGAAACATTCCTTCAAGTTCTGCTCTTACCACCTCCTCTCCCAAGAGAAAAACAGATTAGAAAAACAGCAGCCCTCAAAAGCAGTTGCCTGGCTCTGTTTCTGGGCTTTCCACTCCCTGCATTTACCATCATATCCTATTCCTGTATATGGTATGTGGATTTGGCTGAGTTAATACAATAAAATGAAATGGAATAACCAGGGGCAAAAATCTTCTACTATTTTCATTTAGTCACAACTATGCTTTCACATATTTGTCAAGTTTACCACACATAATGCAATGGGATAAATATGTTAACAAAATCAGGCTGGAGGCCCTTTTGTTAATCCTTCACTGCAGGAAAGCGCTTTAGCATAAATGAACAAAATGTCCGTTGTAAATTATTACAATTTAGTTAGGAATTAACTGTATTTTTTAAGCAAGCTGACAAATTATCTAGCTTTCCTTCTTCTCAGGAAATAGAAAACAATAGCTTTTAAAATTTATTTTACTATCTATGTATTTCCCTTAGAGATTGTTTCTGATCAAAGACACGCGTGTGTGTGTACACTTGCACATGCGTACAAGTTGATAGATTTTCGATACCACTTGTGAAGAGATATAATATTATAAACAAATTATACATCTGGCTTACAAAAATTACAGCCTAGTAGAATGTGCTTCCTGTAAAATTAAAAAGTACATTTTGTTAAATGCAATTTTTAATATATTATTCTTGGCAAAAAATGCCTTAATTTTTAGAATTGGGAAATTTTTACTGAGCATAAATATATATACATATTTTTTTAAGCAAGAAAGCACAAATGAATACGAGAAGGTTAAAAGGCACAACCAGAAGAAAAACTATGAAATTATTTCCAAGATACTCCTTATAAAGAAGAAATGTTCACAAATACAATCTATATCTATCCTGTAAAAAATAAAGAGTGAAAGTTTGTCCTCCAAAAATATCTTATGAGTAACCTATGCTAAAAGCTCGTGGAAAGCATATGGAGAAACAGAACTTCAAAAGGTCCAAAGAAAAGGACAAATTTCTCCAAAATTCTGGATGTTGCCCCAGATTGTAAAGATCACATGCTTTTGTTGTTTGGATTATGTCTGTGTATTTGAGGCAATTTCTGTTTCTACTATTTTTTCCAAAACTTTTGTGTCACCGATTATATTTGAAATACTAAAGCTATACAGTTGACAACATGGGTTTGCACTGTGAGGGTCCACTTACATGCAGATTTATTTCAAGCAAATGCAGACAAAAAATACAGTATTCACAGGATGCAAAACCCATCTATATGCAGAGGCCGACTTTTCATATATACAGGTTCCCTAGGCCCAACTGCAGGACTTGAGTATGAGAGGACTTTGGTATATGCAGCGGATATTGGTATATGCAGGGGTCTTGGAACCAATCCAACCCCCCCAACCCTAAGTATACCAAGAGGCTTTTAGATATCAGATCTAAAGTTAATAAGCTATGTCCTCTTGATGAATTTTGTAGACATATAGTATTTCACAGTTTCCAATGAGTTTCACTTACATTCTCCCGTTTGATCTCAACAATAACTCTGGGAGGAAAGAGGGAGGATAATCATCCCTTCTTTATAGATGAATAAACTAAGGCCCAGAGGGGTTAAAGGTTTACTCCAGGTCACACAGCTAAGTAGTACAACCAGGTCTCTTCTAGTTGTAAGTAATTTACACACTGGTACCTAATCTTTCATTTAAATCTTTTTCTAGAAACAGATTTCATGGACTATGGAAATTTAACTCTTGATCACTATCATTATTATTATTTTTTTTTTTTTTTTGAGATGGAGTTTCATTCTTGTTGCCCAGCCTGGAGTGCAATGGTACAATCTCAGCTCACTGCAACCTCCTCCTCTCGAGTTCAAGACATTCTCCTGCCTCAGCTTCCCAAGTGGCTAGGATTACAGGCATGCGCCACCATGCACAGCTGATTTTTGTATTTAGTAGAGACAGGGTTTTACCATGTTGGCCAGGCTGGTCTCAAACTCCTGACCTCAGGTGATCCACCCGCCTCAGTCTCCCAAAGTCCTGGGATTACAGGCGTGAGTCACCATGCCTGGCCAATCACTACTATTTTGATTAGTATTTTTAAATTATTTGTTTTTCATTCTTAAGTCTTGAAGTTTCTAAGAACTGCCTATTGTATGTCCTGTCTCACTAATTACAGTATCTACAACCTTCCAAGCTCCTGGATCCAACAGCTTTGATGGATATTTTGCTTAGTCACTGTGATTTCATATTAGAAGATACTTCAGATTCCTTTTCTTCCTATAATCATTTAAAATAAGCCATATAAAATATAATGATAAAGAGAAGGAAAGCTATTGCTGATAGTCCATGTAGGCCCCCAACTATAGGACTGAGTCAACCTCATGGGATTTTTAGCATTACAATCCATTCTCATTGCGGTTTAATTAGATGTGTATTTTCTCTCCCTTACAGTATTCATGTAGTAGCTGTGTTAAGTTAAACCTGAGCTGTGATTATATCTCAAAAGATCCTAAAAAATGTAAAGGTCTCTGACAATTAACTCTAAAGAGCCAAGGAAACCGCTCTAGTATTGCTGATGTTTCTTACTAAGTACTTTATCACAATCACTTTGAACATTTAATACAGAACGGAATTTCAGAAATTACGTAGAAAACAAATAGAAACTTGGGTTCTTATATTTCTTGAGCTTTTATGCATGGTGAATGAAAAGAGCACTTGAATGGAAGTCAGAAAATGGTTCCTATCTGGACCAGAAAGATAGAACTAGCTGCATAAACTTGGGCAATCCAAACCTTTTTACATAGATGTTTCCCAAGGTCCCTTCCCCCTCTGAATGTCATACACCTATTCTCCTTTCAACCAACCCATGGAATTATAAACACATTTCTTTGGCCTTATTATGCATCCAGCTCCCCAAGGCACTTCTTAATCAAGTTTAATTTTTTCAGCTGCTTACATTCTACATCTCTGAATAACAGACAGCTTTATGGTTATTTATTTTTCAATATATATTCTTTTTAAGAGAAAGGATTGCACACTTCTAGATTCATTCTCTGAAAACATTTTAAGCTTCCTAGAGGCAGCACCGCAAACAAGTTCCTAGATTTTCAGAAAATATGATGGTAATTACCTTCAAGTGTTGTTCCTTCACCAAAGAGGGCATCTCCAGCCCCAGACGCATACAAGGCTGTCACAGATAAGGCGTATTGTGTCCCTTCCTTCAATCCCCGCAGCACCGTATTGGTTGTATCTCCCCTCACAGTGACCTCTTGAGTTTCACCCCCTGCCACTGGGGTATATGTGACGAGATACTGTTTCACTTTTCCTGGTGCCCCACTCCAAGATAATTTCATAGTAGACGTCGTAGGGTCAGAAACTCTTAAGTCTCTTGGATTCCCTCTAACTTCATTAAAAAATGACAACATCATCAAAACCCATTATTTAATAAAATGACTTGAAAAACATTTCGTTACTTTACATATGCATGTGCACTACAACAAATTTATACCCTGGGTGAGACTATGACAATTTTTACTGTTTACTAGCCAACAAAGCTAAATCAGACCTTATATGTTAGTAGAAACAAGGGGAAAGATATCCAGTCCCTTTTCTGTTTTTACAAAGGTTAAAATCTTCCAAGAAAATATTTCATGTTAGAATATTTCCTATAAGATAGTTTCCCTGTATTTCCTTAAAAGTGGAAGAAAGCATTATAAAATGTATACATGTTGATTAGTATTACAATGCAGACTTTAATTCCTTTAAGAAATCTTCAGTAAAAACAGTTAATCAGTGTAATGCTATGAACATCTAAAGGTAACACCCAGGAACTAATTCTGATATAATAAAAATGATAAATTATAAACATAATGCTGTCCCTAGAGGGAAAAAAAGTAAGAGGAAAAAAACAGCTCAGTGAGACCCAGCCTTGGGTATAAATCCCCAGGGACCACCCCATCTTTTTGTAGCTGTGATGTTTGCTATTTCATGACTTTCCTTGTAGATTGGTCATGTCCTCTTTGAAGGTTCCTAAGGAACCGAGTCCTATGTCACTCTCCACTGAGCATATAAAAGCCAGCCAGTTTTACTCCAGAAAATAGAAAGATGAAGAGGTATTGGGTCACATTATGGTGCCCAGCACAAAGAGCCCTAGACTCTCAGCAAGAGAGAAAAACAATGAAGTAGTCACACTTCACCAATGGAAGACAGGAGGAAGAAAGCAGGTAAAAGAGAAAGCCTCTGTAGCAGAACAGACTATTGAGCTAGGTTGCAGGGGGAAGAGAGGAGAGTGAAGCAGTGAAAGGAGGGAAAGAGATGCAGTGGGAGGAGGGAGAGAGATGCAGTGGGACGGAGGGAGAGAGATGCAAAGGGAGGAGGGAGAGGGATGCTGTGGGAGGAGGGAGAGTGATGAAGTGGGAGGGAAGGAGAGAGATTCAGTGGGGGGGGAGAGAGATGCAGTGGGAGGAGGGAGAGGGATGCAGTGGGAGGAGGGAGAGGGATTCAGTGGGAGGAGGGAGAGGGATGCAGTAGGAGGAGAAGAGATGCAGTGGGATGGAGGGAGAGAGATGCAGTGAGAGGGAGTAAGAGGGATGCAGTGGGAGGAGGGAGAGAGATGCAGTGGGAGGAGGGAAAGAGATGCAGTGGGATGGAGGGAGAGGGATGCAGTAGGAGGAGAAGAGATGCAGTGGGATGGAGGGAGAGAGATGCAGTGAGAGGGAGTAAGAGGGATGCAGTGGGAGGAGGGAGAGAGATGCAGTGGGAGGAGGGAGAGAGATGCAGTGGGATGGAGGGAAAGAGATGCAGTGGGATGGAGGGAGAGGGATGCTGTGGGAGTAGGTAGAGAGATGCAGGGGGAGGGACAGCAGTGGGTGGTGGGAGCATGATGCAGTAGGGGAGGAGGGGGAGTGATGCAGTAGGGGGAGAGAAATGCAGTGGGAGGAGGAAGAGGAATGCAGTGGAAGGAGGGAGAGTGATTCAGTGGGAGGTGGGAGAGTATTGCAGTGGGAAGAGGGAGAGTGATACAGTGGGAGGGAAGGCAGTGGGCAGTGGGAGCGTGATGCAGTGGGGGAAGAGGGAGAGTGATACAGTGGGAGGAGGGAGAGTGATGCAGTGGAAGGAGGGAGAGTGATGCAGTGGGAGGAGGGAAAGGGATGCTGTGAGAGGTGGGAGAGTGAAGCAGTGGCAGATGGGAGAGTGATGCAGTGGAAGGAGGGAGAGTGATGCAGTGGGAGGGAGTGCAGTGGGCGGTGGGAGCGTGATGCAGTGGGGGAGGAGGGAGAGGAATGCAGTAGGAGTGGGTAGAGTGATGCAGTGGGAGGGAAGGCAGTGAGACAGAGAAGGGTGATGCAGACCAAGCTATAATGGATACTCCTTGTAAATGTCTGCAGTAGGGCAGTAAAATCCATAAACTCAGATTCACCATTTATTAGCTGTGTGGTCTTGATTTATTATTTAATTTCCTCAGCCTTAATTCTCTTATAAAGCTGAGATGATAATAATAACATAAACACTATGCAAGGATTAAACAAAATATATGAAAAGCCCTTTGTACAGAACCTGACACCAGACAGGTACTCAGTAACTTTTCATTATTGCTAATGTGTTCTTAGCATTATTATTGCTATTTTAAAAACATTAGAGCTAGGAAATAAAATAAAAAATTATGAATGTCTCATTTTGCCCCCAATGAAATAACATATTAAACATTAATAATTTCAACAAACAAACATCAGAATATATCCTGGGATCCTAATCATCCCATCTAAAGAAAAACAAGTTAATGTTTAAAAATCTTTCTTAAGAAGTAAAATACAATCTATTTCAATGGTGCATAGAAGTTTGATTTTTAATTCTTAGCCATCCTTCAATTCACATTGAAACATTTAATAATATTATTTTTAAAAGAATATTGAGACTATATCCTAGCATTTAAATTCTATTGACGTGCATGGTGGCTCATGCCTGTAATCCCAACACACCGGGAGGCCAAGGCAGGCAGATCCCCTGAGGTCAGGAGTCTCAGACCAGCCTGGCCAACATGGTGAAACCCTGTTTCTACTAAAAATACAAAAATTAGCTGCGTGTAGTTGCACGCGCCTGTAATCCCAGCTACTTGGGAGGCTGAGTCAGGAGAATCGCTTGAACCCGGGAGGCGGAGGTTGCAGTGAGCCGAGCCACTGCACTCCAGCTTGGATGACAGAGGGAGACTCTGTCTCCAAAAAATTAATAAATAAATTAATTAAATTTATCAACACAAGTAAATAATGTCATGATTAAGTAAAAAAAAAAAATTAAACTTAAGTCTAAAAGGACTATGGTCTAACATACTCAAATAATTGAAACAAAGTGTCTCATGAGTTTTTTATCTGGATAGTTGTCTCAATTTTCCCCTCTAGTCTAAGAGTTTGGTTGTCACCATATGATAAGCATATTTCCTCTACCTTCTTCAGTGGCTGCGTTTCCAGTTAATGGAGAACCAGGTCCCGAGAAATATTCAGGAATTACAGTTACTTCATATTTTGTGTCTGGAATCAAGTTCTCCAGTGTTCTCCTCCTCTGATTGGGTGGGGTGGTAACTTCTCTGCTTTCTCCACCAGCAACTGGTCTATATATAATTCGATATCTTAAAACTCTCCCTGGAGCTTGAGTCCAAGTAATTTTAAAACTATCTGTAGTCTCATCTGTCACCTTTAGGTTTCGAGGTGCTCCTTTTACTGAAATAAAAAAAGAAAAACAGATGTTAAAACATAAATTGACTTTATATGAAAAATACAAAAATTACTTTTTTATTACTAAATTATACCATTTCTCTAAAGAAATCCATGAGCAATTTATTTGCAAACATCCCGGTTTCTGCATTCATTTAGCCAGAGATTAACTAAATTCTGAAATAGCAAATATGAATTCTACAATATCCAGAAAGAAACTAAGTACTGTTAATTTTTTAATTACATAAAGATGTATATAATAGTAAACTTTTAAAATAATAAATATTCTATCAAGTGCTAAATTTATACTGCTATAAACTTCAAGAATAAAAACAATTCATTTCTTTGAATATAAGCAGCCAAGACTTTCACTCTTACTACATTTTCTCACGAAACTAGGAAAATAACACCTAACACCCGGCTCTACCATGTCTACCCACCCAACCAAATTGTCTTATCCAGTCAGTCCCACACTAACTTTTTATCTGTATAGTCACTTGACTTGGAGAATAATTGGACCATACGCAGGATGGAACAAGCAGAGAATTGGTACCTAATGAATGCTCATTAGATCTACATCTTGAAGCTAAGGTGCACTATGGGTAACACCTACAGACTCATAATTTTAAATGCATTTTTCATTAAGCCCAAATGAGAACATCATTTGGTTTTGTGTTCAGTAAACATGTTTAAATGACCCTCTTGCTCAGTGGGGCCAACTGTCTCTATAGACAATATATTCAGGAAAGATGAACTAAAGGTCTTTGTCTTCTCAGTCCACTGGGGTGAAAGCCTTGTACAACATGCCTGGCATGTATCACACAGACATTTAGAAGTTTACTTAAATATTCAACACATCAATAGATCACTCCAGGGAGAAAGAAAGGAAGGAAGTATATCTCTCTAGAAGAGAAAGGAAGGAAGTATATCTCTCCAGGAAGGAAAGAAATGGTACTTGGCCAACTTACACCCATGATTCATTTTGTATTGGAAGGAAAAAGATTAAACAAGTCAGAACAAATCAGCAGATAGACTGATGGGTTGGAATCCTAGCTCTGAAGCTTAATAGATATGTAATTCTGAGCCGTAGATTATCCTAGCAGCAAAACATGACTATTTATAGGATTATTTAAGTGGTTAAATGAGATAATCTATGGAAAACATTTAGCAGAGCATCTGACACAAGCAGAAGCTCTATAATTGTTAGCTTAATGAAAGTATTACATTGGAAACTTTCTTATCAACTAAAAAAAATTTAAATCCCAGATTCCATTACAGACAATATAACTGAAAAGACATTACCCAACTCCATTGTAGTAGCCCAATGACCAAAAACTAGAGTGTGTATGAATGGAGTGACTTCTACTCAAAAACCCTGAGACAAGTCCTCTCTTGAGACAGATTTCCCATTCCCCTCCCAAAATGCTGAAGAGAAAGGGTCAGGGTCATTGAGTAGCAGTGTGGGCATTACAGGAAAAGCATCAGAAAGTCAGAAATATCTGAGTATGGCCTTCTCGCTTATATGACCACAAAAGTCATAAGATGAAAGGACTTCTTAGGCCATTTAGTTTATGTGGTGGCCTTCAGGAAGAAATATACGTAAACCATGAAAAAAAAAAGAAAAATAGCAATCTTATCTGAAAAAATGTTTCAGAGAAAAAAGATTCTCTAGCTTTTATCAGTATAGTATGCCAATATGTACCATCCCTGTCAGCAAATACTTCTTTATAACTATCTTAAATTCCTCACACTATTCTCCCAGGGTCTTTACCTCCTATTCCCAGTCAAAAGAGGAGACAACAATTGACATCTATTGTGATACTTTGCTATGCTAATGTTAAAGAATAATTGCCTTGCCTTAGTCTGCCACTAACCAACTTAAATTGGTGCCCTTAAATGTCAAACATAACAAAGTGTGTCCAAATATATTCAACTCTATCCAGTAAGGAGTACATATGTAAACAAATACTGCTTAAAACATTTGGCAAAATTTGCACACCATGTTCATAGCAGCAATATTCACAAAAAGTAGATGCAGCCCAAATGTCCACTGATGAAGGGAGATAAACAAAATGTGAAGCAGGGCGCCATGGCATATGCCCGTAGTCCCAGCTACTCAGGAGGCTGAGGCAAGAGGATCATTTGAGCCTAGGATTATGAGGCCAACCTGGGTAACATAGTAAGAACCCCATCTTAAAAGATATGTGGTGCATACATACAGTGGAATATTATTCAATCATAAGTAGAGAGGGCATTCTGACACACGCTACAACATGGATCAACCTTGAGGACGTTTACGATGTGAAATAATCCAGGCACAAGACAAGTACTGAAAGAGTCCTCTCAAGTAAGGTAGTTAATCAGAAGGAATTCTGTCTCTAATTCCTAGAGACAGAAAATAGAATGGTGGTTTCCAAGAGTAGAGGGAAGGAGGGAATGGGGAGTTATTCCTTAATGAGTATAGAATTTCAGTTTCACAAGTTCTAAAGATGGATGGTGGCGATGGTAGCACAACAAGGTGAATGTACTTAATGCCACTAAAATGTGCACTCAAAAAATGGTTAAAATGGTAAATATGTTATGTATACTTTAGTACAACTTTTTAAAAGAATATAATTAATTGATAATATACTTATTACCAACATATATACGTGTGTGTGTATATATATATTTGCCATAACTCCGTAAGTACAGTAAACAATTTCAGAAAGATTTAAGACATGACATTCCTGAAATGTGGGACCAAAAATGACGGATAAGCAGTATTTCAAAAGTTAATTCCATAATTATCAATAGTTCTCTAGGTCTCTTAACTTCAAATTCATCAAAAGAATTCTAAGGTTTTTTACTTAAAAGTTATTTTTCTCTTTCTAAAAAGATTTATGAAAAGCTGTCTTTAAAAGATGCCAAGTCTTACAAAGGCACTGGCAATTCTGAACTATAAAGCAGATGGTTATTAACTTTGTACTGCAATAAATCATTCATTTTTGAAAAACAGTGGCAGAAACCCCCATCACACCTTCTTCGGTGGTCTCCTCTCCAGCTAAGGGAATGCTGAAGCCATCCTCATACTCCGCAGTCACATTGACCAAATACAGGGTCTCTGGCTTCAGGTTGCTGAGAACAACACTGGTGCTCGATGCTGGCTCCACCACAGTGACCTCGTCATCCCCAGTCGCTTCCTTGTAGGTGATGTGATATGAAAAAACATTTTCTCCAGCTGGAGACCAGTTGGTTTTGAAACCATAAGAAGTCACTTCTGAAAAACTAAGATCCTTTGGAGGGACGTAAGCTATTTAAAAAAAAAAAAAAAAAAAAAGTTAAAAATGTTTGAATCTATAAAACAAAACCGTAACCAATATTTAAATGTTTATAAAATGGGTTATATTAATTTGGGAGAATGGTGCTCATTGAGACCACTGTACTGAGTACCTCATCTACATTTGACCATTGGGAGAAAGCCCACCCCCCAACTTACAACCCAACAAGAGATCTTGATTATTCACCTTGACTATCCATAATACTAACTTCTGCTATTTAAATGAGTGATGAAATTTGAATGTGAATTTTGAGATTCTTAAAGCAGTAGCAATAGAATGGCCTTGCCCACAACTGGAATATTTAAACCATAGCAGACCAAAAATGAACCATCCACATTTTCCCATTCATCCCTGGTACTTGGATATTAACCTTTGGTGGTTTTCAGACAAATATTTCAAAGTAAAAATTAAGGAATTTTTCCCAACAACAAAATGTTTATTAAATTAAGCAGTTATTAAACCAAATCATAGAAAGAGACAATATTTAACACATACAGTATATCCTTAGGGGGCACACAATCAAAATGGAGAAACGAGACAATGCAACATTATTAACAACCATAAAAAAAAAAAAAGCAGGAAGGTCATGGGGGCTAATGCCTATAATCTCAGCACTTTGGGAAAATGAGGTGGGTGGATCACCTGAGGTCAGGAGTTCAAGACCAGATTGGCCAACATGATGAAACCCCATCTTTACCAAAAAAAAAAAAAATAGAAAAATTAGCTAGGCATGGTGGCATACTCCTGTAGTTCCAGCTACTGGGGAGGCTGAGGTGCAAGAATTGCTTGAACTGGGGAGGCAGATATTGCAACGAGCATAGGTTGCACCACTGCACTCCAGCCTGGATGACAGAGTGAGACCCTGTCTCAAAAAAAAAAAAAAAAAAAAAGCAGTACATAGGAAAGCCAACTGATGAAAGTGATAGCATGATAGTGCTAAGACAGTTACAGTTGAGGAAGGCTTCATGAAAAGGATGGGATTTTTTTATTATTATTATACTTTGAGTTCTGGGGTACATGTGCAGAACATGCAGGTTTGTTACATAGGTATAAACGTGCCATGGTGGTTTGCTGCACCCATCAACTGGTCATCTACATTAGGTATTTCTTCTAATGCCATCCCTCCCCCAGCCCTCCCAACAGGTCCCAGTGTGTGATGCCCCCACCCCCGTGTCCATGTGTTCTCATTGTTCAACTCCCACATATGAGTGAGAACATGCAGTGTTCGGTTTTCTGTTCTTGTGTTAGTTTGCTGAGAATGATGGTTTCCAGCTTCATCCACGTCCCTGAAAAGGACATTAAACTCAAGGGATGGGACTTTTAATTAAACATCGAAAAGTAGATCAGGCAAATGAAGAAAATTCCAGATGTGACAAACGATGCCCAAAATGATCCAGGAAATGCATAAAAAGAATCCAAAGGTGCAGGACTATATTCTCATCACCTTTGAGTTGAAGGACCCAGCTCAGTATCCAACACATAGTGAACACCCCATACTTGGGACTTGGATTCTAAATGACACACACATATGATAAAACTTGTTCCTAAACCTGTTTGAGGATCTAGGAACAGAAACATCTCATGACTCTTATGAGTAAACAGCTTTTTCACCAACCAAAATATGAACCATACCCAGGAGAAAGTCATATCTCAGAGCTAAGTAAACTAAGTTCAATAGTTTTCAATAACGTAGAAAAGTTACTTTTTCTTGTCTATAAAAAGAATTGAAGAAGCACATAATCCACAATTTTAGAAACCAAAATGCTTTGTTCATGAAGAAATAACTTTTACTCTCAAAGTCTACTAACCTTTCTTCTTTATAGCTGCCAATTCTTGCTCAATTCTAAGGCAGATAGACTGCGTGAGTTCAAAAGATATCCTCTGAAAAGCATCAAAATCTTCCACTGTGAACACATGGGTCTCTGCGGGAGGAGAGGCAATAGCTTCTAATTCTGAGCGAACAGCATCTTTCACACCAACTGCGAAGATTTCAACATCTGAATTCCTTAGTTTTATCGCAGGATCTCTGAAAGCATCTGACGATTTCCCATCCGTGATAAGAATCATGACCTTTGGCACATTGCTTCTTGATCCCTTGCTAGGCACAAATATTTTCTCTCTGACATAAGTCATTGCTTTGCCAGTATTTGTAGATCCTCCTCTGTAAGGGAAGGTGTTTATTGCTTCAATTATATCTTCCACTTTGGTGAATTTTTTCAAAGTGAACTCAGTATGAGGATCCCGGCTGTATTGGACAAGACTAATCTGGACCCTATTTGGTGAAATTTCAAAACTTTTTACAAGAACTTCCAAAAAGGCTCTAACTTTAACAAAGTTTGCAATCCCAATGCTATAGGAGCCATCAACCAAAAACACAATATCGGCTTTTATATCCACACCACGTGAGCATTCTGTAAAGAGAAAAAATGTACATTAAACTTCAATACACATTCATAATTAAAATATACATATCTAGCTTGCTTAGTAAGCATGCTTCTTAAAAAAAAAAAAAAAAAACTACTGCAAATATTTCATTCAAAACTAAGTCCTAACAAGTAAGGCATTCTGTCAAACAGACCTCCACATATTCCAAACACATGATGCACACATTAACTCACCCACTTGTACTTTCATTGGCTGAGTCTTCTCCATTATTGAGATGGGTTCACTGGATGTCATTCCCTTCATGGCAGAAACACTGATCTGGTATTCTGTGTCTGCTGAGAGGTCACGAACACTGAGCGTGGTTGTCTGAGGCCCCACACTCAGAGCGTGCTGTCGGCTTCCTGCTGTCATTGGTGTGAGGATGACTTTGTAGCCAGTCACTGGACTAGCAGATGGATTCCAACTTAGCTTAACGTATTTTGAAGAGACTTCCACGGCAATCAAATTTGAAGGAGGCTCAACAACTAAAAAGTTACAAGCAGACAGTGATTAATAACAGTGAAATGTAACCTTATTAATTTAGTCTTTAGGTTTGGACCTTCAAATCTCCTTATTCAAATTAATCCTGAATACATTGAAAAGAGTTGCCCAATACCCTCCTCAGTCTCCAATTTCACATGTCCCTATCAAACCAAAAGTGGTTCGACACTTGGCTTTTAGTCAAATTGCTGAGAAGTTAATGGAATAAGAAAGTATTTGGAAGAAATTAATGTTGGGACACCTCAGGCCTAATTCTTCTCTGAAACCAAGATTTCCATTCTGGTTTTAGTATTCACTCATTGTCTTCATTCTCAAGTACCAAAGTAGGCACTTGATAAATATTTGTTAAATCAATGCTTCATTCAATTCTTTATGGAATTTTTCTCTCTTAATGACATCATAAAAGTGGAATCTTTAAAAGATACTTTATAATATGCCAAGGAAGATAAAGCATTTAGTAGTTCTTAAATGACAAGTTCTTATAATTTTAAACAATTTTATTTTCACTAGTTTCAGGGTAAGAAAAAAAGTTCAACTATGTTCACAGTGCCACCAAACAGAGGGGAAACAATGACTTATAACATACATATTGACACACACATATCAATCCTCTAAAAAATGGTGATCCTTACTCAACATAGAACATAGTCATGCATTTGACTGTTAATATAAAGTATTTTAAGATATTTCAGATGATATCAAAATTCTGGATTTGTCAATGGAATCAACTTCCCAGAAGATATAGTTCTAAGTTTTTACAAATCAACCTGCAAAAAGTGTGTGTAAAAAGGCCCAAATTTACACATCACCTCCTCAAAAAATAAATCAGATGTAGCACACAAAAATGATGTTTATACTGAATAGGCAAAAGCTGGAAGTATTTCTCTTGAAAACTAGCACAAGATGAGGTTGCCCTCTCTCAACACTCCTGTTCAACATAGGATTGGAAGTTCTGGCCAGAGCAATCAAGCAAGAAAAAGAAATAAAAAGCATCCGAATATAAAGAAAGGAAGTCAAACTACCCCTGTTTGCAGATGACATAATCCCTCTAGAAAACTGCATAGTCTCAGCCAAAAAGCTTATTAAGTTGATAAACAACTTTAGCAAAGTCTCAGGATATAAAATCAATGTGCAAAAATTGCTAGCATTCCTATACACAACAACAGTCAAGTTGAGAGCCAAATCAGGAACGAACTCCCATTCACAATGGGAGTTGTGAATAATAGAATAAAATACCTAGGAATACAGCCATCTAGTTAGGTGAAAGATCTCTACAAGAGGAACTACAAACCACTGCTCAAAGAAATCAGAGATGACAATGGAAAACATTCCATGCTCATAAATAGAAAGAATCAATATCATTAAAATGGCCATACTGCCAAAAGCAATCTATAGATTGACCGCTATTCCTAATAAACTACCATTGAGATTCTTCACAGAACTAGAAACAAGTATTTTAAATTTCATATGGAACAAAAAAGAATCCGAATATCTGAGGCAATCCTAAGCAGAAAGAACAAAGCTGGAGGTGTCACACTATCTGACTTCAAACTATATTACAGGGCTGTGGTAACCAAAACAGCATAGTACTGGTACAAAAACAGACATCTAGACCAATGGTACAGAATAGAGAATCCAGAAGTAAGACTGAACACCTACAACCATCTGATCTTCAACAACCCTGACAAAAACAAGCAATGGGGAAAGGACTCCCTATTCAATAAATTGTGCCCAGATAACTGGCTAGCCATATGCAGAAGATTGAATCTGGACCCCTTCCTTACACCATATTAAAAAAATTAACTCAAGATGGACTAAAGACTTAAATGTAAGACCCAAAACTGTCAAAATCCTGGAAAACAACTAGGCAATACCATTCAGGACATAGATTTCATGACAAAGATGCCAAAAGCAATTGCAATGAAAACAAAAATTGACAAATGGGATCTAATTAAACTAAAGAGTTTCTACACAGCAAAAGAAACTCAAAAGAAACTACCAACAGAGTAAACAGACAACATACAAAATGGGAGAAAATTTTTGCAAACTATGCATCCAACAAAGGTCTAATATCCAGCATCTATAAGGAACATAAACAAATTTACAAGAAAACAACACACAGCCCCATTAAAAAGTGGGCAAAGGACATAAACAGACACTTTTCAAAAGAAGACATCCATGTGGTCAACAATAATACAAAAAAAAGTTCAACATCCCTGATTATTAGAGAAACGCAAATCAAAACCACAATGAGACACCATCTCACACCAGTCAGAATGGCTACTATTAAAAAGTCAAAAAATAACAAATGCTGGTGAGGTACTGGAGAAAAAGGAATGCCTATATACTGTTGGTAGGAGTGTAAATTAGTTCAACCATTGTGGAAGACAGTGCAACAATTCCTCAAAGAACTAAGAACAGAAACACCATTTGACCCAGCAATCCCATTACTGGGTATATACCCAAGGAATATAAATCATCCTATTATAAAGATACATGCACACGTATATCCACTGCAGCACTATTCACAATATCAAAGACTTGGAATTAACAAAAAACCCCATCAATGATAGACTGGATAAGGAAAATGTGGGACATGTATACCATGGAATACTATACAGCCATGAAAAAGAATAAGACCATGTCCTTTGCAGGGACATGGATAGAACTAGAGGCCATTATCCTTAGCAAACTAACACAGGAACAGAAAACCAAATACCACATGTTCTTGCTTATAACTGGGGGCTAAATGATGAGAACACATGGATACATAGAGAGAAACAACACACACATTGGGGCCTATTGGAGGGTTGAAGGTAGAAGGAGGGAAAGTATCAGGAAAAATAACTAATAGGTACTAGGCTTAATACCTGGGTAACGAAATGATCTGTACAACAAACCCCCCTGAAACAAGTTTATCTATGTAACAAACCTGTACATGTACCCCTGAACTTAAAAGTTTAAAAAATGAAAATAATTTTAAAAATATATATATATTTAAAAATTATGTTTCCGTAAAAAGTAGTAGGAGGGAAGCCACAGAGATGCCACATGGAAATTTGGCCAAACCTGAGGGATACAGAGGCAGTACAGGCTAGTCCAGCAGAAGAGAAGCCTCAGGTTAGTCCAGCAGAAGAGAAAAGACACTAAAGAGAAATGTGAACACCTGTGATGCAGCCCCAGCCCCCTCCTACACAGGGAAAGTTCCAACAGTGGCAGCAAAAAAGTTTGGCCTACCCTTGCATACATGCAACTGCACCCCAGGAAGAATTAAACTGTTTAAAAGATTGAGTAGAGAGAAATAATCAGAGAAAAGTAGAGGTGAATGAGATGGATTTTATAATAATACAAAGCAAAAAGGATGGACATTAGACAGTAAAACAAAGGAACAGATTGAGAGCCCATGAAGTAATGAGAGGTTCTGAGACAGAATTAGGACCAATGAACATTTTGACAAAATGTTGAGATTGAAGATTAAAGAGTTTGTATGATTAAAGATGTCGCTATTTAGAATTTATGTTTAATCACTTAATGATTCTCAGGCTGAGAGGAGAACAATGATGGAAAAATATAAAGGCTTAAGGTTGTTATTTTTAATGTTCAAAAGGATGCTTTTGAAATGTCTCTTCTTTCTCCCATGTATTTAGAAGTAATAACTAATAGAAATGAGAGAATTTTCTAATGGAATGATCACATTGACTGACCTTTGAAATATTCTTAAAAGCTTTCAAAACATTACACAGAGTATAATAATAGAAAACCCTTGTCCTTAGCCAGTTAACAGAAACATTTTTATTATTTTAAGTTGCAAATGTCTTTCCAGCCCATCAACGTTTAAATCAGAGTGCAAGATAATTAAAGCAAGTACCATAATAGCATAATCAGACAGACATTCAACGTACACAAAAGAGTCTTAAACAAAAGAGTAAATCATAACTTGTCACTCCCAAAAAAAAATTTTAAGAACTTTGCAATGATACATTTTATTGAATGTTCCACTGGAAGGAAAAACAATGCAAATGGTATCAACAAGTTGAGTTGCTAAAAAACAATGCAAATGGAGTATACAATTGGAGAATCACTGGAAGAAATATTTAAGTATGTCTACTTCTAAGATAACTATAAAACTATAAATACTCAAACAATGGAAAAGACTAACACATGGGGAATACTACACAGTCTACTCACCTTCTTCTCCACTAACCAATTCGCCAAGTTGTTCATCAACACCTGAGCACACCTGGGAGATGATCTCATTCTGAATATCCACGATTGCATCAAAGTTGGCCACATTGAAAACATGGTTCAGTGAAGGTGTGGAGGCAATTTGTTTGAGTTCTTTTGCATCTGCAGCTTTAATGCCTTTGAAACAAAAGGATAAGGACATATTGAAATGGGAAATGTGCCAATTGACTTGGAGGAGTTCGTTTTCTCTGTCTTTCACAACTGAAGACATATTCAAATCGTTATTAAGTCATAAGCCAGATTGCTTTGCTTCATAACGAATGTGCAACTGCACAGATGACAAAAACATTTTGTAATTTGACATAGAGTGGCCAGCCAAAGAGGAAAACAAATGGTTAGTTAAACAGAGTGGGCTTTCATCCCAACCATACCATCATATGTCTTTGCCATCTGTAAAGATAATACTTTTTTCTTCCAGAGTCCTGAATAAGCTGGAGCCCTCTGAATTCTTCAAGTATTACATAATATAGGAAACACATAAAAAACACTTAATGATAATACAAGGAGGATCTTTATTAGAATCATTGGTCCAGCATTCTTTGAAAAGTAGAGAGCTGGCAAAGAATGTGAATACCACCTTCCTAAATACATATGCTAAGGGAGTTATATAAGGGAAATAGATAAGCAGAATTTTTACTTAAAGACAATTTAAGTCTTTAATATTACACTATAAAAATGCAGTAAACACTTCTAATAGCATCCTTCCTTAAGGAATCAATATTTCATCTTCCTAAACATTAAGCATACTGCAGGAGTTGTAAAATGGAAATAATTAACTGAACTTAACCTACCCAAGGAGAAAACTTCAACTCCAACATTACGAAGCTCTCTTGCTGGAATTTCCACTTCATCCTGGGATTTTCCATCCGTAATAATAATTGCCACTTTAGGAAAGCCAACTCTTGCCCCAGCAGATTCCGTGAAAGTATTTTTAACTAAATAATCAATGGCATCCCCTAAAGGGAAAAGAAACATGTTCATTTACTCTGTACTACACAATTTTTCCAAAGTCAAAAACTATGCGAATAATGTCAAAAATATTTAATATGTAATAGGCAATGCGTCATTTCTTTCTGAAACAGACATTTCATTTATTTTTAACTTTAAAGAAATCTGTAGAACATACCTGTCATTGTGTTGCCACCTTTATATGGAATTTTTTTTATTGCAGCAAGAAGCTCATCCCTTTGGTAGTACTGATTTAAGTTAAATTCAGTCCTGGTATCAGAGCTGTACTGAACAACTCCAACTCTTGTCTTCTCTTCCCCGATATCAAAAGCAGACACAAGAGCAGCAATAAAGTCTAAAATGTACTTGAAATTATTTCTTCCCACACTCCAAGAGCCATCCACAAGGAAAATCAGATCAGTCCAGGCACTGACAGAGCATTCTGTAATACATTTGATATCTTTTTAAATGATGCTTTATTAAATCAGCTCATCAATACATGCTAACATTGCAAGAATGTCAGCTCCTTAAATCATTCTGTTCATTAGAACATATTCACCGATTGTTCTTCACCCACATGCACAAACGAATATACAGTTTTACTAACAACACATAGAAGCATTTTCAATGCCTTTATCAAGATGAATTCATGGAACTAGATGTCTTTAAATTGCTATATAAGACATTATACAAAAAGAGACAAACAGATCTATAACCTGCTCTCCAGGGGCATAAAGTCCAAGTATTCGTGCTATCAACCTATCCATTTTTACAAACTATACCCTCACTCTTCTTTACAAGTCCAAATTTTATAAAACATTTAGGAGTCACACAAAAGAAATACAAGCAAAGGGTTTTATTCCTTGGTATTTATCAACAAATAAATACAAAATAATTGCTGCACCATTCAAGGAAGTGCAGTTGAGTTGAAGACCTAATTTGTTAATATTCTATTGCACTTTTCAATATAATTATCTAAAGTTTGTATTAGGGTTAGTCTAGAGGGCTAAGGGAGCCTAACAGAAGTAAAAACAAGCATAAAATTATGCAAAATAGCCAAAATATCTAGTCCTAATTATCAATATATTTAAATTCGACAATTAAAACCTACTTTTAGTGAACAAAGAGGGTAAACAATTATTTTTATTCAAAAGTTAAAAATCCATGTGGTATTCTGAAATTATCAGAATACAATGATCAGCTTTTATAACTGAATATGTTATCTTTCCTTCTTTCTATGGTAGAGGTCAAGTTGGTTTTATGAAAATCTGTATTTGTAATGCAATACCAAGTGAATTTTCTGAAGATGACTTTGTCCTTGCAGTCAGTTGGTAGGTAATAAAAGAAGTATTTGGCTAGGAAGAGAAGGAGAGGGTGCTGGAAAATTTTGCAAGCCAAATACAAGTTGTATTCTTAAATAAGTTTTGCACACTATTTAATAGGTCAGTTCAAGCCTATTAAAAAGTCAATACTTGGCATAATACTTCAATTTAAAATCAGTACTAATTGTTAAAAATATTAGCATCTGAAATAATGATAAACAGTGGTCTGGAGGGAATATTTCCAGATAAAGAGACCTTTATGTTTATAATCTTTTTATTGTCATTCTAGGTCATAAATCCAAGTTTTAGAAGGTGACAAAATTAGAAGTCCAAGAAACCCCTTAAGGATCTATCCCCATAAGTCAGACAAAGCAATATAAGACAAAAGGAGGCTAATAACTGCAAGATCTAGACTAAATAAAATTGCTTTCATCTGATTACAAATGCACCAATTTATAAGAGGTGTGTTATAGAGACTCTGAAAAAGGTTACAACTTTTTCAACTAAGGCCATGTAAATAACCTAGAGAGGAGCATAACATACACATAGACTTAGAAAAGTATTTTCATGACAATTGTATTGCTTTGAACACTAGCTGAGGGCATCTCTCTCATGTTCCAGCCTTGTATTTCTCATATATTCCTAAGTGCCACCTACTGCTATCAGTTTGTCTTTGAGAAACGAGCTGAGTCCTGAAATATGCTTTGTTTTCACCTATTGCCAAAATCCTGCAGGAAAGGTTGAACACACACAATTTCAAACTCTCCCATTGAAAAGAATATCTAGTAAATAGAATGAAAAACTGGTTAGAATGTCAGAACTTAGGTTATAATGGCTTAGTTATACATTATTCTTATATTGTCTGTGCTCCTTCTACATAAAGCTTATAGAAATTAATATAGGAATAAGATCAATCTATGTATATAACTGGAACATTTGTTCTATCCTACATTTATTCCTTCCATGAATCTAAGCAAAAATAGTACGAGAAACACTCACTTTGTATCTCGGTTTTTCCAGGTTTTTTCTCCACTGGCTTTGTCGAACTACCTGTTTGAACTAAGTTAAAACTTTATTATTACAAAAGGAAATGAACCCAAGCAGACATACTCTTTAAAATAGAATAAATATATTATGTTAGTTTTTGCTATTGTCTCTTAAAAGTATGGCCCTGCCCAGCTGGTCAGAGAATACTGCCAGATAATCATTCCCTTGCAAGTAAGTTATTTTAGTGATATCTTTGAGATATTTCAAAAAGATATTCACATTGTTGTCCAGCAAAGTTTAACATTTTTAATGGTCTTCATTTATAACATTCCTGCTGTTTCCAGAGACCAGAGTTATAAATCAGGAATGAATGATTCATGTCCACTAATAACTAGGATAACAGAAAAAATAGTTAGTACTGGTATAAATTAACTCTGTATCACAAGAGATTAAATCTGAAGTAGGAAAACCTTTCTGCAAAATAAAAAGGACACAAGTATTTTAATTTATATGTATGCTTACTTGTTAGTTGTCCTATAACTGGTACACTTTCTTCTACTTCATCATATGAAGTTATTGTCACCACATACTCTGTTTCAGGTACAAGTTCTGACAATAAAGTTTCAGTGGTACTAGCTGCAAGGGTAAATTCTTTAGTAGGCCCATCTGGAAATATAAAAAGGAAAAATATGAATGCAAGAAAACATTTTTCACATATAACACAACACAATATACTGTAATTCCCAGAAGTACTCAAAATCTGAAAAATTCAATATATACATTTTTTTCAGGACACTCAAACATTATTTTTTTTACTGCCTTCCAAAACTAAAATTTTGAATTTTAGAAATTTAATAAATGGACTGGTATTTCTTTTGTTACAATCATATTTAATACTTGTTTGAGAATTCAAGACTTTTCTAGTTTAAAGGTATACCAGAATTTCAAACTAAAAATCTATCATTGGTTTTGGAGACTAATGGGAGATAACAGTTTTATAAATGCAAAAAAAAAAGAATTTAATTTTAAATTATGCATTGGAGGACAGCAGAGAGAGAGAAATAAGAAATGAAAATAAACTCAAGGAAAACAAACCCCAGAGGTTAAGACCAATCTCTAGTAGGAAATCTGTGTAGAAGCAGTGCATATTCCATTCTCAAATGGCCACATGCCTTAATGGGTAACATTGACCTCTGCATTGACTTAAGCAGGTATCAAATATTTCAAGGTCCAGTATACTAGGTGTTTACTTATATTTTGGCAATTATGTACTCCCTTCTAGATTCTGTTAATTCTCAATTCAATCAGGAAACATGGTGGTTCCTGGGAATGACGTGCCTGATATTTTTAATTATATTGTTTTCGTCAAAATATAAATAATTAGAAAAGATAACAGGTGCAATAGACCACTGAAAAATGCTCTTGGTTTGCAGGTGGAATATGCAAAACCAACCAAGATCCCCAGAGGACATCAAGACACTCAGACTCTGCCAGGTTGGGTAGTCCCAGTGCCAGTTTTGGAATTGCTGGGTGTCAGTTATTCCCAACATCTGGAAACTGGATGGACCCTGTTAGAACTGATTTTCTGCTTTGGAATGAATAAGGTAACTGCAAATATATTTGGGGAGAAAGATTCAAAGAGAAAAAAGTAAATTTTTGACTCCTTTTTAAGTTTTTAAATCATCTTTTTTAAAAAAGCTATATTTCCTGGTAAATCGATATGTAAAATCATTAATATTTTTAAAGGCTAAAAGATAAATAAACACAGTTCTAGTAATAATCTGTATTGACATCTTCCATCTCTACTGTCAGCCAGTCAAGACTTCTTCTTACCATTTAGCCAATGTTAGTAGAAATGGTCATTTTCTCATTCCATTTTAGAACTAAAAATTAATCAATAGAGTTTGGTTCTCCACATTTTGGCAACATTATTAACACTAAAGACAATGCTTGAGAACAAGCAAAACAAGTTTTGTTTTCCAAGGATTCAGCCTAGTGTCTACAGAATCCACCTAGCCAAAGTAAATTCTTATCTGTCATCATGGTTGTTTACCATTATCACAGAATGATGTTTCCTGGATACTGAAATGTGTAGGACACTGGGTAAGGTGTAACAACTTACTTCATCAGCTGATACTTTAAATGCTGAAAAGATTAAGTAATTCAAGAAGAATGCCAAGGAACAAGGATTTGATTTTATAAGATCAAAGATTACTAACAATATTTTGATCAGTAAAAATAGAGTAAAATTTTAATAAGAACAGCCTACCACAGCAAAACATGTTATACTCAATAACATTAAAATATAATAGAGGATACTAGGCTGGAAATCTGAAACCTGAGTTCAGCAAATGTCTGGTGACATGGATCAAATCCCTCAGGCTTCCTAAAGCTCAGCTTCTTCATGATGAAATGGGAGAAGAGGTGGAGATTGAATTATATCATCTTGATGCTTCTGTCCTAAAACTCCAGTCTCAAAACTTACCTGTTGTAGGGTCCACCGTTATTCTGTAACCCACAATTGGATCAACTGGTTTTGCCCATGACATATGAACAGTATTTTCATCTATAATTTTAAAATTCAAGTCTGAAGGTGGGTCAACTGCAAAAGAGAGAGTTTATATTATTAAGGTTTTCAATGTCACAAAATGGTCAATTTAATTAACAAAGAATTGTGTTAAGCAAAGCTTTCTAAAATTGTCTTTGCATAAATTTGTTTCCAACAAATATAAAAGATATGTTGTTGGATAAGAATAAAACTAAAAGCTGACAAAACATCAGAGAGTATACATATTACAGAAGACAGCACAAAACACTTTTGATTCTTGAGTTGCTAGGTCATTCAAGAATGGCCAGCAAAATCAAGCATAATAGAAACATATTTGGATATAAGTACATACAAGTACAATGAAATCACATATAATAACCACATATGCAAACAATTCACATAACAATTAAAGGAATTTTGATACATGCTGAGTGCATTTTGAACAAGCATGCTAAATCACAACCTGCTTACAACCAGAGAAGTTAATTCAAAACATTGACATAATACGTTTTTTCCCATAATATGGACAAGAATCAATGATGATTTTGGTTCATTCTCTGCATTATTTGCCTTGTAATTATTCATTGTTATTTGATAAATCTCAATATGTAGCAGAGATGAAAAATATATTTTAATGAAAATGAGGAATCATGGGAAACAGTTATATCTGACAAGGAAATATACATTTAAATGTATATTCATATTCATAGGCAAGTATTCAAAAATAAGTGATGTTAATAATTTGTAGGTATATAAATAGTGATATTCAAAAGTTTATAAAACTAATATTCTGCCTGTTTACACCAGCTTGCTGAATGTTCCAGGGTGTAAACCAACACTATTATTTCCTTTGCAGCAGGTATACTCCATACTAGAAAGGGCATTTTAGATTAAAATGCCAGTATGGTCCTTTACAAAACAATGGTTAATTATGAAAAGACAACATCAATGTATATTTATGGACATTTATTTACAGAACTTAAAGAAAACAGTGAAGAAGGATCAGTGATCTGAAGACATGACTGCGCATAAAAACTTGGAAAAGTCAATGACAGGAATAACTGAAAAGTACAGAAAGAAATAGTTTACATACAAAACTGTACAGTATCATGCATGTGTCAATGAAATGTTGACTTGTTTTTAGTTTCCCACAATGAACAAAAGCCTCCATGTACAGTAGTCATTACACAAAGACGTTTCCTAAATATTTTATAATGATATTCTCTCTACAATGTTCATGCCTCATCATGCAGCATTGTACTGACTCACTGTCAGTGCATGGTTGATGAATTAAAAAGTATTACTCTTGAAACAGGTCAACGAATTAAGATGACTTTCAGCCACACTCTTCTTAAAATGTTTTAGTCTGAAAGTATTCCTTGTGAGTCAGAATTTTTGCATCTGTTTTGAGAGATTACAATTTCCTTTTAGGTTTTTCCAAAGGTCAATTAAAATACACTAGTAGCCTTGAGACATGAGTCACAGAATTTAACTGGGGTTAAAGATTTATGTAATATTAATAACATGTTTTAATGGAAATAATTAAGCAAACATTTGCTTTAGTGGACTGCTGCCTCCAACTATAGGAAATGGCTTTTTATTTTTATTGGATACACTAGTATTGGAATGAATGTTATATTCTTACTATCCATACACAGGCAGTGAGATTAGACTATTAATCTACATGCATAGTTTAATTACTCAACATTCTTCGGTCTTTAATCATATTTTGAGGTTTAGCTGTACTCATCACTTAGTATAGCATGCATGCAACAGATGTTAATAGGACAACGGGCATTAAGAATATCATTATAAAATATTGTTCCAATAGCAATGGCTCAGGACAAATTTAATGCAAAGGCAGACACAACTGGCCTGAGCATGCTTTTAAAAAAAATCAGTACATGGAAAAACAGTACCACCAACCTTGGAAGGAAAATGACCTGAAGCAGCGGACACTAGGTTAAAACTGCTGAAGGGCAGCAGCGGCCCCCCTTGTTGATATCCAAATGACCAGGATTCCAGATAAACTGAAAAATTGACTGTGGGGAAAAGTCTTTAACATTTCAGAGGATCTTGAGGTGTTCATAGAAACTGCGGTATGTGGGAATCAAAGTAGGAAAGAATGGCCAACCCGCATGGGTACAACAGAGAGCCTGCTTCACTTTTCTTCTGGCCAATTTTATTGCATATACAGCTTTTCAGGCTTGCCATTCTATTTGTACATTTGTTTGTTTTGTTTCATGAAAAAATAACAATAAAGCAGATGTGAGTGTATGACCCATGTTAACATAAATCAATGCTAAAAAATGTACGTTATTAATTTTGAAATATTTTATTTTACATAAAAATAATTCATAAACACCATCACATATCACAGAGTCTAAGTGTTCCCTAAGACAATGCTGATAATGCTGATGCTGGAAATTTTCTGGGTTTTTTGTTTGTTTGTTTTTGTTTGTTTGTTTGTTTTGAGACGGGGTTTTGCTCTTGTTGCCCAGGCTGGAGGAGTGCAGTGGTACAACCTTGGCTCACCACACCCTCAGCCTCCCGGGTTCAAGCGATTCTCCTGCCTCAGCCTCCTGAGTAGCTGGGATTACAGGCGAGCTCTACCACGTCTGGCTAATTTTGTATTTTTACTAGAGATGGGTTTCTCCATGTTGGTCAGGCTGCTCTTGAAGTCTCGACCTCAGGTAATCCGCCCGCCTTAGCCTCCCACAGTGCTGGGATTATAGGCATGAGCCACCATTCCCAGCCCAGAAATTTTCAATTATGTACTAGCTGCATATGGATTATAATTACAAAGAGCCATAGATGCATAGGATGAGAATCCGAACCAAGAGAAACAGAATGAAAATTATAAATAAATAACAATCTTACATATATTCATAAAACCTGAATACTGATAGTGAAGAGACTAAAATTTTAAGTATTTTTATTCTCATAGTTTAATTTCATATTTACAAAATAATGTTTTTTGTTATCAAAATACTATGCTACAAAAGGCTCATTCTGATGAGATTCTTGTTACATAAACTTTTGCTACATAAATCCTGTTACATAAATGGGATTTAGGACATTTTGGGAATGATAATAATAGCTGACACTTACTGACTGTCCTCTATAACAGGCAGAGAGCTGGTTACTGTGTTGCCGCTTTTTTCCTTGTAAGAACCCAGTGATGGGCCTTATTATCCCTGCTTTACAGATAAATCAGTGAAATTCAGAGAGATAACACAGCCAATAGGCAACAACACTTGGATTCCATGGTCTGACTACAAAAACATACAGTTTTCTACTGTACTAGATTAGATGCAAAGTAGAAGAAATATTTCCATCAAAAATTAACTTTAGAAAACAATATTTATAAGTAGTTGCTTTTAAACCATTTATGCCTGAGGTTGCAATTTTTTGAATTTTTGTAATCAGACCTTGGCAATGACCTTGAGCAGTAGGATATAAATAACTCCCACATGCTTAGCATTCCAATAATGGAACACTAGACATAAATGGGTTTAATATATACATATTTTAATATATACATATATTTGTAAATATAAACAATATTTATATGGAGCTGATTTATATATATACATGAATAATTATATGTGTATATATTATACATATTATGTATTATTATACATATATACATAAATATGTGGTATTCAGTTATCTCCAATTCAGATATAGATGGAATTTGGTATATTAACTTTATACACTTGTTCAAGCATTTAAAACTAAAGTGTCCATCTTGATATATAACTTTTTGAAACATTTTTAATAGGGCACCCAAAAAGGGGCTATGTCCAAGAAATTACCAGCCACTGCAGAGATGAATGAAGAGAAGGATGGATAGACAGGTGGGAAAATGGATGAGCGGGAGTAGAGGAGTCTAATAAGTATTGGTAAGTATATACAATGTGCTATAGATAAATCAAAGCTAATAATACACTACTAAAATATCTTGATGAACTAGTAAGATCTTTAGTTTGATATCTGTGATAACAACACTGGAAAGGATACTACCTTAATAGTAGAAACCCTGACAAGTGTGCAATATGTGATGAGTTAACCATATTCTATAGGCATTAATTTATGTTTGCCAAGCAAAGTTAGTATAAATTTAATGATCTTTGCCATGATATAGAAATTCATTTCATTTGAGTTTTCAAGGTACCATAAATAATCAGTTGAAAAGATAATGTTTTAGAATAAGCTACAGATTATTTTATACACATTATAAAATGTGTCCTCTCATCAAACTTTCTGGAACAACCAGTTGTTAAGCACAAAGAAAGCACAGTGTGACCAAACCAGCACTAACCTAGGACTAGAAGACTGGGGTCTTGTCTGTTTTTCATATCTAAGTAGGTGCATTAGTTGACCAAGTGATTCAGCCTCTCTGGGCCTCATTTTCTCATTTGGAAAATGAGAGTAGAATAGATGATCTCTATGTTAGCCTCTAGTTTGAAATTTCTGTTATAACACAAATTAGACATAGGATTATAGAAATATATACAAAGTAGTCTCTTAACCTAGACACAAGACAAAGCTATAGCCACAACTCACAGATGAATTGATAATATTCAATTGTTTATTATATATTATAAACTATAAATCAGACTAACCAAAATTAACACTCTGTTTTTCACAAAACCTGTGTTCATCTCTAATCCTAGATTAATTAGAAAAGTGTCCAACTCTCAGGGAACACTGGCCATTAACCTTTAAATGCAAAGTGTTAAATTTTCTACAGGATAATTAACACACTGTATGATACATGAACCAAAAATAATTCATACATTCTAGGCCACTCAGATATGGCTGATAAAGTCTATGCAGTGATACAGTTGATAAAGTCTATACAGTGGCTAAAAATTATAAATACTGAAGTGAAAAAAATCATTTCCACTCTTATTTCTATAGGACAAGATAACATAGTATGAAAAATATAGCTCCTAATACAAATAAGCAGAAGAAAAACAAAACAAAAATATTACCACTATAAAAAGGAAGAAATGCAAAAAGTGAATGCCAAAACATTTTAATTAATGTTTTCAAAAAGGTATTGGGTTTTTAATATACAAAACATTAAGGTCATAGAAAATGGTGATAAAATAGTATGAATGTAAGAGTGCAAGTATGAGTCATGAAAGGAAAAGAAACATAACTGTGGCTACTTTAGGATTCAGATTGAAATGGCATGGTACCAAATAGAGTCTAGAGTCCCAAGTTGAAATTTTGAAATGCCCCCAACAGAAATATTTCAAAGAAATTCTGGTCCCAGCCCAGCGTCCCCAGAAAGGCTTTGGCCACAAATTTTGTTAGCCCTTCAAAGGCTCCTAGCACCACTTAGGAGTCAACACTAGAGCTGTGCTGTCCAACACGGGAGCAACCAGACATGTATGGCTATCAAGCTCTTGAAATGTGGCCAGTACAAAATAAACAGTGCTGCCTGTAATCCCAGACTTTGGGAGGCTGAGGCAGGTGGATCGATTGAGGCCAGAGGTTCAAGACCAGCCTGGCCAACATGGTGAAACCCCATCTCTACTAAAAATACAAAAATTAGCCAAGCATGGTGGCAAACCCCTGTAGTACCAGCTACTCAGGAGGTTAAGGCATGGGAATCACTTGAACCCAGGAGGCAAAGTCTGCAGTGAGCTGAGATCAAGCCACTACACTCCAGCCTGGGCAACAGAGCGAGACTCTGTTTCAGGAAAAATAAAAATAATTTAAAGAATAAACTGCACTGCAAGTATAAAATACACACCCAATTGTCAAAGACATAGTACAAAAAAAGTCAAATATCTCACTAATAATTTTCATATGGGCTCCATGATGAAATAATTTAGGTTAAATAAAATACATTATAAAATTTAATTTATCCTGTTTCTTTTTCCATTTTGAATGTGGCTACCAGAAAAAAAAAATGTAGGTTACATATGTGGCTTATATTTGTGGCTCATACCATATTTCTATTTGACCATGCCAAACTAGAGAATAAGGTCAAAAAATGAATCCTATTAAAATATAATTATTAAATACTAACTTAAGGAGATGGGATACAAGAAAAGACACAATTTAAGAAAGCAAAAAAAGAGCTGTACCATATGGAAATAAATACAAATTTAAAAGATAAAATATAATATGGGAATAATCAGAAATGTAGATAGTAAGCTGTTCTTTTTAACTGCACTTTGCTAACCAGCCAATATCTAATTCCGAATCAATTTTTTCCACTTACATCATTTCCAGCCTAATTCTTTTTCTAAGAATTCTCAACTCTTTCTGATTTTCAAATAACTATTTTCTTAATGAGCAATAAATGGGCCACTTCAGTGAATTATCTAAAAATATCTGTAGTAGGGCCTCCAGAAGTTCCTCAAATAAAATTCCTTCCTAACAACGACATAGAAAGGAACATTAAAAACAACCTCATCTTAATATTACTTCACAGAGGTCACTCTGAAAAGACTCTACATTCATAAAATAGTTATCAGCTAAGAAAAGTCAGCACCTTTCTGTCACTTTACTAAACATGCCATACATTTTGGAAATACTCTGCTTCCCCTAATCTATTTTTTTTAACCTGTAGTCTCGAAGTAGAAAATCAAACACTATAGAAACCTTGAAAACCTCGGCATAATCATGCAAACAACTTTACTTTCTCACAGCCTCTAAAAAAGCACAACTCAACCCAGAGCTTCCACAGCTGTCACTTGCAGAAGTGTTTTTTTTTTTCCTCCCTTAACTTCATCAAGGGTATTTCTTTATTGAAAAAAAAAAAAAGATATCTTTCATGACATTACCCCATTTACCTTGCAGAATAAGAAAACTAATTTTTCAGGTCTCCAATGACAACTGAAGGACCACAGAAGTCGCCATGGGGTTGACATATAGACCTGGCTTGTTTAATGAACACTGAGAAATTAAGACATCAAGCGCATACAACCAACATAATTGGGTGGGACATCTAACAAAAGCCCTCCACTTCCTAGAGGAGGAACCACAGGGCGCCGTTTTGGAAACCCATCTCAGAGCGCCCCACCGCCTCCGCGGGGAGGTCAGACGCACCGGGGTCTCCCAGAGGGAGGCAGAAGGGAGCAAGGGCAGGACACTGGAGGTGGTGCCCAGCAACTCCGGTGCGCGCTCGCTTCCCAGGCTGGAAACCTTGGCCCAGGCTCAACCTGTCTGAGCTGGGCCAGTCCAGGCCACGCGCCTTGGAGCCCTGCGAACCAAACAGGGACAGCCGCGACCCTAGGTCAGGCGAACACCCGGGGTGCCGGATCTCCGCTTGCCAGCCATCATCCCCTAGGGTGCTTGGCTGCTGGCTCATCTGCCCGCACCATCCGCCCCGCCGACTGAGCTCCCCACAAAGCACACAGAGGCGCAGAGCCAGCGCTGTTGGAGTCTTTTATTGTGTTCTGTCACCGAGGTCGCAGCCCCGAGCCAGGTGGTTCGTTACTAGCCAAGCGAGCGAGTGCGCCCGCTCGTCGGGGCTCCTGGGTGCCACCCGGAGGTGTCCTGTTGGTTGAGATGATTAGAGCCGTCGCCCCCTCTCGGGTGGCTGGTCCTCTCATCCGGCAGCAATGCAGGTGGCAGTGTGGACAGCACACCGCAGAGACAAGCTCAAGAAGACCACACAGCACTGTATGGAATGCATGAAGCAGAATGCAAAAGAGCTGGACCTGAGAGCTGGGAAATGGACAAACCTCAGGAGAAAGGGGCGTTTCTCTGGAGGAGAGAAACCACCGGAGACAGCACGAAGCGCAGGGAAAACAGAGCAAGCAATAAAAGCAAGAAAGATGTGTTTTTTCCTTTCTCGAATTTTGCATTGTCACTCGGAGAAGGGGAAGGGAGCCTTTTACCTTCTGCCTCAATGGAAGACAGGAGCAGGGCCGCGCCCAGGGCGGCAAGCACTGGGGGAAGCCTGGTCCGCATCCTCGGCCTCCGAGCTTACAGCGGCATGAAGAGCTCTGCGGGAGGAAGCAGTAACCGCATCAGAACTGGGTCTGGGCAGGCCTTGAACCAGGTTAGAACTGGAGCCTGGACCTAGTCCAGAACCCGACCAGATCTGCCTTAATAACCACAGGGCCTACTCCAGCACATAATGGGCCTATTGTGAAGCAGTGGAAGTCAAGTTCGTCTACAGAAGTTTAATCATGGCCCTAGGAGGAAGTTCAAGTTTAAAAAGGGTCCTGTTCTCCTGGAGACTGGTCCTGCTTAGCATCCCGGGTGAAGGCCTTACCAGCCCCCACATGATTTCATCCTGCCTGGGTAATGGCTAATTCAGAGGTCATTTTATCCTTCACTCAACTAAATATCTCTTCCAGCTGGGGATTTTATTTGGCTGCTTTTTCCTAGCTGCTGAACTTTTTAGGTAACTGTATTTTAGTGGTCTCAGGGTAATTTGGAAAAGTATAATAAACCTTTTTAATTCTCTTTTTTCTTCATGTTGTTCTGCTTTCAAATATGAAGCTCTTTAAGATCTGAAATGGATTATACAGAAAAATGTAAGGCCCAGCTGAAACCTGACCCTCCTGCTAACTGTGTTGTTTTCACATCTGATAAATCCTTTACCTGAGATGAGGGAAAAACAACTCCAAAATACATAATAACAAAAAAGGCAGCAAAATGGAAGAAGCAAGACACTTTTGTCTGTTTTTCCAAGGTGTTTTTAAATAAAAATTATCAATAATAATCTTTGTATTTAACTGTTTGTTTAAGCTGGAAGATTATAAGTATATATGCCCCAGAGGAGAATATGTTCTGTTCTGATTTTTTCTAATTTTGTAATTACATTATTAATTCCTTAAAGACAAAGAATCTTATTCATCTTTGTGGTTTCCCAGGACACAGTAGGTACTTAACCCATGTCTACAGAATGGAATCTCCTAAAATAGTCTAAGGTTCAACCCAAAGACAAAAGCTACTAGCAAGGAACTGAACTGGGAAGCTGCCAGTGGCAAAACATAAAAAGAGTTGAGGCTGAGGTACATAAATTATTGTAAACCAACAGCCTAGGCCTCAGGAAAAATGGAGGGGGATAGGAGACTGTCCTGCAGTGGGAATACAAAAATGAGCCAAAGATCGAGGCCTCTTTGAGAAAAGAAACTGACAATCTCCAACGATGACTTTCCAAATTATTGGCACAAAGCATGAGGGCAGCTTTCCTCAGCCTGTGTGTAAATTGCATTTTAAATGTCTGATGAGCAGGCGTGCCAAATTGCCTAGAGCTCCTTTTTATGAAGCCAAGATTAAAATTTTGGCACTGCCCTAGGTATCTAAGGGGTCTAGCAATTTCTTTCTTCCTAATTAACAACTGTTTGACATTTCTAACCCTCTTCGACATCAGTGAAAAGCAAGAGGTGAGACTGGGCCATTGTTCCAACCTTCTGGCCTTAACTTTGGTATAATAATTTCCAACTCAGTTGGCAGTTGTGATTGCGAAAAGTTAAAGGCGAACAATCGACCCACCGAAAAGCTGTGAGCAGATTTTTTTTTTTTTTTTTAACAGCTGAACTCGACAAAAATCTGAGTAGAAACACTTTTGCTGGGTCTCGATCGCCTCCTGTCGGTTTCCCGACTTAGCGGCAAGAATGAATCATCTCGCGCCGGGATACCGAAACGCAGTTAGAGCTCAGCCAGCCAGCCAAGCATCTCGTCCATATGTTTTAAAAAAGAAAATGCTTTCTCTCCTTTTTAGCCAAAACATTCATTTCAATGCTTAGCAACAATTCATTGAGCATTCTCAGACATAAATATCTGAAAGCGGCCGCCCCTACGTGGCAGCGAGGATTCCCTCACTTCACCGTCATGAATAAAAATGAGTCCATTGGGGTGGGAGTTGGGGCTAAGTGGACTCGCCCCTTCTGCCAACTCGTCCCCTCCCAATTCCCCGCTGGAAGAACCCAATTCCTTAACTCCCGCGTCAAGTTAAAAAGAAAATCTCTCTCACACACACACACACACCGCTGCGCGTCGCCTACCTCCTCTCCCACCCACCACCACCTTGGCATTAGCCAAAGTGGAGCTTAGCATTTATTTCCTTTCCTGTCCCATCCTTCCCCAGCATTCATTAGAAGACTACCGAGTCCGGGTCGAGAGTCTCCCTGGCTCAGAATCCCAGGGAACCCTGAACTGGTCACTGGAGGGCTCCCGAGGACGCCCTCTTGGAGGTACCTGTTCCGCTCGGTGAACCAGTCGGGCGCCCCACGCTCTCTGATCCCCACGAGTTTAATATTTGAGTGGGAAAACGCAGCAGAGATCTCACAGACCCGGAATAGGGCCTCCACCAATGCACCGGGAGGGAGTCGGAGAGGGGCTTTCTCTTGGAGCTGGGGAAAGTCCGCCAAGAATGAGTACCCTAGTGCGGGCCTAACCCTCCATCTCGGATGCGCTGAAAGGTAGGGGAGGAAAGGAGCCAGAACACTCCACTTGGAATCTGTCTCGAGATGCCACACACACCCATGCAGCCTCGACGAGCTGCAGAGCACTCAGCGGGCCCTCCAAAGAATTTCGCACCGTGCGTCATCAAAATACCTTCCCAGCGCCCCCGCCGCAAGCCTGCCCTCCCCGACAAAGCCACAGCCGCGAGATAACCAGGGCCCTGCCGCCCCAGAACCCGGCGCGCCCTCCATTGAAATCGACAGCATCCACAGATGAAACTCCTCTAGAAACGGAAACACTGAACTGGATGCTTTGCGCGCACAAAACCGTGCCCAGCTCTTAAGAAAAGCAACATTCCCCTCTCCCTCAAAAACCCCCCAAAAATCACAAAATCCCAGTATACAAGGCGAAGCTCAAGCCCGTGTACACTATTACAAGTCCAAACTGTCCTCGCCCAGGATTCTTCACCGCTCCAGGCAAGGTGCAAGCTAGACGCCGTTTTCCGAGTTGTCTGTAGGAATGATGGGGTAGGGGAAAGGGGACAGAAACCAGGCTGACCTGAGACGGCGGCGACAGGGTGAGGTAGAGGCGGCGACGGCGGCTTCCTGGCGTCGGAGAAGCTGGTGCTCGGTGTGGCCCCCACACGCCCGGGCGATAGGCGCTGCGCTCCAGGAGCACCTAGCGGCCGCCGAGGCGTGGGCAGCCGCGGGGAAGTCCAGTAGGAGGAGGAGAATCCCAGGAGGAGAGGCGGGCGCTGCAGGACGAGTGGAGACCGCCTGAGCCTGCAGCTGCCGGCGCGCGGACGCGTCAGGGGCGGTTCGCCTTCGCCAAGTGGAAAGAGACTCTGCGCCGCGGGCTACTTAATAGAGGGCTGTTCCCAGCTCTCAGTTTACTCGGTTACGAAACGCCTGAGAAGGTGGACGGCTGCCACGGGGTGATGTATGCTCCTCCGGCGGTGAAGGAGGTCTACTTTTGGGAACGTGTGCATACTTTGAGCATTCCTTCGGCGTGAGGTGGCGATCGCCGTAGTAGCAGTACCCCGCCGGGGGGCGGGGAGAAGGGAGGGAGCAGAGAGGGGGACAGCCGCAACCGGGTTCCCTGCCAAGGGAAGCCGCGTACTCTGCCACTTGGGGCGGACTGGGAAGCTCGGGTTTCCCTATCCCTGCGATTTCTTTAATGAATTTTTCTAAATTAAGAACAATGGGAAGGGGAGCGACTCCCATTTTCAGAAATGCAAGGATGCGTAACCCATTCACCCCCGCTCCTGCCGATCTCCATCCTTCATCATCACCACCTCCACCTTCCTCCCCCTCTGTCCTGGGTGCACTTAAAACCGATTTACAGGATTTCCATTAACTAACTGTCTGTACACGCGGCGCGCCTTCTGTCTTTTTCAATCTCCGAGCGCGATTGGAAACCCGGACAGCCGCCCGCGCGGGGCTCAGTGATGGGATGGCTTTCCCAGTCCTCTTTCACTCGCCTGGTGCTTCAGGACGGAACTGGGAGGCTTACGTTGAGCCAAAAGAGAGGGAGAGGAAAGCTATGAAACCCAGGGGTCCTCAGAATAGGAAGCCGCTCAGTAACAAGTTCCATCCACTGCAGAAACTTCTCACCCGGACCAGAGCGAAACCTGGCCCCGAGCGGAGGCTTCGGACTGAAAGCTCTGCCCTTAAAACCTCGCGGGGTCAAAGGGGCGAAGAGGAGTAAGTTTGAAACCCCAAAGCACCCCTCCACACACAATACTGGAGAAGCCAAATAGGCGGCTGATATTCTGCCAACACCGTCGCCTCTTCTTAACAGCCTCCTCCATCCTGGCATCCTACCCCTTGTTCCTGGGCAGGAGTCTGGTACTAGGGTTGCCAGTTTGTACAAGGCGCACGGGAGGAAGCTTCAAGCACTCACACCAAGAAATCAGAAAAATGCTACTGGAGAGATTCCGATTATAACGTCTGACCTCAGTACAGGCCCTGCACCGTTTTGGCCTCTTGAAGCCCAAGGGTTACTCCCGTGGCTGGTGGGGAGAGGGGGCTGGGGGAGCTTTGAACAACAAAGGAACGGGGTGGGGCGCAAGGGAACAGCGGAGCTGCTTCTCTGGAACTGACCGCCCGCCATAAGGGCATGGCCCCAATGTAAACCTCTCTTCCCTTTTGGCTCTGACGTCTGCAAATTTGGCCTTCCCACTCCACTGGGTGCAATAGCCTCCAAACTTGCCTTTCGAATGATAAGAACTTGTAGGGAGCTCCCCTTTCTGCACATCTCCCCACACACAAAGGCTGCCCTCCGCAGGAGCCGGCGAAAGCAACAGAGAAGACAAGAGGGAGACAATGAAGACAAATAGGAATCGCCGCCTCTGCACATTCCCCAAGCACACAGCCCACTCGAAGTCCAGCTGGGCAGCTCGCACAAAGAGCCTACACAGTGCACAAGCTTTTCCCCCTTCAAAGCCTCACAACCAGGATGTCTGACAAACCCCTAGTGCGTGAGCGCGTCCCAGGGAGGGAACACCCGACTTTCTCAACGCTGCGCCCAGTCAGGCTTGCAGCCACATTGCCCTGGTATCACTGAGCCCCGAATTTGTCGACAGCCGCCGTCTGCACCCAAGCTAGCCCTTCACTTGCCTCCCCACCCAACACGCAAAGAGCAGGGAGCCCAGTCCAACCAGGCTTACAGACCGCGCGTGGACTAGTGGCAGCCGCAAAGACGGAGCCCGGGAGCAGAGAAGTCCCTCAGGCCGCCAAGCGGGCACCCAGTAGGACTGCGCCCTTGGCCTGCTCCGCGGCCTAAAACCGCCAGGGAAGCCCCCCAGACAACGACACTCCGTCCAGAAAGGAAAAAGGAAAACTGCTACTTTGCACGCCAGCCCAAGCTGGCTGGTGTTTGCATTTTGGCCCAGATGTTTGTTCTCTCTCTCTCTCTCTCTCTCTCTCTCTCTCTCTCTCTCTCTCTCTCTCTCTCTGTGTGTGTGTGTGTGTGTGTGTGTGTGAGAGAGAGAGAGAGAGAGAGAGAGAGAGAGAGAGAGATGGCGGTGTTGTTGACTGAGGAGCATGTAACTCTGAATGTTGATTTTTTGTTGTTTAAAAGGGAACTTTTGTTGATTTGGCTCCGAGCTGCTAATGCATCTCTCAACCCCGGAGTTGCGCAGTCACCCTCCGGGGATCCAAATACAGTCACGGGCTTCCGTTTCCTGCAGCTGGAGGCCGCAGACTGGGTGGAAAAGGCATCTGTCCCCGAGGGCGCGCACATTGCCCTCTCCAGCCAAGAGCAGCTTACTGGGGACCCGCGTGGGCATCTTCTCTTGCTCGAGGCATTCTTGTTCACATACTTGGATTTAACGTATCTGAAAATAGTTGCTGCAAAGGAGTGTAGGTAACACAAACCACCACCTGCAAACGTCCTCTCTAGCTCAACAAAAAGGATTCTTACGCAAAACTTCCAGAGTAGGATGAGAGGAACAGGAAGGAGAGGACTCCCGGGTTGGGGACCACACAGATTCCTCCAGAAACTAATTCAAATACACTCATTCCCCAGGGACACGAGTGCAATTCAAATATGTACAAAGAGGCACTCCGGGGTCCTCCCCGCGTGACGTTGGCGTGTTGGTCCCCTGGGGCCTTTACGCTAGACTCCCAGTATGATAAACGGTAAAGAACGGGTAACCCTCTTCCATCCTTCCCTTTTCAATGGTGCATCCAGATCCTAATACCCTTTGGAATCCGTTGGTGATATTTATTGACTGGGGAATAGCCGGTTGGATTTATTCCGTTTGGTTGCTCTCTGTGGCTTTTATTCCTCTGGCGATATCACGGGATCTGCCTCCTTCGCGCTTCCTCTGTTCAGCTCCCACCTCTTCACCCTCTGAGTCCTGGGCTCCCGGCGGTTCCGACACTCAGATTTCTTGTCCGACAGCGCGATCTAGTGGTCAGCGCTAACCCTGGCGTGGGAGGTTAAAGTTACAGAGAGCGTGGAGCTGGGAAGTTGTTGACAGGCTTACAAGTCTTGGGGTGAGTTTTTATAAAAAGTCTCATTCATGTATTTGATTCTCAGAACTGAGAGGCGGCAGGTTGGGAGAACGAGTGGGGAGAGGGGCATCAACTTTCTTCATGCTGTTTAATTAACTGCCTACAGAAATTCTTGCCCCAAGGCTTCTAAGCTCTGCTCAAGTTTCTTCAAAGAAAGGGTGAGTTTACAAGGGAAGAGATACTGATTTCAGGAAGAAGTTAATATTACAGAGCGCCCTTAACTTCTGTAATCTTAACTTCTTCAGAGGCATTGGGGGCCTCTTCACTGATTTGTTTGAGGTCAACCTAGCCGGCATTCCTGGCAACAGGTGAGACAGTTTCTAGAACACTTCCGTTGCAGGTTCTGGCTGATTGGTGCAGAAGGAAGGGGAAACCTCGTCTGAACGTGAACTATTTGCCTATCTCTTAAGGCTGGCCCCAGCGTGAGTTGTGAGGGTCTTGAGTGAAGAAAGCTCTCACAAGCCCCTTGGAATAAAAGGGTGAGGAGAGGAGGTAGTACACCAGCTGCTCTGATTCTCAGAAGCAGAGAGACAGCCTGACCAGCAAGAGTCAAAAACTGTGTGTCTGAATCCTCTTCTTTCCATCCCTGTGTGCAAGTCAGATCAACATACATTTAATGAGCACCGTCTATTTACAGTGCCAAGCTCAGAGCAGCTGACACAAAGACAAGTAAGACAAGGCCTTGCCATCAAAACTCTGTCAAGTAACAGCTGGGACACCTGAAGCAACTTCATGTATGTGGCCTATTTAAATCTCCCAAGATCGTGGGCTCAGAATGTTGTAACATTAAAAATGAGAAGCCATAGACAACCACCCTCTCTGCACTAGCAAAGCTTAGGAATCCTGAGACCAAACCATCCTGAAAGGAAGGAAGGAAGGGGACGTGCTGCATTCTTGCCTCTTTGACAAGTTCTGCTTCTTTACAAAGGACTTTGCAAGTACTTCACCCAGACCATCTCACCTGTACTGAAATAACCTCCCCTACTAGCGAATGAGCAACTTTGGAGCAGAAAGCAGAAACTGCATCATATTTCGCCTACTATGGAAAGTGGTAGCTCAAACCTCATATGACCTCAAAAAAGTATAATTGCTTCAACCTAAAAAAGCTGATTGTAAACAAAAAATAAAGCTGTGATTGCACAGGAAACTATGGCATTTCAAAAAACACTGTATCCACATAAAATAACATCTCAGCATAAATCATTTAGATTTAACAAGAGTCAAGTGCCACTGGGAGTTGATTTTCCAGTTAGCTCTGACCTCCTTGAGCAAAAAGTAGAAGATAGAAGGAAATTAATTAATTTAAGAGCTAAGAAAACAAACCACTGCCACTTCTTCCTTTGTTTCCGTAAAATTCAGTACCGTTTAAATCACACCACTACAGGCATCTTGCAATCTATTTGCTTTGGAACTATCAAAGTAGCATAAGGTGGAGAATTTCTAGTCAGGCCACTGTTCTGTGTGTCAGCAGTCAGTATGTGTATACTTAAATACACTTTCAGACTGATGGAAAATATGAAGAATCGCAAGAATCCATTTTTCAAGATTTGGTCTTGGCTTTTAAACTAATTACCTAGTCAATTGAAATGCGGTAATAATGAAATCATAGTCAGAAGATGTTTATTTACTCTCAGTAGGAGCCCCTGTGTAGGGTGACATGTAACCTGACCAGGTCTCCATGTGATAACTCGTTTTTGTTTTGTTTTGTTTTGTTTTGTTTTTCTGAGACGGAGTCTGGCTCTGTTGCTCAGACTGGAATGCAGTGTCGCGATTTCAGCGCACTGCAACCTCTGCCTCCCAGGTTCAAGCAATGCTCATGCCTCATCCTCCTGAGTATCTGGGATTACAGGTGCGTGCCATCATGCCTGGCTAATTTTTGTATTTTTAGTAGAGAGGGAGTTTCACCATGTTTGCCACCATATTTGGTCTGGAACTCCTGACCCCCAGTGATCCGCCTGCATCGGCCTCCCAAAGTGCTG